AATGGGACGAGTGACATGCGCAAACAAGTGCGCAGCGGCAGTGGTCACCTTTCCTGATCAGCTAATCAGTGCCGTTGGTTACTTGCTATCGATGTGGTTTGATTGGATTGTTCTCGTGATGTACTATTATTCGACCTCTCATAGAGGTTTCGTAAAAATGGGACATTAATTTTAGAAAAAGTTGTTTTACTTTCGTTTGATCAGCGCCGCGTAGACATATAGTTGGCCGCGGGACCAACAGATGGCGTCAGGGTGCGAGGCGTCGCTATCACCCGGGTGCCACACTACTGAGTCTGCTCACAGATCACCCTGAGCTTGTGTTTAACGTTTTCACGTTGTTATAAATCATTGATCATATAGAATTTACTGTGTGATATTGTATGTGTGTCAATGTGTATGTATGTGTGCATATGTACACATTAAGAACGTTAAGGCAAAGACGTCAAGATGATAATATTACCTTGACGTCTTTGCCTTGATCACTATACTCACGTAATAGTATTACTTTGACGTCTTTGCCTTGACGTTCTTAATGTGTACACACACACACACACTGACACATACACCTACAATATCACATTGTAAATTCTATATGATATATAACGAGAAAACATTAAACGCGAGCTCACTCGCGGCCTCTGGTTACCATGGAGACGTGGACCGCTACCCTCAGGCGCCCGGGCTTTAGTTAGCCAACAGATGGCGCTGATAGGAGCTCGGCGGCTCACGTTTGTTTTATCGGTAGAGGTGAACTCTTTCCTGTCTTTCTTATTATGGTCTTTGGTAATGGGCAATGAGCTAGTTTGAACATTTTCGATTTTTTAGCAATTATGAAGTACTATACCTCGTGTATTTTGTTTTAATTTGTGGGAATTTATATTATCATTAATTTATAATATTTTCATAAATCACTGATATTTGTTCATTAATTTAACTTTATTTCGTAATACTGTATAATATGAACATACATACAGTACAGACATACAGTATTTAATTTTAATGGCAACACTGCATGATCCATGCTTACTCCAACATGTACTGTACCTCAACTTATTTACAAGGGACCACAAAACCAAGGTAAGGGTAGAGAAATCTTAATTAAGGCCTCAACCACTTACCATGATCTTCTTCTGTGTGCGTGGCGAGGCACAGAACTCCAGCGCCTGCCTCTCTCTCCTGGCCTCCTCTGCCTCCCTCTTCACCGTAAGCGAAGACGCCATTATCTTGTCCTGTTGTTTCACTGAATCGTCCACCACACACAATACTCACGTGTTTTCACTATTTATGTCAGTCTCTTCAAACACCCACGACACTATTTCCGAAACAGTCTGTTGAACTTTTCAGAAGATTGGTCAGGTAAGTATGTTTTTTTTTTCTGGCGGGAACGGGGGGTAACCTAAGTATATGTTACAAGGCTAATATTAGTTTAAGAGTTGTGTTTCTTCAATACCTGTCATAAAATTCCACAATTTTGTTTTCTTTTGTAGCAGCTGTGAATCTCCAATTTGTAGCAATAGTAAATTTTTGGTGAAAATCTACTGTTGCATTTACGAGAATTCACAGATCATCAATTTCTCCTCTCTACGTTCCCAGAATTATTATCTATCTAGTCTTAGTTACGTTTTTAAACACTTTTAGGGGGGGGGGGTAAATAATTGCTTAGAATGATTTATGAACTTCTAAACAAAAGAATAACAGCCAGTGTTCTTACCATGTATACTTAATACTGTTCAAGTAAACTTAAGACACTGAATGGTATATAGCTTGTTCAAGGGTCGAGACTATTTATACGCAACCACGCCTCATTGACTAGAATAGGGACTAAATTAAATCAAATAAGCAATTAACAGACACTGCCCTTATCTGCTGTTGTGATCACGACCTAAGGAACACCCGCAGTCCCGCACGCCTTTCTACTCCCACTGCTATATATAAATCTCACTCTTTATATTCTAGGTATTTTTAACTTTATTTCCCATCTAGTTGGTGAATTAATCCGTACAATACTTAAAATTTAGATCAAGGTCTCATAATAGATGTTTTATTTTATCCATTGATACATAATTATTGTCTCAAACTACTCAGGCGCGTTTCTTTCAGTCTGTCTACGTATAATTTCGAATAAAATTTTCTCTCTCTTTAGTATCAGTTATCGTGTTAGTACAGTCGTGTTTATTTACTCCTCTTAAAATGTACTTTAATCAAACACTTGCCTACTGGCGCCCGACACATTCTTCTCAGAATTCTCTCACCCTAACCTCAGCACCACCACCTCAACACTTCCACCTCTCCACGTCAACACTTCACCCATCCACGTCAACACTTCACCTCAACGCTTCACCTATCCACGTCAACACTTCTCCACCTCAACACTTCGCGCCTAGTCACTTTCCACCCTCCCTCGTAGTCCTCCCACACTACGAGGAAGGGCCGTCTCCTCTCCCCACCTCTACAGCAATAACCGGCAGATGTTTTCACAGTCGCTATCATCCCTCACCTCAGCTCGGGGATCTCACCTCCCCTACGTCGTGCTGACTTGTATTTTATGATGAAGTTAACGCTTTCATGGTGTCATTTAGCGCCTATAACTTTCATTAAATCAGCAAAAGAAAATTCTAAAGTGTTACTGGTGTAATTCGACCACTAAACGTTTCAACACACGTGGTGTGAATGTTGGATTTATTAATTTGCCCACTTATAAGACACCAACATTTTTGTGCAAAAAACACCACAACATTCATTGTCCATCTTACCGGACCTGATAAGGTCTATTATAAATTTGTAAACACTGTATACTAAATCAATTTTCCGATTACTTAAGAAGATCATCACAAAAATTTGTGGTCACTTTTCTGTATGTTAGACAAGTGTGTACACTAATCACAACAACACTGTAGAAGCAAATGACTTAAAGTCACCTGCGAACACTATTGTATTTTCCGAATTTACAAATGTTTTAATAAGCAGCACAGTCTGCCAAACACACTGTAGTACATTTATTAATTACTGCAGTTATTAACCTTGTAAATACACAGGTGAGCTTTACAATTGGTGGAGAAAACTATCAACCAGAGTTGAGAGAGCAGGGAGGGTGGCGCCTCACGTGGCGGGTGCCCACTTTTGTTTACCTGCGTGAGGTATGGGCGGCACCGCGCGCGACACAGGTCAGGGTGCCACTGAACGTGAGGGTGCCACTGAGGCCCACCCCAGGGGCCACTCACCGACTCTCCTTGGCACCCATTCCCGACCGCCTCCACTCCCCACACCATGTAATTACTTTGAATCTATATTTGACATTATTGATGGTATCGTGTGATAGAAGGTGACAAACTGTACTTTTTTAATATTTCATATAGAAAATTACATCATACGTTAGTCTCCGAATTTAGGAACCTTGTAAATTACTTCCCTTATTTCTTATAAAGTCTGTGCCGTCTATTTGGTGAAAAAAAATAAAGGGTAAGTTCTTCTGAATTGATTGAAAAACCTTTAAACATTTTCAAAATAATAAATGGTAACTAATACACCTATAGTGTCTACGGAATTTGACCTTTTGATCCTAAAATCAATCAGCTTCTGTTTAAACCTAAGGCTAATTCCTGCAAAGAGTTGATGGCAGAACATGATGTGTAAGACGTTTCTCTGACGGAAAACAGAATGTTTACCAACAGACAATGTGTGTTCTTAGGGTGCACCCAGTTTAGAACGATAAGCTTGTAAGTCATGCCTGCAAGGTTTTATTGAGTATAATTTTAAGTAAAGTTTAGAAGAAAGTGAGTTATCTGAAGAGAAATTGGATTTAGAAAGGGAAATGAACTATATTTGGTTTGAGAATTTTGAATGAAAAGGCTTTAGAGGCAGGGGCGGATCTAGGGGGGGTCCTGGGGCTCCGGACCCCCCCCCCCCCTTTCATCAGAAAACTCCAATACTCTTTCTTTAAAGCAGTATTGTACTCAGGCGTTTTTGTATAGTTAAAAGTAATTACTATTGACCTCAGAATACTTCCTAATATCAAGCGCACATGGCTTCAAAATGGCCTCAAAATGTCCATGATATTGGTCAGAGATTTTAAAAAAAATGGGGGGAATACCCCCCCAAAGAAGCTGGGTGGGCTCGCTGAGCTCGCCATGTTCCCCGACCCACGACTTCTTGGATCCCCTTTGATATTCCTGGATCCGCCCCTGTTGCCTCTTAGAAAATACTTATTATATTGATAATGTGGAAAAAATGAACGAAATTGAACAATGCCTTCTGGTGTTAGCCATCTCTTTCAGGATTACCTAAATTTTTGCCATACAAAAAGTTCATGAAGAACCTATCCTAACGACTCTCAAATATCAGAGTACATGTCTAACTTAGCCTAGCAAAAAATAGAAGTTCTGACCTAACCTCCTCCACCCCTACGGATCCCGTATGTACCTAACCTTACCCAGCAACACAAAAGGAATCTAAAGAACCAAACCCGATATCGAAAAATAAAATTAAAATTAAAATTATATATATATATATATATATATATATATATATATATATATATATATATATATATATATATATATATATATATATATATATATATATATCCGATGAAAATGCTGGTGATTTTTTCGTTTTCTCTATCTTCCATCATTAACTACCCGCAGTGGGCAGGATGAAGGAAATTCTGGAATAAAAACACGGCTTCCTCCTGCACTAACATTGGACAGAAAAGTTTATAACAAAGTAACAAAAGAATGGACCAACTGCTCGAACGGCTACCAAACCTGATAGGTAGTAACAATTATGAATTTCAAATTGGCCGCTCTTTCTTCATTCGAACACTCGATTTTCTTAACGAGATCCGTTCCTTTGCAGATTATTGTATATATATTAATGGATAAATTATTTGTTGATTTTTAAAAATACTAGCTGCACTATCAGTGCGACGTGTGCATTTTTTCCAGGAATATGGAGGACATAAACTTTGTAGTTCCATTTAGAATGGTTGTGTTTGTTTACGTGAAGCTGCACCATCAATGGTCAGCTGACTAGTGAGGGCCCATGGCACCGCCGGAAGAAGCTCCCGGCACCGGGATGCCTTTAACAGTGAACTTAAAACTCAAGTATGGATGGCCCTTCCCGGACATGAAGGATCCCCCTCTCTCATTTAAAGTAAAGAGTAGCATTATAATTCCTTTGGTTGGAACTTTCAGCAAGATTCTCTTAAGTAAGTAGCTTGGGTATATTTTAGCTCACCCAATTTTGACTTTGTCCTTGATGCCCAGTACTGTATACTTAAAGTGAGAGTAGGGTCACGGTTCTGTATGACGACCACAACCGCCGAGCCATGAACCCCTTACGGAAATAAACAGTAAACAGACTCATATTTCAACCTAATGAAACTTAACCAAACTTTAGGGTGAGTTAAATTTCATTGCTTGGTACTAATGTTATTGTTTACCTGTACTAGGAGTACAGTCTTATATAATGTAAAAATAAAATAAGAAAATGAGATACTACTTGAGAGAGCTTTCAAGGTCTAGTTAAGCACTTGAAAACAAAGATAATTTTTAAAGTGGGTAATAGTCTGGAAAACAGGCTCAAGAGAAGGAGCAACTTTAGGAAAAAAATTGTGTCCTAGAAAGCTTGGTAAAACATGACAACAGTTGCAAGCTTGAACCACCAACTTGAGGATATCTCTCCAAAGAAGATGAAAGCTTTCTTACCTCATAAGAAAGACAAAAAAGTGGACAATGAATATGTTTTGCATATGATCATCTTATTTTTTTTCATCTTTACATCTATGGATGCAGTGGCAAGGTCCATCAGTGCTACTATAACATGCTGTCTACAAAGATATCTTCAGACTAACCTAACCTAACCTAGCCTTACCTAACCTAACCTAACTTAAACTAAATATCTTGTAGACTGCACACTATGGCAGCACTGGTCCATCCTCCATGTTTCTTTGATCCACATGGCCATTTCCATGATGATTCCTTTCATAAAAGAGATTTATATTTTTTAGGATATAGTGGATAACTGTAGTATATATTTCAGGTAAGGTTAGTTACTTTACATAAGGTTAGTTTGGTTTGTTTTATGAATTATAATATTATTGTAGTACTCTGATACAGTACTTCCTAGGATGAGAGTGTATTATTTTAGGTTCGGTATATCACATTACATAGGTTTGGTTAGGTAAGATATGGAAAAGTCACTCGGAATCATTTGATCACTCAACTTTTAGTCGGTCACTGGAAACCATTTGTCAACAGAAGCATAGTAATGGTGGCCTTGTGTGCATGGTCTGTATTTACTCTTAACAAAAAAAAAGGGGGGGTCTGGGAAAAACAAAAGTAAGAAAGTTGAAATTACTCAATTTTGTTATAGCATACTATATATATATATATATATATATATATATATATATATATATATATATATATATATATATATATATATATATATATATATATATATATATATATATATATATATATATATATATATATATATATATATATATATGACTGGTTTGGTAGAAATTTGATGAAATCTATAGGGTGTAAATGAACCATCCACTGCTGCTAGTGACAATTAACAATAATAATGCCATTTGATTTGTGCTGGTATTAACATTTACAGCAAGTGTTCAAAGACCCCAGGGGTGTTGAGAATGCTTGTCACACTGTCCTGTACACGGCGCCACACTTCCTCATGGTTTGTGAACCTCTGTAACATACACCTTGCTTTCTATGTGACCCCACAGGTAGAAATCAAGGGGATTTATGTCAGGTAACTGTAGGTTTCATCACATTACTACCAAACCTGTCATGTGCTGTAACTCCGAAACTATTGAGAAATGACAGTTTGATCATTTAGTCATTTATCTTTATTTAAATCTCAGGAATACACTCCCTGATTTATGAAAGGTATTTATGGAACACCCTGTATATACAAGATGCTAGAAATACGTTTTCTCATGAGGCAGTCATGTAAAGTATTACCCAAGAAAAAATTTAAGTGTTTTTCACTAAAAGGTTTAGGACAAGAAATAGTACAGTACAGTGCAGTACTGTATTTATGAAAGAGTATGAAATAATTTCCTTCCCATCTGCCACTACCCGTGGTGCTAAGTGGCTATGCTGAACTGAGATATACCATCACTGAACTTTGATTCTTAGTAAGGTTCAACCATTAAGTATTTTCATTTGAACCTAAATGTGAACAGTAGTACTAATTATAACAGCAGTCATCGGTCAGTTCCTGCTGAAATCAGATAAATGATGGTTTGTTTTTATTTGCCAGAGCTGCATAAGCACTGGCATGTGGGATACTTTTTATTGAAGAGATCGGTACATTGTTTGACCTTAATCTATGAGAGAGAAATAATATTTCTTGTACATTTTACAATTTCCTTGAGATGTGCACAGATTGCCTGAAAATATTTGGGGTGGTTACCAACTCTTGGACATGGGGATACCACCTTAATAGATTGAATGATCAAGGTACAGTAATTACGGAATCCATTTGATATTAAGGAGCAGCTGTATCAAGTCATTGTCAAAGTACAGAGGTCACACCAATGAATTCAGTAGTACAGTGCTGTACTTATTGGGATACATGGTGAATTCAGTCATTATCGTGCTTGAAGAATTCATTCATTATAAAGGTACAGTACTGTAATTGTATGCTTATCTGGTTAGTTTTGAATGTTGTTCTTAGGACAGGAGCTGTCCACAATCTTCAGATTATACTATAGTGTATACTCATTTGCCTTTGATCTTATTAACCCCTTCACTAAGGGGACTCCATTTTTAATATTTGATTTGGCTAACGCCAGACAATTTTATTTGGCTTGCAGTCACGACCATATACTGTACAAGGGGTTATTTGTGAAGCATTTAGGATTATAACCACTGGTTTTGTTTTGTCTTATATAGGAACAACTGAGTACAGTGCACACGTGAACTGTTTGAATATTACCGTATGTATAACTCGATTTTGGTAGAATAATGGAGGAGGCATAAGAATTATTCAAAATAATTAAAAGAACAAACTAAGTTCATTCATTTTTTTCAGAATGGTGTAACAGTATAAACGGTCACAATATAGAGCAACTACAGGAATTGGTTGGCAATAGGCCGGCAGGTGTGCCTCTTGTGACTGTATCAAATCATTACTCCTGCATTGATGATCCTACACTTTGGGGTAAGAAATTAGTCTCTCTTTACATGTAATAATCAACTTCCACACTCTTAACATGGACTACTAGGTTCACATTACCGGATTTTGTGGCCAGGGGCATTCAAGTTTATTTATTTATTTAATTATTTAGTGCTCTTGAGTCAGTTTGGCAGGAATGTTTTGTTCCCCTTGAGGGTCCATGTGAACCTTTGAGTATCACCTCCTCCCTTTCTAGTGACTACAGTATACAGAGTTGTTCAATCAATGGAGGATTGGTCCAGAAAATCGCATTTATAACAAGTTAAGAGCAAGTAAATAATTATCTCTCCCTCTTCCTCTGGGGTGCTGAGGTGAGCTGGATCTGGGGTGATTGATAAGGTTTCAATGCTTTGTAACTGTAGTCAACAAACGAAGGAATGGATTAAAGCGTCTTTTGCTATGTTCAACTGTTCACGACAAAACTCTGAATACTTTTCCTGTTTTATGGTATCTCCTGAAGTAGATATCCTTTGGGATCCCAGTGTGAAAGTAATGGCTAATATTATAAAATTTAATTGGATTTTAGATCACTCTGGCTTGTTTATGCACCATCACATTTATAAAATGGGATTTCAGGATCAACCCCTCACTTTACCAGTGAAGGAAAAAATAAAACTTGGGAAGTACTGTTTATGTGTGTAAACATAAAATTACGGTAAGAAATCTTTGGATCTAATCCATTTAGCAATTTGCAGGTTTGTTAAGATGGCGAGAACTTTGGAGTGCTCAAGCAATGCGTTGGTCCCCTGCTGCTCATGATATTGCTTTCACTCGTCGTCTCTACAATTGGTTTTTCAGCTCTGGAAAATGTGTTCCTATTATCAGGGGACTGGGAGTGTATCAGGTTGGTATTAATTAACCAATGATGTGTGCTAGTAAAATCATGTTTCTTCTAATAAGTTTTGTCACTCCTTTACAATTATTTTTCTTTTCTACCTTAAAAGTAATGAAAAAAAATTAGGAGATTTATATCATTTTTGCAGTGATATAATTGTTTTTTTCATTGTTTGTAGCTTTTTATTAATTCACCTGAGCTGAAGGCTCACAGATCACAGTACCGTAGTGGACTGGATATAATGTTACTTGTATACTCACCATTAATGAGTTTTCTGCACCCCTGTTGGTGGAATCATAATCAATGTTTTATGGCAATTTTCCATGCTTGCGAGGGTTCGTCGAGGTTATCTGATGGCAGCTGTTGGGTAAATCCAGAACAGGATGCTCCCTTGCTCATAGATCTTTATACAAATAAGTTTTTTTTTTATGTAATATTTGAACCATTCATTTTAAATGATTTATTCAAACACTTGATTTTAAAGACTCGTCTGAATAATGAATATTGACCAGACTTAGTGGCACTGTGGAGTTCCTATGGTGAGTCCACTAGGGTATTTTATTTATCTGGAGGTGTGCATTCCCTTGTTGGGATACTTAAGTTGTTATTTTGACATGTCTTCTTCCATCCCTTTCTTAGCTGGTTTGGAATCATGCTTTTCACATGTCAAGACTCATAGGCCTTAAAACAAAGGATTACATTATGAAATCCGATTGTATGGTTAAGTAGAAGAGCTAGGTGGCCTAGAATCCCTTCATATTCAGTTGGTGGGTATCCTTATCTTTAGGAAGATAAGTAATTAGCGCGAGTCCCTCTTAGCCGGAATTGAAATTTTTTTGGAATTATTCGGGAAAATTTAGCATTTTGGAGCAGTTTTCCGTGGATGAAAATTAGACGCATTCTAAAAATCCTGAGAATAATTCTAGAAACTCTCTCTCCAATTTTTTTTCCGGGTCTGGGAGCAAATTCTGAGAATCAAATAATGTCAATCTGGGAAATTCCAAGAAGATTCCGGAACCTCCAAATTTTTTCCAGGTCTGGGAGCAAATTCCAAGGATGAAATAATTATGCAATTTCCGGAAAATTACGAGAAACTTTTCCCGGTACCGGGAAGAATTCTGGGGACGGGGGATTTTTTCCGGGTTTGAGAGTCGTCTCGTTACCCGGAAATCTCTCATTCCTGGAAGTGCTCTGCACCAATTGTTCTGGCTAACGGAAATATCACTTATAAGCATTAAAATTTTTGACCCAGTTTATGACAAGGGATTTGAGTCATGTAAATTCATCTCCAGGGTTCATCTCAGTGTACTGGCTCACTGGATACCAAGCATCTACTGAGTTTACTCCATAAACTCAGGTTTTGACCGGGCAAATAGCTGTTTATGAAACAGTTGACACTAACAGGACAGAGTCCCTACCTCAGAATATAAATAACTTATTGTGCAAGGTAGGGCCCTTCTCAGGGGTGTTATGGAGGGGGTAATCTCACAGGCTACTTGATTCTTCTTCAGTCATAAAACAAGATTTTGTACTTCAGTCCGTTTTCTTGTGCTGATGACATGGCTCTTGTTTTATTCACTATGTTTTTTGTTTTTTATCTTTCCCTGTGCAACTTTTCTAATTGTTTTACCTTTGCTATACAGTACATAGTTCAGTTATTCTATTAGCATTGGTTGATAATTTTATTCAGCATCCTTCTTTTTTCATCATCCTGTAATTTCATTATCTTTTAAGTTAGTATTTCTTTATATCCACAAGGCTGTAACTTATCAGTCATTGCATCTTCAGTGTAAACATAAAAGTCCAGTACACCAATTTCCCCATTAACTTCCATGTTAGGTTCCTGAAAACCACGACTTAAGTGAAACGACGTTAAGTGAAAATAATTTTACCAAAGACACAATGATATAAATAGGGGTACATTTATGGTAAAAAATTTCTCACAACTTGCCACAAATGTCTAACTTTCAACACCATCACCTTCTTGTTTTAAAGTTTCAAATAAACTTTGAGATTTTGCCTGTATGGAGAGTTATGAACATGGAAAGTTTTGTTGATGTTGATCTTTGATCCACATGTTCAGCATTCTTTCCATATTTTCCATAATGCCACGTCTGTTACGAGTTAATTTTGTAGCAGATAATGGGCTAACATTTTTAGCACCTGATTTGATATTTTCTGCATTTCCACAAATTGTTCTTACCTACAGCGGCTTCATACAAGTGCTGCAGATCTCTTGAAACTGAATGTCCCAATCACCCTAGACGAACCCAGTAATGCCATTCCTCCTTGGCTGGATATATCAGTTCCTATCAATTACACTTCTGTTGGTAGTAAGCAAATGTTAAACATCGATGTGATGAGATGTGTCACACAAGAAACTATTAACAGACACATAGAGAGTATTATATCAAGTGAATGTTATGCTTTTACTGATGGTTCTGTGCAGACAAACACAGGTAGAACAGGCTGTGCAATTGTAATATATAAAGAAAAAGAGATGATAGTGTCAAACAAGCAAAGGCTGAATAACTAGGCCAGCACAACACAAACTGAACTAACTGGAATCTACTTAGCTACAGACCACCTTAAAGAAAATGGAGGTGGGGTGATATTCTGTGACTCAAAGTGCTTTGAAATCAATGAACAGCCCATCAGGCTCTATGTCTAAAGTTGTATGTGATATTAAAAGAAGTGTAAGACTGCCAATGAGAACAACTCTCATATCGAATTTGTGTGGATTCTGTCCCATGTTGGAATTAGGTATCATGACCGTGCTGATAGACTGGCCAATGAGGCATGTAAGAAAGAAAATGTTGACCGTGACCTTGGCCTGTCCAATGCTGTACTTAAAAATATTCAAGTCAGAATCATGAACTCTGATCTAGAAGAAGTGAGAAATGCAGAGAGACCTGGCAGTTGTAGCATCAGTAAATATAACAAATTTTGTAACAAGAGGTACCGGTATGGCCAGCATAAGGACAGAACCAGACAATGTGATGTAGTCGTGGCCAGAATTAGGCTAGGATACAGACACATCTGGCAAGTTAGTAACGCTGTACCCATACCGGAACACTCAGCATGTAAACTTTGTGATAAACCTTTAAAGCATACACTTGAACACTATATTATTGAATGTGACACTGTCAAAGACTTCAGGCCACCTGGCTTATTGTATAATGAACTTTGTAATTACTACATTGAATCGGGGGTGCTTGAGGACATTCTTGCTGTTTATCCCAAATTTGCTAGCCCACACTGATTAATCTTCAATTAGAATATGACGTCCAGTGTCTATGAACCACTGTCTTGCATGGCAGTGAACAGTGACATCACCCACATGACTCTCACCTGTATATACTGCTCATGAATATGATGTATTTCTTTGTGTACGAACCTCTCCTGCATGGCAGTGAACAGTGACATCACCCACATGAATCTGACGTATATATACTGTTAAGGAATATGATGTATTTCTTTGTGTATGAACCTCTGTCCTGCATGGCAGTGAGAAGTGATACCACCCTCAGTGTCAAGACCAGACTGAATTATTCAGAATAGGCAAACTGTACTCCAAGGTTTGTCAATACATTTGTTAAACTAAAAAAAACTACAGTTGTAGGCTGCAAACTGACAGCTCTTGCTATTATCCACAGCTCACTGTCCCTTTTCAAATTCTCTTTGCCACATCTAATTTAACTTCTAATATAACACTTTTCCTCTTTTTCTGTGAGCACATTCAGCAGTGGTGCATAATGTATGTATAGCACTCATTGTTCTAGGGCCCAAATAAATTTATAATTGGATTTTAAGTGAATGTTGGAAGGGCATCAACCAACCACCGAACAATAACAAACAAATATGGTACCATCATTGGTTGCTTACACAGCCAGGCACTGAGCACCTCCATACTGATTTTTTTAATTTGTTGTACATTTATCATTTTCATACATTTTTTTAACGACGTTATAACGAAACGACTTTAATGAGGGAATTGGAGTGCTTGTGATTTAAGACATTCTTTTTTATAACAGGTTAGTTTTCAAACATTTAATAAATATAAAATAAAATTTCCTTACTCTTATTTAAAAAGAAGAGAGGAATGTCAATTACTCTAGATGGTTATTGATAATACTTATTTTTCTTCCCCAGGAAGCAATGGATTTCTTGATTGAGAGACTCCAGGCAGGTCAATGGGTGCATATATTTCCTGAGGGGAAAGTGAACATGAGTATGGAACACATGCGCCTCAAGTGGGGTGTTGGAAGACTAGTGTATGAATCATCAATATGCCCCATTGTTTTACCATTCTACCATATTGGAATGGACACTATTTTACCCAATCGAAGTCCTTATATCCCCAGAGTGGGAAAAACAGTAACTGTTGTGGTAGGGGAACCCATGGATTTCAAGCAATTAGTCTCAGAGATGAAGGAAAAACAGGAGGACCCCGCCACAGCACGTAAAATAATCACAGACAGAATCCAAGACGAACTAAAGAGATTAAGGGGCAAAGCTGAAGAACTTCATGAAAAAATGCTTCAACAGAGAAATCGATGAGAAGAAAGATAATAGAATTTCAAATTATATTATATTTAAGGTAGTAAATGAAAGTGTACACTCACTAAAAAAATATTCTGCACCCTTGACTCTGAAACCATTTGCAGCAGAAGCCGTGATGAGTGTTATCATATTTGTTGGTCTGGTGTGTCATATTGTATAACTCCGTAAAGGTGCAGAATAATCTTTTAGCGAGTGTACATTGAGCTTGTTGCTTTCACTCCAGATCAGTGACCAGTAATGTCCAGGCCAAAGTATTTGTAGTTTCTGTATGTGATGAAGAAACTCTAGGACATAGAGAAGTTTATATATGAATGGCATTGTTGTTGAAATTTTAGATGCAATTAGTTTTTAAGATTTTTGTAAATGGATCATTTACTGCCTTTGGATTTTTTTTTTTTTTTTTTTAAATTTTATATGAAACTTAATCTGGGCATATTTAATCCAGACTCTGACTGCTATTTTATTTATAAGTCATGCAAGGAAGCAGCATGTCCAGCACTGGACTCAACTGCCTTCACTTCCCCAACTTGTAAAGTTAAGTATCCATTTATATCTGGGTGTGCTAGGAGTGCCTGAGGAATGAACCACCAACCAATAGGGCAGGAGCCAAGTACTGTACTATATCCACTCCAGTCAACTGCCACACTGGGACTAAATTCATGAAATCCAGAAAGTAGTATCTCTCCTGACTTAACCATAGCACCTAAAACTGAGCACTGTACAGTACTTGGAAACATAACTAACCATTCTTCCATGCTAACACGTACTCCACAACCTGTTGCCATGGTTACACACGGTAACAGGACCAACCATAGTATATTCCTGCTAATGGGATGCACTGAGGCTTATTCTATTTTTTGATAGGCATGAACTTTATCAAACATATAGACATATCTAACATGTAATGCCAAAAAAAAAATTCCTAGCAAAAGCCATTACTATATAAATGGAGATGCATTTTTATAGACATTGTTTAGGCCAAAACACATAATACAATACAGCTACAAATGAAAATAAACCCATTTTAAAATGAAAATTTAATATTCTATGATAAACTATGATACACGAAAGACCTGAATTTAACTTGCTAAAATCAATGTTGATTGCTGCGTGTTGTGATAGTGGCTTAGAGATCTTGCATTAAGAGTTGCTGGGAGGGAAGTCTTCAGTAAGATACTGTACCTACAAGTGCAAACTGAGAGAGAGTAACGCTCGCTCGTTTTGAGCTGTGGTGGACAAAATACAGTGCCGTACTGAACTGGAAAAAGTTACTTATTTGTAAAAGTATTGTTACTTTGAGAAAAACTTATTCAACTAAACGTTGGGTAGATACAAAAGGCACTTCATTTTAATAGATGTTCCACAACTACTTTTTAATATTACACACTGATGAGACGTACAGACTAAAGTACTGTAGTGAGATAACCATTGGCCTCCCTAAATAACTAGTAAATTAAAAGTACTGTATCACTGTCTGAAATGTTACTGTACTCAAGGAAAAATAAACGTACCAAGAGGAAAAGTTACTCTCACGTAACTTATTTGTTAACAAAATATATGAGTGCAATATCAAGGCAACTTTTACTTCATTACCACCCAACCCTAGATTTCAGTAATGGTATTGCGATGGTTTTGTTGTCTGGATGATAGGATTATTTAGGAGGAGCAGCAGCTGTTCAGTGCCTTTTTTTTTTTTTTTTATCTTTCTAACTCTTTGGCTTCGAGTACCATGGGGTCCATGTTTTAATAGTACCCATTGAATATTACAGGGTACAGCTTGCATTTTTTATTTATGTGCCATTCATTTAAACTTCCCACTTTCTATTTTATTCCCCCTGAGACTCTGAGGGCTTCTGCACTACCCATGCAGCCGCAGCCACAGCTCTCCACTCTTGGTCAATCCTCAACCATGCCAGAATGTAGATGTGGTGTCAAATACAGTGTCCTCTCAAATAAGGAAATTGTGAACAATTAGCGGGAGAAAATGAACCATGGAATTCAGACGGATGATAGCTACAATAATGCTATCAGCTTCATTATGTGTGTGTGTTTTGAATAATTTAAATTTCATTATATGTTTTATTGTTATTTAAAGGATATATATATATATATATATATATATATATATATATATATATATATATATATATATATATATATATATATATATATATATATATATATATATATATATATATATATATATATATATATATAGGGTGTCCCATAAGTTTCCATACAACGTATCACCAACGCCATTACAAGCATGATTCCAGCTGTGCTTGAACGTGTTCTTTAGCAGTGGAGGACACACATTGAAGAGTGTTTTCAACAGAATGGTAGTCATGTAGAGCATATTATATAAATAAAAATGGATTTTCATATAAAATTTATTTTTCCTATGTATGGAAATTTATGGGACACCCTGTATATATATATATATATATATATATATACTGTATACAGTCAGTTCTGCTATAACGCGATAGTTGTGTTCTTGTAAAACATCGTGTTATAGAAATTCACGTAATAGAAATAACAGGGCTTATGGAGAAAATAGGGTTAGGTGCAGATTACTACTCGAAATCTAAAAAAAATTTAGTAGTTAGCCTAACACAAAGGTTAGCACAGTCTAAATAAATGTTACATTTATATCTAATAATGAAATCATACAGTAAATGTAACACTTTACCTTGAAAAAATATGAATATAACTTGATGGGGGAGAAGGGTGATTTTGAGGCTGATAACATCGAGCTTCTCTTCAAGGGTTATAGCCTTTCTTTTACGATCATCACTGGGAATGCGATCACCAGAACGCTTCTTGGAGATATTCTTCTTTACCATATTCACAGTTAATACCACAAAATTGGAGAAATAGCAAGCAAAAATCGCGTTACAGCAAACACGCGTTATAGCAGAACTCACTGTATATATATACCAACAACAATCGACCATAATTTTTGGCTGAAAACATTACAGTAATTGAGGTAGGAAGGTTGAGACCATTTTCCTCAGAGTGAATCAGTCTTTAAAACACAAATTTTGAGATATGGTTCATTTTACTGGAGAATATAAAAATGCATTCCAGTGGTGGAAGTCATATATGTATTTGTCTCCCTGTGCTCCCTTTGGACTCTGATTTGGTTTTAACAGATGCCTTTAAGTCGAGTAAGAGTTTTCATTCTTCTGCAGGCGTAAATCACGGGACATTGATATTTTGCTTCATAAAAAGTTTTATATTGCTCCATTCTTGTCTAATACATAATGTATATGGGACATAAGCTTCAGGCAAGAATTATTGTTTTATTGATAATGCATTGGCTGTGGCATCTCCCTTTATTGGTAAATATGAAGGAAATTGTTCATCCAAGTTTCAAGACATTCTTGTACCATACAGTTGTGCCTAAACATATTTCTTGGACACTGAATATAAATGCTGGTGCTTTGTCTAGTAATAGAACAATGCCTTTTGGCATTTGTCCAATAGTGGAACTCTTTGCAATGTTGGATGAACACCAATTTCTGGTATTTATTTCATGTTTCCAGAAGGGGGCTCAGTGGGTGGGCGAATGCATTTTCCAGGTGATTTTAAAGCCAAGACTGTTCAAGAGAGGTCACTGGTTTGGTGCCTTCTTTCAAGCCCAATAAGGTACTGTACTACATGTTCCTTCAACTGGCTCAACTCTGTCCAAATCCTGTTCCACTTCTGACCAAATTCTTAGTCAAAGAAGGGGAGTGAATGACATTTGATATCCCAGTCCTCAAGTCAATAAGTTACATACACAGATATTTTAAGAAGAACGAAGTATAGTGATGGGTTAGTGAATAGTGGTTTTATGACTTGAAGGTGCTAAGGTTATAATGCAGTGATTATAATTTGTTTTACTTGGTTGCACTAGAGATATGTGGTTTAATACGTCAGCAAGAGAGTTCATATAAACAGTTTGGCAAGTCATCCCCGAGCCTGGACATTAGTTACAATCCTGAGGTGAAGAAACTCAGGATTGTGTAGCCAAGGGGAACTCAAAATTTGTTCCTTTATCTCTTATTATTAATCAGAGACTATATTAGTTTAGTAGGACATAAGCATAGCAGTTTTAACCTTTGGGTACCTTTGTGCCGCTTTTTAATTGGTTTTGTTTTACATTGTTGCACGATCCTGTTGTAGGTAATAAAAGGGAGATTGATTCTAGAAACCCTTTTTAAAATTATAAAAGGCACAATGGAGTAACATGTTATTCCTCTCTCTCTCTTTGGGATGCCGAGGTGAACTGGATCTTGGGTGGTTGAACAGGTTTGAGTGTTTCATAACCAGTACTGTATTAAAGAGTGAACAGATTGTAGAATCTCTTGTTCTACTTACAACAAACTTTTCGGTGTTCTCTCTTTAGAGTCCAGTACTGTACCTTCTCATCAACTGGACTTATTCAGTTTTTAGATCCCAGTCACAGGTAAGGGCCCTGTATCCTGTTTGCTGACTATGCCGAGTTGCATAATCTTAACTTCTTATTAAACAGTATTTTAAGAAAAATCTTCCAATTAGGACCTATGGTGAAGTAAAAAAAGAGAGAATCCTTTTAGGTTTCTGGAATTTAGTCTCTGTCACACAAGGTAGGGGTCCGGGGAACTCTGGGTTGTCATACCTATAGATTGTTGACATCATGTGAGTCCCACATCTATGCTAGGTTATAAAATGGGGTTTCCAAAATAACTCGTACTTTTTTCTTTCTTTTTATTCCTATTGTTGATATTACAAGTACTGTGTTATTATTATTATTATTACTGTCATTGTTATTCTTACTACTATTAATTTTATTGTTTTATTATTATTATTGTCCCCAAAATATGAGCTCCCCAAAATATGAGCCTTCTTTCCTTACATATTTCACAAATCATGGTAATATTGTACCACTTATAGCAGAGAAGTCTTAACAATAAGAAAATAATTGGGTATGAGAAAAATCACTGATTAAACTGTATAGTACAATATATTAAAAATATCTTTTTACTGGTTTTCATTTTTAGTACACTGTATTGCAAAATTTGAAGAGGAAGGTTATTTCCAGGTAAGATAATATAGTTAATTTGATTTATTGAAGTGTGTGTGTATTTTAGTTTATCTAGCTTTAAGTTAAACCAAAATGTTCAAAATGTTTTTATAACTTTATCAGGGCTATTTGTAGCACAAAACTGCTAATCAGTGATTTTATATACCTATACAGTACGTATATATATATATATAAACTACAATACCCTGTGACCCAGATAGCTTCCTTTTGAGTTATCCCAGACAGAAGGACCTGATAGTTTTGGTATACAGTAATTGTATATACAGTATGTGGATAAACATTTTTATTGCCAATTTTCAACTGTGTTTATTGTCCCTAAGTCTACCATTACTGCAGGTAAATGAGACAAACCAGTGTTTGAAAGTAAATAATTAATTAAAAAGCAAGTTCCTGCAACACAGGAGACACAATGGTCCTCAGATTCACTTGTCAGGGAGGCCATTTTTAAGAGACTGCACTGTACTAAAATTAGGATTATAATATGTATTGTACTGTACATATTGAAGTTCATTTTCAAAATTTTTATTTCTTAGTTATAAATTTATTATTAGTTCATATATTTAAGCAGGTGTATGATTATTCCTGCATGTGTGTGTGTGTGTGTGTAAGGATTAACATGGGAAACTAAGTTGTTGTTTTTTTAATGGAAGTCTATGGGAAAATGTGCTTTGATTTACGAATTATTGATTTCTGAAAGGTTTTTCAGGAAGGAAACATTTGTAAATTGGGGTACACCTGTACTTTGGTGCTTCTTGAGATGGCGGTAAATGCTTTTAAGTAGAATAAATACAGCAGTCCCTCGACAATTGCGGGCATTAGGTTCATGGAAAACCCTGCGGTTGGTAAGACTAAAGGCTTATGGGAAATAGGGAGTTAGGTTCAACGGCCACCTATAGCACTCATCAAAGCCTAAGTTGCCTGTTCCTTCATAAAACAATACATGTACAGTATTGTACTGTACATTTCATTAAATTTAAGTAAAATACAGTACAGTGATCCCTCGGTTAACGAATTACCTTCCATAAGATTCTTCACTTCGGTTAACGAAAAAATTTAGGTTAACGAATTCCTAACAAATTTTTCCCAACATGTTTTCACCTGCTCACCAGCTGTAGTATTAGTCCGCCAATACAGTAATCGGTTTTAGGGCTTAAATTCGTTACCATTTGAGTAAATATCAAGAAGGTTGTACTATTCAATAATTTTCCAAGTTTTATATTAAAGTTTTTAGTCATTTTAACAATTATTTAACATAATTGAAGTACAGGGAACTAGCTTTTAGCACGCCAAACAGCCACTCAACACACCCAAAATGGCATCAGTGTGTGTCCCTGCTCAGTGGAGGAAGCTTCTTGCTTGAGACTCTCTTGAACATAAACTATTTTTAAGTTTTTACAGTACATTCATTCTGAAGTTTATTTTACATATTGACAATATATAATGCAGTGCAGTGTTGATTTAAAGAAAATAATCTTGAATTACACCAAGTGAACTAACATTTTATGGGTGAAATGGCAGCATGGGGTGACTTCTCTTCCACCCCAATGCCTTCTCTTCTCCCTTCTCCTCCACCCCCATTCTAATTCCCATCATCATCAACTAAGAGCCTTCTACATGCATACCTCAAAGTAAGTGTACTTTACTGCATTTATTTTTAGTTTTTATGTAATTTTCGGTGAGCTGGAACCAATTACCGAAAATCCCATTGAAACAATGGTTTCGGTTAACGAACGACCTTCTGGAACGAATTGTGTTCGTTAACCGAGGGACCACTGTACATATAAAGTAGCATAATATAAATTAAATAGTAATTTAAATTTAACCGTACACAGTACTATCACATTTCAGGACGCAATCATTCTGCCAAGTTCTAAAACAGATATACTAGGTCTCACCATTTCCTCCTAATATGTCATGGAAGCCACAGATCCATAACATTGCTAAAGCTGCCTTCCGAAAGCTGGAAATGTTGTACAGATGCCGTAGCTACTTCACTCCTGAGCAGTTGCTTCAAATTTATAAGGGATTCATTCGTCCTAACTTGGAGTACTGCCCTCATATCTGGGGTGGCTCTTCTTCTGTCCAACTGTTAGATAGGGTGGAATCAAAGGCATTTCGTCTTATTAACTCTCCTCCTTTAGTTGATAATCTTGCTTCCCTTTCTCTTCGCCGCAATGTTCCTTCACTCTCTCGCTTTTACAGGTATTTTAACGGGCAATGTTCGGTGGATTTGACATCCTGTGTACCGCCGGCAAGGCGGTGGGCTCGTAACACACGTCTTGCCCGCGGTGCCCACCGTTTCTCTGTCGTTGTTGGTCACACTAGAATAACCCATTATAGTACCTCCTTCTTTCCTCACACAGCCAAACTGTGGAATGCTCTGCCTTCTCTTGTGTTTCCATACTCATACAATCTGTCTCACTTTAAAAAGCTGGTTTTCTGGCATCTTTGTGGTGTAGATTAATATAATCTTTTTCCTTTCTATTTTTAATTTCTTATTGCAGTACTCTTATTTTTTCACCCCTCCCCCCCAGGCCCCACTGTGGGTCAATGACCTGTGACCTGTGCCCGGGTTGGCTATTCCCCGTAAAAAAAATAAAAGAAAAGGTATTTACCTTCATTGAGGATGATGTGGAGGGAGAGGTAGTTATTATAAGGATGATGGGGACACAGGCCAATTTTCTTCCTGCACCTCTTCAGGTTCATCAATATATGATGTGGTGGGTGGCTGCTGGTGGAGATTGGCCGCTGGTGGAGACTGGAGTGTGGCCGCTGGTGAAGACTGGAGTGTGGCCGCTGGTGAAGACTGGAGTGTGGCTGCTGGTGAAGACTGGACTGTGGCTGCTGGTGGAGACTGGAGTGTGGCCGCTGGTGGAGGGTTGTGGATGGCTGCTTGAGGCAGCTATAGCAGTTTTGGTTAGTCTTGCTAAATAATCTCAGGATGAATGGCTGCTGAATTTTATATTTTTTTTTAATCCCTGTAACCGGGTGCATTGCCTTGAACCCCAGATTTTGTTGGCAAGGTACTGGTCAACCCCATGCACAAAACAGTTGTTAAATCAGTCCATGAAGACCGCAGCAGTAACCCAGGTCTTATGGTTATACTGCCAAAAGACGGGGAGGTGATTCTTATTCTTGGCCTTCAGGGCATGGGGGTTCAAGAGACCAGTAGAAGAGCTTGGGCTTTATGAAACCATCCCTTGAGGCATTACTACAAAGGAGAAGGATCAGCTGGCCTTCACTGCTCTAAACCCAGGAGCAGACCTCTCAACCTTCGAAATGAATGTTCTTTTTGGCAGGCAACCTTTTCCTGAATCAATTTCATAAATTCTCCAGGTTACAGTGCAGCGGCCTGGTGATCAGCTGATGCAGTTTCACATTGTGCAGGCTATAACTTTTCTTAAAGTTTTCAAACCAGCCTTTGCTGGCTTGAAACATTATGTCTGCAAAATTTTCCTCAGCCATACCCTCAATAAGGTGACTATATCTGCCTGGCCTTCACACGTATCACCTCCGAACTTAGGCAAATTTTCTGTGCCTTTTCCATTTTTTCTAGATTATGGTCACGTGGCATATTAGTACCTTTGCACTTTTCAATGTGCCACAAGCAACACTAGCTCTTATTGTAGCCTCACTTTTCTTAATTGTAAGAAACAAGGCTTCGTTTACCCCCATGATGTGTCCCACTGATGCTATGTCTCGCCACATGCTATCGATCACTTCAACTTTCTTTTCTAGAGTCAATACATTCCTTGACCTCTTTACTTTCTTCTCACCTTTATCACTAAAGGCAAAATCAATGTTATTACTGCAGAAAATACATAATAAATATCCAGTGTACGGAGTAGTAAAATACATCTACACGGCGCACTAAACCGTGGATACTCGAAATTCAATGTTGTTGTTGGTGAAATGGAATACAGGGTAAAAATCATGGATCCCTGAAGTCCGTGGTTGGTGGGGACTACTGTATCTTTATATCGACAAAATATATATTAAATGTTCCCATCTGCTAGGATGATAATACATCTCAGCATGATGTATTATAGATGAATTAATTAAGTTTAAAAGACTTGGTACCAATACTCCACAAGGAAGCAGAAGAAAGTTTATTAACTGATACAATAAAAACAACAATACATATCCCAATGTAACTGCTCCATACAGTACAGGATTTATCTTCCAATATACACTGCACATTCTAAGGTGTGTATACTCTCACTTTCCGAGACTAATTGGATCATAGAAAGTCAAGAAGACATTATGACACAAGACTGCTATGAAGCCAAGAGAGATAATGATGAATATAAAGTACTTCAACAAGTTTTTAGCTCCCCCTCCCCAAGAATGAGGTGTGCCCACTTATGTCAAGAAACCATACAGCATTAAGAGAGCCTCCAAACAAACACTTTATTACATCATCATTAAGAACACCCATATTAAGTTTGAATAAGAACCATGTGTTGAAAGATGCAAAACATAAAAAAGCTCAAGTGCACTGCTCTTTAATCACATGAGGGTAAAATATGTTTTTTGTAGGTATACAGATTAATATGCTTCAAGTGTTAACAATTAAATTTTTTAAACAGAAGCTCCATGGGTCAGATGATACCACTCTGGACTTAAAGTTCATTAGGTGCAAGTTCAGGCCTGTGCTCAGCGATGGTAGTGTGATGTTTAGTTTAAGCCAAACTTTCTTTCTGGGGGTTACCGCCTCATAAATTGTGGTACTGTAGCAGCAAGGAGTTAGTGTCAACTACATTACTTGAAGGAACCTCTTACTTTAAATGGAATTGGTTATGTTATAGCTGAAGGAAACATTTTATATGGCATGTAGCTATATATTATAACAGCACCAGAAATGAGAATTAGATGTCATTCAGAGCAGGTTTGAACCGTCTAACAGCTGTATTTTTACTGTAATATTTATTATAGTCGATTCTCATAATGAGTTGAGATGTATACTGTGATCCCTGGTGAAGTCTTAAGTTGGACAGCACAAAGAAGAGCCGAGCAGCTGCACGCTCAAATGCTTCATTAAGTTCCTTGATTTGCTCTGTGCTATTTAGGAGAACTGGTTGTGTGCCAAGGGGCAAGACTGGGAGAAGCAGAGCATTTTTACCCTTAGAATCATTATTAAATAAAGATTCAAGAATGGAACAAAATTTATGGATGAGCTTAAGTAAGTGTTGTAAACAATTGCTAACCAAGGTGTTATTAAGGAAACACTGGGCAGAGACTGAGACAAGGAAGTTGTGGTGGGCTCGAACCAAATGTTGATAATCGTGAGTCTTCCCGATTTCTGCAATTAGCTGCCAGTGCTGCGACTCCAAAACATCAACCTGAGGTTTTAATACATATATAAGCAATTTTTCACATTAACCCTTAAACTACGGCCAAAGTCTATCGATGTTTACATAGGCGACCGTGACCGTCAATAGACACTGCTATTTCCCGCCAAAACATTTAAATGTACAGTATATGGTGTTCCTGTGCTTTGTTTAAGGCCAACCATCACTGGTAAACACCCTGTTTCCCTACTGAAGCCTTTGTAGCAGTTTCTAAGCAAGGAAATAATTACAGGAACAAATATATGTAAGGGTAAAATAAGTGCAGTCAGTTAATAAGTAAAAACCCACTGACTACTTCATGGTATGCCGGCCAATGCCCAAACACTGAACACCAACATCCGAACTTCACTCAACAACACATGGGTCCCTGGCTATTATTGTGTGTTATTATAATGGAATTGCAATTGCACATGGAGAAAAACATCAACAAGATAAATTGTAAGGTAACTAAAACTTTTTCTTATTCCGTAATTTGGCAAGATTGTCAACAAAAAATTAAAGAAAATTTACTATTTTTGTAAGATTTAGTATTCCAGTTTTATTTTGCGTAAAAAGAGTAGCCAATATTTCCTGGGCCACAGGTTAAAGGTTAAAATAAATACTTATTTGTTAAATTACCTCTGATTAGGTCATCTAGGTAAAGTTGCTCTTGAAACACCTAGACAAAAAAATCAACCTTTGAAAAAACTATGAACTATTAACTCAATTGTTTCTACAAGCTAATTATTGAAAAGAGGAAAAAAATAGTACATGTGGATAATAGCAACATTTCATTCTATACCTGCCCCCCACAATGGTAGAAGGCAAGTTACATGCATATAAGTCCTGTTCGATCCTATATGTTGTGGGATGAAATTTCTTATGTAAAATATTTAATATTGACAAAAGTGATACAATACAGCACTGAGAATGAGAGAGAGAGAGGGGGGGGGCAAACTCGGTACAAACTAATTATAAAAGAAAAAACATTTGAGCTATATACCAGTTCATGAACTTTATTACCAAACAATACCTATCAAAGAATAAAGAAAAAGTAATATTGTGCTATACTTTTTCAAACTTTTTTTTGTGGTGGGGGGAGATAAAACAAACCCTTTATTCAATCTTAAAAGGTAAAATAAAATAGTAAGAAGAACAGTAAGAGGAAGTGTAAAAAAAAAAAGGAGAAAGAGGAAGAAGAAGAACCATTTTAAACATTTTATATGGGTTATAAGAAAATGGCAGATAAACAACAATTGTCACCACACAGTTATGGGCCACCTGGCTAGTTCAGACCACCAAGGATTTGCTGTATCACCTTTTAGACAATTTTTAAACAGAGTTACTGCAGCACGAGCATGAGGAGTGTTCAAAACTGTTGGAGTGACGTGCCGCATCCTGAGGTTAAGGTAAGTTACCTTAATAGGGGAGGAATTAAGCTGAGAACAAAGTTAACAGATGTACTCCAGACACATATGACCTTCAACTCTATGGTATATAAAAGGTAAAAAGCATATAATCTAATCTAACCACACCTACCTTCTACATAGTTTCCTGTCATGCTGTTTACTACATATATGGAGGAAGATACTGGTGTTACACTTCTATTTTTTCTTAATACATCAAAGAGTTTATAAGGAAATGTTTAATGAACTAACCTGTAAGTAATACTGGATGTTATCAATCAAGAGACTCATGTGATGCCTAAGTGTCCACTGTAGACGGTCTGCCTCACTCTTTCTGGAGGGGTGGGGGGGGGGTAAATTAAACACAGTTCATATATAATAATTTGCAAGGATTTTCATGAATTAAGATAAAAAAAATGGAAACTAAAACAATGTATAGTAAAATTAGGAAACGAATCCTGTTAAAGACAATAACAATGTAATGTATTATAAACTGCACACTTTGGGTTGTAAGTAGGTAAGAAAACCAATGTTGTAAAGATGCCCATTTCATTATTTATGTAAATTATGTTACACAAAATGAAATTAACGAGTTAAGTTGTTTTGCAGGTCAATCAATAGTAGAATTTCATCATTAGATGTGTAGTGTCTATGTGTGAAAATGACAAAAAATTGGATAAAAAATGGATTGAGCTGTTCATTGACAGAGCTTAGTCAATGTTGGAAGGAAATGCAGGACTTGAGGCACAGGTAAGAAAGAAGACCTCACATGCTGGCTGGATGCATTGTATGCTTCATAGACAGGTGTTATGTACGTTCTGGCTTTTAAGGGACTCTGGAAGGCATCACTCCCATTCATCTACAAGTCCAATAAAGAGGCTTGGGTGATGTCCTTTTTGAGGACTGGTTATCAAATAATTTTGTGCCTGAGGTGGAGAGATACTGTGCCTCAAGAATCTGCCATTCAAGATTTTATTGGCTCTTGATACCGTAATGCCCCTGGGCATTTTGCATTTTTTATTGATTTTCATTCAAATATTAAGGTTGTGTATCTGCCAACTAACAACCTCAGTTCTCCAGCCTATGAAACAGGGCATCATTGCTTCCTTTATAGAACACTACAGTACCACCGTAGGACATTTCCCCAAGCTATTACGGTAAGTAAAGGAATTTTGAAGGTTGTACATCACTGATGATGCAGTGAAGAATATAGCAGATGCATGGGACAAGATAAAGCAAAACTTTATAAATGGAGTGTGGAAGAAGAGTTGCCCTCAGTTTGTTAACGATTTCCATGGTTTTGATGAGACTGTTGGGGCAGTGACGAAAAAAGTGGTGACCCTTGGAAATCAACTCGAGCTTGAAATCGATGCAGATGATGTAACGGAGTTGCTTGATCCCCATACTACAGTTAACAAATAATGACCTGATGGAACTGGAAAAGCAGGTGATCGTAGAGGAAGAAGTTGTTACTCCAGAGCCCAAGAGATTCATCATCAAAGAACTGGTAGAAGCTATCCTGCTAGTTGAAAAAAGAACGGCAAAGTTTGAAGAGCAAGACTCAAACTCAAGATACACCAAGGTCCACAGAGTTGTCAGTGACTGTCCACGATGCAACAAAGAAATTTATCAAAAAAAGAAAAAATTCAGTTCAATCTTCCCTTGACAAATTTTATAAGAAGGTTGAAGGCAGACAGAACCAGTCCCTTCTAACTCAGCAGCAACCCCAGAACCAACAATGTCTCCATCATCATTTTCTTCACTATCATCTGATTAAGCCTATCTTTCTTCTCCTAGAAATGCCTGTTCCTACATGCAAGCCTCCATCAGGATTAAAACTAAGTGTTAGAAATTACATACAGTACTGTATTGTGTTCCTGTTTTTGCGGATTCTTATACAGGAATGCCCCAGCTATGGTAAAGGATGTGTTCCTAAAAGTTATAGTGAATAACAAATTTGCGACTATCGGGGCAATTTTCCCCATAAGAATTGATGTAAATATAGGGATATGAGTTCCCAGCTGGCAACTTTCACTACATATTATACTAATAAATATAAGAAAAGAAAAAATACCACAATGCCCTTTGGAAATAGTTGCACTACAAGCTGGACAGAGAGACCGGAATGGCTGAGGGCCTCATCACTGAGCACTAACTACCAACAATGTAAGAAATTTTTATTCCCTTTATGTTTTTGACCTCATGATAGTCTCTTTTTTTTCACATTCTGTATGAAAAATTGTGCGAGACGTAACGGAGTAAAAAGAAAACAAAATTGAAGAAAATTACAAGTACTGCAGTATCTACCCAAAACAACGAGTTGAAAAACAATAATAACGCAGCTCACAACTTGGCATGGTAGGGAGAGGCTGAGATCCCCAACACCACACCCCCTCCCCTCCCCCCCCACAATTGCATACTAACTACAGTGGGTATATGAAATTTTAATCTTGAATAGGGGTGTTAAAATATCAATCACAAATAAGTGGGATTGCAAATAGCGAGGTATCCCTGTACCTGTATGCTGTAACATATGTGTACAGTACTAATGTTAGATACTGTATTGTGTTCCTATATTGTATTTACTATTATTGTGTGTGTGTGTATGTATGTATATGTTGTGTTATGACTTACAGTACATACAATTCAAACTTATGAACATCTTGAGGAAGGGATCCCATTCATAACCCAGGACTGCCTGCAGAAGAAAACTTATTTCATAAAATTCTAAGACAGATACTGTACTGAGCAAACTTCATTTTGGAAAAAATCTTACCTCTGGAATTTAGTTCGCATCTGTGTGATCCATAACTGCTGCAGGCGAAACTGAGCTCTACGAACATCCAAGAGAAATGTGAAGATGGCATTGTACTTGTCCTGAACTGCTGAGGTGAACAGCTTGTGTAGCGGCCACTTCGCATGGTAGTCCAACCTTAGACTTCGCCAACTTTTATCTGAAAGATTTATCTAATACACCACAGGTACAGTATTTCTACCATCCAGCAGGCTAGCCTACACAGCATCTTCCAGTACGTATACTGTACACATCATGAAGCCTATCTTAACATCCCTCTATTGTAATGTCTAAATCCAATTATAAAGATATATACATTAGCTTTCTGTTACTTTTGGGGAAATGCAGAATATCACATTTCCGCACTTAGATAGAGTTCAAAACTGATGAATTAAATCCTTTATATTGTCTGTGAGTAGGAATCTTTCCTAGAAAAATGGATAAACTTTGAATTTGATCCTTCACACCAGAGCTACAGAACAGGAGCTAACCAATGACCATTCAAAAGTTTACAATATACTGTAATGTAAAAAAAAAAAAATGCAATGTGACCATCCCCACTAGTGAGCACTCTAGCTATTTACATATACAATGAATAACCATCATCATAGTGACACTAATAATTAAAGTTTTTATGACAAACAGGTTCTCGATGAGTGACGTATAAGATTTACTATTAATAACAACCCCAAGTAGAGCTTGTCCTTACCAAAGGAGTAGGACAAGTTTAACAGCAGGATACATTATACTGTACAGTATGTATGGACAATGTGCTGCAAGCAACTCCTCATCCCAGTGTCCCAAAGAAAAGGTTAGGTGTCAAAATTCAAGTGACAAGAAACTGAGGGAAGTTTCACTCAGCGACTGATAAATGTTGCCAAGTTATTAGACACCTGGTGACCTTGAAGCAGTGGCAATATCTGAGAATTGTAGACTTGACTGAAAGGTAATGGATGAGCCTGAAGTGGCAGACACAGAGAACTGCTAATGTGATGTCACAACTCATTATCCTCCTAATGAGTTGCAACAGGGAGGCATAACAGTTTTACTGAACAAATTTCAATTTCTCTGTCTATATAACTGATCAGTGAAATAATCCCAGTCACTAATGTCAAGCATGACTTGGGTTGCTGGGTAAATAAAGGTATCCCCGACTTAAGATAATCTGTTTTACAATATTCCGCGTTAACAACTATAATTAGGTTTAAACATCCTTGATCAATTTACGTTATGCAAAATCCACGTTAATGATAGTTACGGTGAAGCCAAACTTGCTGTCACAGAATGTAAACATCAGGGAAGTGCATCTTTCTCTTCACTTGTCAAATTCAGTGTCACCTACCCGTTTGCCGCTTCACCGGCACCCTGCATACTACAATCCTGCGCTTTATATCAACGTGATCGTTCCTGCCCTGGATCATGTGACCACCTTTATCATTATTTATCACTGAGCAGCCTTGTAATTGCTGTGTTACTATGCAGTTATTGGTAAAAGGAGAACATTAACATCCAGATTTTTCTCTGTTTTGGTGACTGTAAAGTGATTAGTGCAAAATATCTTACATAGCCACATGATCAGTGTGATAGTTTGCCATTTTGGGGGAGTGTTGTTCATCTTTATATTTTATTTAATGCATGTGAGTGCTGTTTAATTTTTTTTATTTATTTAATTAAAGTAGGATAACTTTTTTCTGCGTTACATGTCTGTGTCGGACAGGAGAGAAACGTATTCCATTGAAACCCATGTTAAAAGGGGCCTGACTTACGATATTTTGGTTTAATTTATGGTTTTTAGGAATGCAATCCTATCATAAATCAGGGGTTACCTGTACACTAAATGTTAGGTCCAGACATTAGGTCATCAATTGGGATTTCAATCTTCAGTCCTTCATTTTTAGTCAAATTATTCTCTTACTCTCCATGGGTGAAGAAATATTAATCCCACACCAATTTTAATAACCAGAAAAAATTTTAAATTAAAACATTCAAGAACAAAGAGCTTATAAAATATTTTCATCCTCTAACCTGGTTGTTCTTTGGTTTGGGAAGACTGAGTAAGCTGAGTCTTGAGGGAGAGAGTGAACTTCTCAAGCATCCCCTCCTCCAATAACACCTGTCGCCCTGCTAACTGGAATAACCCGTCAAAATCTGAAGAAGAATAAAAAAGTGGAATATCTCAAATTATCAACTTAAAGTCAAAATATACTCCAGGATTGATATATACAGTATCCATTGTATATCATTATTAGAGTAAAACCCATGGCAAGATCACTCACTGGCATTGGGTGCACTGTTAAGGAGGTATGGTGTGACAGATGGGATGAGTGTCTGGTAGAGCTCTCCACGGCCAAGCAGGAAAACAGCCTTCAAATCACCCACTTCTGCTACTAAACCTGCCCCCATTACTAATTTCCAAAGTTCCTGAAAATGAATATTGAAATGACTCAAATAACGCTGGGTCAAATAGGAACATTAAATGCAAATAAAATGATAAAGTGAAACAAAGGAACATTGAGGAAATCAAATACTTCCTGGCATTTTCACAATTTCTAGTTTAGTTAGTAAATCAACATTCTTTATTTTAATACAGTACAAGTACTGTACAGTAGCTGTTAAATTAGGTACCATAATCTTATAACATAGTCCATGATTTGTTATTGTGGTGGGGTGGAACACAGCTCTATGAAGCAGAGTTATCCAGGGAATGACCTGCTTCAAGCAAGGAGATGGCTAGACTGTCTTATTTTTAGAAAACCAAGATGTCAGGAGACAGATAAGGCAGGGCTATGATGCATTATCTGCCATAGCACCAAAACTCAAACTGTACATTATATAGTTCCCCACCCTTGAGAAATGTCTTTTGCCTAACACAGACCTCTCTCATGACCCAAGACTTATTTATAGAACTATACACGAGGCTCCTTGGACCAATTTGATGCTATAAATGGTAAGTTTTTAATGTATATAAGCTTATTTACCCACCTGAGAGATACAATGCCTGATTGTCTCAATGACTTGACTGAATTGAATGATGGAAAATGTTGGTTCCTGTCCCAGTGTATTAATGAGGGCTTTGAACTCTTCTTCTCTGCTCTTCAATACTTGGCCACTAAGGGATGATACAGCAGCAGTGTCCACAACACCTAAAACAAATCAGACATATCAATAATCCTAGATGTGATTTTGATATATCTGTATATATACCATTCACAAAATACCATAAATAAAGTTCACATTAATTGTACAGTGAGTATGCTATATACTGTAAGTATTAAATACCTATATGATTTAATGATGAATTTTTGATTCATGAATATTAGTACAGTATCTCAACACACTCACATACTCAAAGAAAACCTATGTTAGTTAAGTAAATAGGTGTGCAATTTATAGATCACAGACAAAATAGTAACTCAAACTAAGGGATGATGTGCAGGGAAGGAAAACAAACCATAAAGACTCTTAACCAAACAAAGGTCAATTTAACTATAAGTTGCTGGGTTTATTTTGATCTAAAAATCAGGGACTTGTCAATGACCTTCATATAACTCGACCAGAAAATTGGTCTACAAATTAAGCATAAAACACAAGTAAAATTCTCAATGTGACGTGAAATTTATAAATAAACAGCAGGTATGAGGCGGAGAATGCTGGGTGATGAAGTAAACCTGGAACAGCTCCAAGCCTTTATGTCTTTATGACTATGTGCTGTGTCCCTGTGTAGTTGTTGTATACGGTAAACACAGTAAAAAAAAAGGGGGGGGGGGGTTTGCTGACTTCCGTAATGATCCATGTATCACCTGATGTGTTCATATTGTTATACCATCAACTATATACAGCAGGATATGTCATTAGCAACAGATATGTGAGGACAGCCTCAGGCAAGGACAACAGGACTACCACCACAATACAGGACCAACACACATATTCCACTATCCCTCGTCCGTGGTGTCATATTGTTTCGCTACTTTTTTTACTGTATGTACAGATAAAACTAACTTTTTTTTAAGTACAGCAGAGTATCTGTTTGGGACTTAGAGGTTTCTGTAAAGTGGGTATTATCATGAACATGTGTCCAGGGTAAGCATGTAATAAACCAAAGGCCTTTTGTCAGTTTGGTTATATTTCATTAGTTTCATCAAATAACTGTACACTATCTGTACAGTGTTTCTTAACCAGTGGACTGTGAAGGTCATCGGTGTGGGATGCAGTTAAAAAAATAATTACCGTGTTAAGAATTCCAAAAACAGCCATTGCTTCACTGTCTTTTGTGCCAATTAATAGCTTTTAATCTATAAAAAAATTGATAAAAATTATATTTGAAATTAAGAAATTAGCTGTTTATACATATACCTGTACTACATACTACTGTATAAGTGTTACTGTACTCATTTACTACTAGAGGACATTACCTCAAGAACTGACAATCTGCCAATGAAATGCAACCACAGGCTTCTCACTAATGACTAAATCATTATATCATTTGGTTTTATTTGTTAAGATTTAGCGATAAAACCCGATCTCAGTAAAATCATTGCAATTTCTAATGTCCTTAAAATTTTCAATTAATGGTTAATAATTTAATAAAATACTAAAATGCATGTATAATAGAGGGTAAATATAAAAAGCACTCCTTGGAATAAATGGGGTTTTGTAAAATGTAAACTATAGAGAACTACTGCCAAACTTACTTCATTATTCTCTAACACTATTGTTAACTTTACAAATAAGCTTTCAGTGTGTTGTCATTCTCCTACAATCACCATATAACTTACTCCTCAAACTCACATGAGGAAAATTAGACTCGTCACTCACACCACCACACACGGGGTCATTAAGCCAGTTGTCTGATTGTCCAATTTTTCCTCATTACTCCAATGTGGAAAATTAAAGAAAATAAATTTATTCTATACAGTATTTTCAAATTTCATATAAAGAATGCTCAAATCATTATCATGTACATTTCAAAATAGCTTTCAGCATACAATTTGTCTGTACATATAGGTATATACTTTTTTTTGTGGGGGGAGGGGGGGTCATTAATTTGAAACTTAAATAAGTGATTATGTGAGCAGGGCCGCCTAGAGGGCAGGGAAGATGAGATAAATCCCTGGGGCCCAGGACTCTATGGGCCCTGGGAAAAGAGGGATAATGGTTCAAAACTGTTCAAAGGCCAAAAGGGGACCCATAAATTTATCTTTCTCCTGGGGCCATAGCCTGCTCTCAGCAGCTCTGTATGTGAGCAGCAGCTGCCTCTTGCCTCCATCAATCTAAGTACTATGTGAGCTGTAAGGATTCTGTTGTGGATTACTTTCCTGAAAGAAGAAAGGATGCCTAAAGGTGTGCATTGTGCAGCTATAAAAATGTCAAAATGCAAAAAAAGTACATGTACTCTACAGAGACCCTCTGTCTTTAAGATGAAGTAAATGTGTTACTCCAGAATAATAAGAGAATGACAGACTATAAACCATTTACATTAAAAGTATTGTTGAGAACTTGTCTTACCATTCTCTTTTTTTGCTTCTCTCTCAAACACAAGGATGGCCTCACCAATAAATAGAATCTTCTCAGCAACAGAGAGTGGTATGTGACTAGGAAGCATCTCCAGTCTTAACATACACTCTGGGCTCAGTGAGAGGTTTTCCATTCCTTCAAGACTCTGTTGATTTCCAAAAAGTAAGATATTTGTTTTATTTCTAAGGTTAAGTGATGTCAGTTCATAAGATAGAATCCTTGACCCTAAGCCATCCCTTTCCAGTTACCATTATCATGCATGTAATACAGGTATCACTTATTAAATTATTTATCTCAGAACTTCAATAATATGATCAACACTCAATACTCTACAACAATACTTATATTAAGTGTTACAAAATACATTAGTATTCCTAGCTAGCATGAGTTTACACAATATAATACTGTTTTTGCACCATACACGGCTCTGCTGGTAAAATCACATCAGGTTCTAAAGGTGTGCTTGGTGAAAAAGGCTTTGGAACAAGGAACAGTGAAGGCAAAAGAATACTGTATACCCTGTACATGATTTTGGAGATGCACTGAATATGGTTGAATACAACACATTGTTTAAGAGGGCAAATAGACAGGTTACATATGAGTCATGTGACACAGAAACCCAAACTGACTACTGTACTACATACTGTACATGTCAGGAAATCAGACAGGATGCTTTATTGAGACATAAAAGTGATAACAGGGGAAGAATATGCTTTGCAGCACACATTACTTGTGTATGAAATGTTGCCATAAAATAGCAGGAATAGGAAGCAGGTGTATATTTTGAAATGGAGTGTGGAAATTGAAAGAATAGAATGTAAAGGAAGCATAATACTGTATGTTGAGCTAAGGAGTGGGGAGACAGCAAGTGTAGTGAATTGCTGGATCATATACAGTAAAAGGATGGTCTGTTAAGTGCAGCTGATAAGGTCTGTGGCTGGATGAAGGACACAATCAGGCATGCAGTAACACGGTGATGGAATGATGAAGACGAGAGAATGATAAAGAAGAAGATTATATGAGGACTGGAAGAGTACTTGGAGGCCAATTGCAGGGCCAGAAGAGAAATTTATAAGGCTAAAGAGCACGGACAGGATGCATTTGAGGGTAAGATGAATAGTGCGGATAATAGAGGTGAATTACGGCATACAAAATAATAAGGAAAATAGCCAGTAGAAACAAGGATGTAGCTGGTAAGCAATACATGAGAAATGATACTGAATATTAGGAAAGTAAGGATGCTTGAAGAAATCACTTCAGTTGCCTGCTGAACAAGGAGTTCAACTATGATTGACAGCCTCGAAGCAGAAGAGCCGGTACAGGGACCATGTCCAAAGATTGAGAGAAACTGGGCGAAGAAAGTAATTGACAAAATGAAGAATGAAAGGGCTGCTGTTAGCTTTGGAATAGTACAGAAAGGTTGAAAGCATTAGGCAATGTGACAATGACAAGAGGAAAAGATCAAGAAATTTGTGGATATTAATAAAAGGCAATTTGAGTTCATGCCAGGCAGGGGGGAATACAGAGGCAATCAATTATGCTAGGCATCTACAACAGAATAGCTAAGGAAGGAGAGAAAGTTGTATTTTTTATATGGAGACTCAGGGAAGGCATTTGACAGGTTACCATGAGAGGAAGTGTAGTGGGCAGTAATAAAGCTAGGGGCTGAGGAGTGTTTTGAATGAGTAATTATGGCATTACTGTTCATGGGGGCTCAAGAACTGGTGTGAAAGCAAATAGAAAGGAAAGTGTGGAATTTGAGAAGTCCATCAAGGGTCCACCTTGAACCATCCTCTGTTTATTATGGTACTAGAGGCACTACCACAAGATTTTAAGACTAATCTGCCCCAGGAGTTATTGTATGTGTGTGCAGATAGTAATGAAGGGGTAGTGGAGAAATTTAAGAAACATAAGGGTGAAAAAGAATCAGGAAGCTGTTGTTAACAGCCATAAATTAATACTGTTTACAAATACAGGTACCCCTCGACTTACAACATGCTCGACTTAAAACAACTCGGACATACGACCGCCGTGGTCTTATTAAATATTTTTCAAATTATTGTATGCATTTTCGAGTCCCGACGTTAGTGATCGCACTGTGAACTGACAATTTTTTTTTGTTAATTCCCTTTAAAATGGCTGGCAAGAGTAAAAGTGAGAGTTCTCGTGGTGCTGAGAAGAAAAAGAGACACCCATTTTAGAATTTCTATGTATTATTTTTGCCTTTTCGACTTACGACCTGGTCGTCGGGACGGAACCCCGTCGTAAGTCGAGGAGAGACTGTACAGGACTGTATATCAAGAATGGAACACATAGTAATACTGCAAATGACTTACAAGAGCATCCATTTGTTGTATCTCACTGGGAGCCTCATTACTGGAAAAGTGTATGAAAAGTTCATGATGTGGGTCCAGCAAAAGTCCATGCAAGAGCCAGTGAGTCAACTGATCAAAGAGCACTGAGTGAACTTCCTGCTCTACCCTGAAATGTCATAAAATTATTAAAATTAATTAAATAAATATTTATTGTTATAAACAGTACTACAAAGGCTGGTATCAGCCATCACTTATCATTTCTGATAAGAATAAATTTTTATACTAGTAATTTCTTTAATCTAATTATAATACAGTATAGTCTGCATTTACGGGGTTTTTGTTTACGCGTTTGGTCATTTACGCAGTGCCTTACCAGAATGAAAATGCTTTAATTACGCGGTAAATTGAGTCATTTACGCGGTGAGCGGCTGGAGAGGTCAAGACCGCCGCGCCATTTTTACCCACGCGGTCCATTCTTGACCATATGTGGGAAGCGGCACGGTGAGTGGTGTGCATTGGGCCGCTCTTACGTTATCGCTGACGTCATATGACGTATCGGACTGTGATTGGGCCACGCATCCTTACCACCCACGCATTCCCTCTGCCGCTAGCTGTGATTGGTCTAATGTAACATGATGTGCCCTGCCACCAGAGGGTAGAAGTCGCTGACCTAGCAGGGCCTGTCTCATTGTTCTCAGTCCGCGTATACAGTTCCCTCTTGTGCCCGCTATTCCCGTCACAACTCACAATGGCTTCCGCAGGAACCCCACCACCAGAGAAAAGCATTGAATTACCTGGACCAAGCCATGATAATGTGAAGGAAATCATCGAGTTGGGGGAGAAACTTAAGCTCATCCTTGACAACGACCCAGACAAGCATCGGTATGAAGCGTCTAATAACCATCTGACGAAAGTTATGGAGCCGTATATCCAGATCTATCTCGACGACATCAATGCTAGTCGTCAAAGTAGTATTGAGGACTTCCTCGCCCACAACCCACCACAACCACAGCCAGCCCAAGTCAGTGATAGTGATATTGACAGTGAGGATATGGGCTTTTAGAGGTTTGTCTGGGAGGCCCTGCAAACCTCTGCGAGTAGTGAAAGTGAAAGTGATTCACCGGAGGACAACTAATCTGCCCTCTGCCTCGGAACCAGCCGCCATCCACGTGTGCCGACCCAGCTTTTCTACTAATGTAAGTGTTAAAAAACCTAATATTATTGATATTTCTCTTAATTATTAATTGTGTGTGCATACCATCATAAAATTAAGATGTTATTTTTACTACAACGTACGTATTGTGTAGGAAAAAGTGGAGTTTGGGGGTCGGCTCAGTCTCTATTTCAATTAATCCCATATATTCTGTTATTTCATTTACGCGTTTCTCGTTTTATGCGGGCCTCCACGGGTTCAATTGACCGCGTAAATGCAGACTATACTGTAGTTAGCCTCTTTTTACAAAAACCCTTTTGATGTAATTTTCCAGTCACATAATGTACAAATTACAGAAGAAAAACTATACAAACAAATTCCCAGTGATGAAATATGCCAAGATACCATTCCACACCATGCATCACACAGTCTGCTTGAAGCTGTTTCATACACTATGTCATTTGCACAATACTTTACACTGATCACTATTTCAGAAAAGCACACATGTTCTGTAATACACTATAATATTTTACTTACTTAAAGATAAAAAGAATAATCAATAAAATATCTGAAAGATATTAAACTTAGCCAAGAAAGTGAACATAAGAAGGTTGAGAGGCAAGGAGGGGTGGGCGGTGTCAGGAATGATACAGCACTTATACTGCCAATATCAACAAGCAAAAGTACAGATTGAAGCCTCTGCATTTGTGGTCAATAACAAAATCAGCCTTTTGCCTTTTCAGGACATCTTCTTATCAAGTGCCTATCCTTCAGGGCTCCAGCATAAAAGTAAAGGATAAAACAAATATATTTTTTTACATCTTAGTCAGGCCCCAGAGGCATGGCAGTTGCTCAGTTCATTCTTGATTTTATAAAACATACTTTAAATGAAAATAAACATTAAGTCATAGAGAAGTTAAATATCACAGAAAAAAGGTAAAACCCTAAGAGCTAAGAGTTTGGGGATAAAAATGTTATAAACATATTATATCCTGTGTTGATTAAGTAGTCTAAACTGAGACGTACAATACAATAAAGCTCTAAAGTTTACTTAAGTTTTCACTCAATATTCAATTTCTACTGGCTGTAGTATTGTACTGTATCTACATATTTATACCACTTTGCACTTATCTCAAAACTAACTAAAATCTGACTTGATAGAGTGTAAATAAAAAATAACCTCAACACTTTAATCTTTGGCCTGTTTAAACTTGTAAGACATTAAACAAGACTTAATGCACACTGGTCAAGAGTCAATTTTAGAATAAGAGACGATTTCACTAATGCCCCAAGGACATTAGGCCATCTTAACTCCAATTTCTTTTGTCTAATACTGTAATGCATTAAATAAAGTACAGTACACTACTGTACTGTATAACTCACCGCATAAGTACCTGCTTCACATGTGCTACAGAATTTGCTGTGTGCTTGTGAAGAACTTCCAGTATCATGCATCCATGAGCATTTTTCTCTTCAATCTGAGAAATGAAAATACTGGTCAGAATAACTGGATTTACATTGGCAGCAACTGTATTACTCTCTTGAATAATGTTCTGCAATTGAACTACAGTATTATGCCTCATGGCACTGGTGGGCTCTACCAGGAGGAGTTAAGCACTAGGATCTCACAGCTTAGTCACTGAAGTGCTACAGGTCATAAAATTCCATATGACCATTACAGTGCTACGAATCATATGAGTGTAAATGAATACTGCAATGTGTTGAGTCTGCAAACAAATGCAAGAATGCAAAACAAAAAAAAGAGTTGTCACAACACAACTTGAGAGAAGTCAATGCTAGAACATACCTGGGTCACCAAAGATGAGAGGGAAGCTAATAATGGAGCTGTGGGCTGAAGAGTGAGTAACAGTTCACTGAGAGGCAGGTGTGGATCACTCAGCAGTCTGTATTCCAGCTCTACTACTGTTGTGTGAAAAGTCTGTGCTGTTTTGAGAAGAGCTGCAGCAAGGGAGGACAGATATAATCCACAACGATGTTTTTTATCTGGAAAAAAATGAGACACAAAATCCAATTTTATGGTTGAAGGAATAAAATAAATAATCAGCAAGTGCCTGCTACTGCCTCAGGAGTGTGCAATACATAGAAGCAAACTGACACTATCCATGGGCACAGAAGGGAGATTAAAAAACCTTGTTCACAATTAAAAATTTCAACCAAAGTTTCAAAAATCTCTTTTGTGTGGGAGAGTGACATCCCAAATACCCTTCCTACTATAGCACTTAACATATAAGTTTTGGGATCTACCCATGAAATTCCCCACTTCAGCCACCCAACCTTTACCACCTATCATATAAATCTGTCATTTCTTTTACCCATAACAGACAAATCCTGAAACAGTTGTGGTCAAAATACAAGTTGCAATCCCCATCCACAAGGGGTTAAGAAACTTCTAATTACACATCTTCAGTACATTAGCTACACATTCTAGCCTTAATTACTGATATTTATTCTGTCAAGAAAATTATTTCAACAGATAAAAATTTCAAACTTGCCTGTATTGACTCGTACGATGTCATAAGTGTTACAGAAGTTTGTAATCTTCTTGTAGTGGGTACCAATGTTCAATATTTGGTGAACAATGGCAAACTCACTTGGATGAAGGAAACCCAGATCGTTTGACACCTGTAAAAAAAGGGTTTGTAATTTATTAACTTCATAAAACTTCCAGTATTAAGCATCAACTTTTATACATAAGCCTAATTAAATGTTTCAAATCACCCAAAAAATAACTTGAGTTGATAAATTATAGAAAAATCCTGACTTTAACACCTCATGGGATATGGAATACCTCACTCAGCCACACTATTATGAGGATTTAAAATATTTGCACACACAGTATTAGGTCATTGTTACCTTGATCTTTGACCTAATTTCTATAGCAAACTTCTTACCTTTTAGGGATAAATGGAGGATTTGCAATTTAGTTATTTTAGTTTTCCTTTGCTTTTGTTATGAACAAATATGGTACGTGCATAAGAGGATGCCATATTTGCACTTCTGTTGACAACCAGCTAAATGCTGAGCAATTAAACACTGAACAACTGAATGTTCCCAGCAACATGACCCCAGCAAGGTGGATAGCCCACCTGCTATCAAATTTCCCTCTTGATTTCCCACTTCCTAACTTTACCTTCCTCCTACATCGTCTTTCACCTTCCTGAGCAAATGGCTCTCTTCTCTCCATCCCAACATCATCAGCAACATTTCCTTACCTCACCTAACTAAACCTGCTTAAATTAATGTAAATTAACTTACCAAACCTAACCTAAATTAATATATTGTACTTCCATCCAAGGATAAGTAGTTAGGTAGGTTAATTCCATCACAGGCACAGAGCAATATTAACTGTGGGGATAATGGGAAAAAATAGGTACAGGACACACATACAGCATGCGTGGTGGGCAGACTATACAATGATAGTTACTAAGATGGCCTTCTCTCTGACTAATGTAACTTAGCCTAACCTAACCATTAACAACACAGTCCTATTATACGGCTGCTGTACTTATATAGCCATTGTGATATTTGGTGTACGACTGCCGTACTCGTAGCAACTACGAAAAATATACCTGAAGTGCATTTCCTCCACTTGTTTTGCTTTATTCTTATAGTACGATTTTTTTTCTTCTTTACATGTTTTTCATATGATAACTGGTTAATCCGCACCTTGTTGGTGTCACATAAAAAGCATAGTAACGTTGAAAAGTTATTCTTCAATATTACGTACAGGTATTTACAATTTCCTCGAGGGATGGAATAAGCTGTCTGTAACACAATAATTGTCGAAATTAAGTGCCAGTCAATTTATGATATTGGCCAGGTTTCGATGTTTTCCATATTTTTTTTTTCTATGGCTCTTGTAGATTTGAATAAATCTGACCTTTGTTTCTGGTGCTAACCGCCCTAACCTAACCTAACCAAAACGTGGCTACTATCCTAAATTGACCTAAGAAGCTTTGTAAAGTATTGCCCATAAGTGTTAAGTCAACCTGAATGTCATCACTCACAACTAACACTCAGCTGTCAAAGCTTACCTCAAAGCGAAAGTCTTCTTTACCTACAAACATATCCCCTCCAATCCCTTTAACTGCTGATATAAGGTCGTGTAACATATTTGAATGTAATATTCAATACGTTTATTAATCCAATATAAGACCCAGTAGAGGAGGGAGGGCAGGGAGCGGCTCCCGGGTCTGTGGCGCCAATAGTGTTGTGTGGGACCTCCACTAGTGAACTAAACATTGGGAACACAATTTATAAATTGTAAAAATTTACTGATAAGAAATATTGTTTATATTTTGTTATATCTTTTATATGGAGACGGTTTTCAAATCTTAAATGATGTAAAATGTTTTCATTCACAAGAGAATGGAAAATGTTAGTGCTGTTCTTATAATAATAAGAAGATAGCACTTGACAATGCTATTGTTTTTCAGATAATTTAGCGTATATATATATTTTTTTTCTTGATGAGGCAACGCTATATTATAAAAAGAAACTACCACTGATACTGGTACCACATTGATTAATTTATTAAATTGATCAGATCAATGACTTATACAGTACTACTGGTGATGCAACACTGAGCGGTGCAGTGAATAACGCTACTATGTTATTCACTCCAGGACAACCAGAGAAGTACTCTACCTTCCTTGACCATAACTCTAAATAGCTATCAACGACTGAATTCGCAGTGTGGTATGTTATGATTGACGGGTGTGACGTAATTTATCAAAAATTTAAATTATTATTAACAGTTACTGTACTCTGTACTGTTTGTGTCAACATTTGGCTGAAGTCCTGTCAGTACTCGGTACTCCGGGCCTACCGTAGAATAATAAAATAATTCTCTCATAGAAGTAAGATAAGATTTTAATAAAATTTAAACAGTATTAACTTTTTGTTGACAATTACTAGGCCGAACGGCTAATGAACTGATAAGTGGCGAAAATTATAGATAGAAGACTCGGACTCGGTGAGGCCAACATACTACAGAGATCAGCTGAGCGGGTGACTACAGTACTGTACTGGAAATAGACTTTGATCATTGATGTGACGAGATAACATCGAACAGAGCCGGCAGTCAGTGTTCAAGTGTGATGATCAGCACGTGTTGTGTCTTAAGAACTTGTGTGATTGATACTACACCAATTAAATAATCGTCGTCCAAAGGTACATCATATAAACCAGGAAATTGTTTGACAAATATTTGTTTTAGCACATATGGTGAGTGACTAGCACTGCATAACGATTTCCAAAATGTGATTATATAATGCAGTTACATGTTTAGAATGACTCAATAATAATAATAATAATAATAATAATAATATTAATAAGGGCTGGTGTCCTCCTCTTCATGCACATAAGACCTTAACATCTTATCTGTATATGCAGTGTGAACCTTCCCCAGTTATGCTAGGATAGGTTAATGTTCTTGATAATTGATAAATTCGTATTTATTTGTAAATAATTTTTGTGGTCCTAACCTAACCTAATCCTATCATGACCTATCCTAACATAATCTTAACCTTTCCTCACCTAACCTAACTTATCCTAATTCATCCTAACCTAACCGGAAAATTCTAAGACCCTTTTCTACTATGACGATTCCCTTGGAAATGACCTAGAACCAAGATATTTATATGTGGGGGGGGGGGGTTATGAAGTTAGGTTGGTTTAGTTGGTTATGATAACTTATTAGTAATACATTATTGATAGCACCAGCCAAACCAACCTAACTTCATAACACCCCCCCCCACATATAAATATCTTGGTTCTAGGTCATTTCCAAGGGAATTGTCATAGTAGAAAAGGGTCTTAGAATTGTCTACACTATTGTTTGCAAAGAAAAATTACAAGATTTGGTTGGTGGCAACAAATGTTTGGAATTTTTCTCGTAGTTCTTTGATTTTCAACTCACGATATCTCGTTTATGGGTAAAATGAGCCAAACGTGTTATAGATGAAAATCGTCTTGACTTTGTCTGAGGTTATGTGGTCAATAAGAATTATAAGGGACATCTCCCTCGGGAAAAACAAACAAAACAGTGGTATTTTTCCGTTATCTTCCCCAAGCAAAATTTAAACGTTTCTAAGTAAAGTAATGTATCAGATTTAGGGTTATCAGACACAATGGCTCAAACACTGGGCATTGATGGAAAGACAAGTGGAAAAAGCTCGCGTGATAGACCATAGATGTGCACTCCACGACTGACTCGTGTAAACTGACCGACACACATATACTTGTTTACACTGAGGCAGGCGGTCACATCTCATGGCAACATGTGCATCATATATATTCATAAATACTGTATAACATCCAAAATACAGTATCTATGGATTCCATCTGCCTTTGTTAAGCTCGAGCAAAATTAGTGATCACTTTAAATAATGTTTATGTTTATATAAACATTTAACAAGGTGAGGCCATTTAATCTGTCTTACTTTTATCCTCTTCGCCACTGATCGGCTTGTTAGCCGCTTGGGCGATCGGTCACGACTCTTTTCCTTTATATTCTTCACCAAAAGGTCGGCTCGCTAGCCGCCCGGGCGATCGGTCACGTCTCTGTCACGCACTGTTGGCAAATACTGGGCATGCACCGGCTCCTGAATGTACCTGAACCCGCTCCAGTGTTGGTCAAGTCTTCTCTTGAAAGAGCTCACACTCGGTGCCGTCACAACACTTTCTGGTAGATTGTTCCAAGAGTTTACAACCCTCACTCCGAAAAAGTTTGCCCTCACGGTTTTCCGGACTTGCGGCTTCTTCAATCTTGAGCTGTGACCCCTTGTGGGGCGAGCGTCCGCCAGCTCCAAGTAAGGACACTCAACTGAGTAGTGCCCCCTGAGATGCTTATAAACCTCAACTAGGTCCCCCCTTGCCCGTCTGTAGTATAAGCTAGGCAAGTTCAGGCGCTCCAATCTCGCAGGGTAGCTGAGATGCCGAAGTGCAGGCACCAGCTTGGTGGCCCTCCTTTGAACATTTTCAACCAACTGACAGTCCCTAGCATATCTCGGGGACCAGATGGGGTGACAGTACTCCAGATGGGGAAGCACTTCACTCCTGAAGATCGTCACGAGGGACGGACCGTCTAGATATCTGAACGACCTTCTTATAAGACCCAATAATTTATTTGCCTGATTTACCTTCTTCTCACAATGGCCCGAGAACTTCAGCTCATTGTCAACATACACACCTAGGTCCTTCTCACACACAGTCTCAACTAGTACATTTTCTTCATCCCGTTGGGACATATGGTACGCCTCCTTACCGTTGGTACGCCCCAGGTGCATCCTCTTACACTTCGTGACATTGAATCTCAGCAGCCATTCCTTCGACCATTCCTGGAGCCCACAGAGGTCCTTCTGCAGCTCTTCACAGTCCGCTTGGTTCTTAATTTCCCGAAATAACTTGGCGTCATCGGCAAACATTTGTATGGAGGAGTGTACAACGTCAGGCATATCATTTATGAAACAAACAAACAACAGCGGGCCCAATACACTACCCTGCGGTACCCCACTTGTTACAGGTACAGATGACGATTTCGTGCCATTAATCACCACACATTGCTTGCGGTCATGTAGAAAGTCTTCTATCCACGCTAGGACATTTCCCCGAATTCCGTACCCTTCCAGTTTGATTTTCAGCCTTTCGTGGGGTACACTGTCGAAAGCCTTGGCAAAATCTAGGTAAATATTGTCGATATTACCACCCCGTTCTAGAATATGGGTCCAAATATCCAATACCTTGAGCAATTGTGTCAAGCAAGAGCGCCCCGGCATAAAACCGTGTTGTCAATCTTTTACAAGGTTGTTTCATTGTAGAGCGCAGGTAACTTTTGAGATTCCTGAAGGAACGCTCACATTCGCACAAGGCAACTGGTAAGGTAAGGTTTGGATAAAATAAAGGGGAGGTTTGCTTGAATGTAGCTGTCAGGGAGTTGGGCAGATCAGACTTGCAAGCATTCCATTTCTGTTGCCAGCACTTCAGTTGTTTCAATGATGAAAATGATTCCGGGACTTAGAAACCTTCCATATCAAGATAGGTTAAAGAAACTAAACTTGCATTCCCTAGAAAGACGAAGAGTGCAGGGAGATATGATAGAAGTATTTAAGTGGGTGAAAGGAATCAATAAAGGCGATATAGATAAAGTTCTTATAATATCCGAGCAGGATAGGTCTCGTAGCAACGGATTTAAGTTGGATAAGTTTAGGTTTAGGAGGGAGATAGGAAGGAACTGGTTCACAAATAGGGTGGTGGACGAGTAGAACAAGCTTAGCAACTTTGTAGTAAGTGCTGGAACGCTGGAAAGTTTTAAAAGGAGGCTAGATAGATTCATGGATGATAGAGAGTGGTAGTAACTCTCGACAGGAGCTGCCATGCACAGGCCAACCGGCCTATTGCAGACAACTTATTTTCTTATGTTATGTTCTTAAGACACTGGTGATGGAAGATCAATGACCATTGACTCTTTGTACTTCAGAACCTTTTTACTCCTTTCTAAGTTTATTCATCAATAAATACAGTATGGAATGAGAAAGAGCCCCAGAAGTACATGTTGTTGAGCTGGCGAGAAATGTGTTTTGAGATCAGAGAGCAAATGTTCAACAAAGGGAATTGTGATGGTGCAATAAATATTCTTTGGGAGAAAGTGCAAGCTTGTTAGATCTATTTATTGTCCTTCTGTTTATATAAGATATTGTCACCAACTGGATCATTATCTAATATACTATAGGACTAGGCTTGTGTGTGTGTGTGTGTGTGTGTGTGTGCGCGCGCGCGCTCTGGGCAGCCGAAAAGGCACAATCGTTTATCATCAAACTTGGTGGAAAAATTGCAAAAAATTCGTAGAGTGGAACAAACCCGATCCCATGTCGATGGTTTCTTTAGCAACGCATTAATTAACAATTTTATTTACGCTGGAAAACGATGTCGCTGTCAGCCGGACGGCGGTTGTGCGCTAGCCAAGCACGAGCGTTCGAACATTCACGCCTCGGTAAACTGTACCACCGGACTCGCCATCTGGCACGAAGGGCCCACGATCACTTGTCACAACTAAGCTGTTTGATAACACAGATAACATGTTTATCTCTAACTTATCTGTGCATATGCCAATGACATGCCCTGAAGGTTTTATTTAATGAAGTGCAAGGAGCAGTGATTTTACTTAAAAATTGCTTCAAGTTCCATTATTCTCCGCCCTCAGCAATATTTGACATAGTTTCCACAACAGCTTTAAAGAATAAAAGTCGTCAATTTCCTCTGAAACATCATGCCGATGAGTTCTGCTACTTGGGTAACATGATCATTGCTGGAGGTGGTGCAAAAGCCAGCTCAATTGTAAGAGTCAGAAGTGGCTGGAAGAAGTTAGGGAATTTCTGTTTTTATTGATGGCAGATTGACCTTCCCTTCACATGAAAGAAAAGATGAATACAACTGGGGTGAGAAATGTGATGTTATATGGCAATGGAACATGGGCACTTAAAGAGGCTTACTGTAAGTGAACTGAAATGAGAATGGTGAGGTGGATGTATAGTGTGAAACTAAAGGATAGGAAACCCTGTTGAGAGCTAAGAGGACAGCTGGGTATTGAGAATATTAGTGAAGTTTTGTATAGAGGTAGTATGGTAGTCTTGAGATGGTTTGGAAGGTTTTCCAGGAATGTAACCCTTGTGAGTGCAGAGCTTACTGTAGATAAAATCATCAGTACAGTAGATAGTTTAATAGATAGTTCTTTCTTAGTGTGCACTATCATTAGTCTCTATGAGCATTATTTTGGATTAAAAATAATTTTTTCTGACTTGTAGTTTATCTTTCAAGGTTCTGTGCTTGACGATGCCTCCTCCTCGCCCGTCTCGTTATGACTCGTGGGTGTTGGAGGTCATTGATGCCGTCACCTGCATCTTGATGTATCCGTTCCTTCAAATTACTTCCCTTGGGGCCTCACACTGCGTGCTCATCACAGCTGACAATGCTTCATTACCATATCACATTCTCAGGTATGGCATTGATGTCTGAACATGTGTAATATTAAGTGAAAGATATTAACTTATTCTTTTTCTTTATCCTCTTTGCCATTGATCAGCTCGTTAGCTGGTTGGGCAGTTGGTTACACCTGTGTTATGCACTGTTGGCATGTACTGGGTAGTACTAGCTCCAAAATGTATCTGTACTATACAGAAGTTCAGTACTGTGCATTTTTTACTTCATGGTGTAAAACACACACACACACACACACACACACACACACACACACACACACACACACACACACACACACACACACACACACACACACACACACACACACACACACACACACACACACACACACACACACACACACACACACACACACACACACACACACACACACACACACACACACACACACACACACACACACACACACACACACACACACACACACACACACACACACACACACACACACACACACACACACACACACACACACACACACACACACACACACACACACACACACACACACACACACACACACACACACACACACACACACACACACACACACACACACACACACACACACACACACACACACACACACACACACACACACACACACACACACACACACACACACACACACACACACACACACACACTCACACACACACACACACACACACACACACACACACACACACACACACACACACACACACACACACACACACACACACACACACACACACACACACACACACACACACACACACACACACACACACACACACACCACACACACACACACACACACACACACACACACACACACACACCACACACACACACACACACACACACACACTCACACACACACTCTCTCTCTCTCCTCTCACACACTCTCTCTCCTCTCACACACTCTCTCTCCTCTCACACACTCTCTCTCCTCTCACACACTCTCTCTCTCCTCACACACACACTCTCTCTCCTCTCACACTCTCTCTCTCCTCTCACACACTCTCTCCTCTCACTCTCTCTCCTCTCACTCTCTCTCTCTCCATGCAAGACATTAATAGATACAGTAACAATAGAAAAAGTTTTATTACAGTGGTCCCTCGGTTAAAGAACACAATTCGTTCCAGAAGGTCGTTCGTTAACCAAAACCATTGTTTCAATGGGATTTTGGGTAATTGGTTCCAGCTCACCGAAAATTACATACAAAGTAAAAATAAATGCAGTAAAGTACACTTACTTTGAGGTGTGTATGTAGAAGGCTCCTGGTTGATGATGATGGGAATTAGAAGTGGGGGTGGAGGAGAAGGAAGTGGGGGTGGAAGAGAAATCACCCCAGGCTTCATGCCGTCATTTCACCCAAAAAATTTTAATCTCACTAGGTGTAATTCAAGATTATTTTCTTTAAATCAACACTGCACTGCACTATATATTGTCAATATGTAAAATAAATTTCAGAGTGACCAATAATTGTACTGTAAAAATGTAAAAATAGTTCATGTTCAAGAGAGTCACAAGGAAGATGTTACCTCCACTGACCAGAGATACAAACTGACGCCTTGCTGGGTGAGTCAAGTGGCTGAATGGCGCACCAAAAACTAGTTTCCTGTACTGCAATTATGTTAAATAAGTGTTAAAATGACTAAAAAATTTAATATAAAACTTGGAAAATTATTTAGTACAACCTTCTTGATATTTACTCAAATGGGAACGAATTTAAGCCCTAGAACCGATTACTGTATTGGCGGACTAATATTCCAGCTGGTGAGCAAGCGAAAACATGTTGACATGATTTCGTAAAAATTTTGTTAACCGAATTGTTGTTCGTTAACCAAATTGAAGATTCTTATGGAAGGTAATTCGTTAACCGAAATTTTGTTAACCAAGGCGTTCGTTAACCGAGGGATCACTGTAATAGTAACAGTATTCAAGGGCATAGGAGCCTGAAGAGTCAATGGTTTATGTCATCAAGTTATTGGAAGCCCTTAACTCATGAGACATAAAGGCAAGCAAGAACTTAGCATGCTTCCCTGTTGGGCACTGTAAACGCTTCTGCGCTTCACCTTACACAAGGATGTAGGGGAGTGCCTGATAAAATAAAAAAAGTAACAGTATTAGTGTTATTGATATTATTTTATTTTCGTTCCATAGGTGTCTCGTTATGGGTCCAATTAGTCTTGTGTTAGCATTCGTGTTCGCTCCACTCGTTTTCATCGGCTACGTTCTCTGGGTGCTTCTCAACAAGTTTGCCGATGTTCAGCCTTTCTACTATGTTTCTCCAAGTTGCCAGCAACCCAGTGTGTATAAGGAAGGGTCAGAATGTGCATCCAAGTTTACCTTCTGTTCTGCTAATGTCCTCCTGAGCTCAAAGATTGTAGAGTGCATCAACAATGTCAGGTAAGAACGATACATATATTTCAGAGGCTGTTGTGAAATTATACTCTTTGAGACATATTTTCCTTAGCTAGTTGAAATAATAAAGAAGTGTGAAAATTTTTTCCACCACTCAGGTACAGTATCTCAAAAAAAAATATCTGTCCACACTGCGTGAAACATCAAGACCACACATGATAGACATTGGGATATGAATTTCCTTTGGTATATACAGTACTGTAGTTTAACATAGTACACTAATGCAATGTGTATTTATTTCTGTGTAATTAATATGATGTTCAATTACCAAATGTATTAGGATCAGTATGCCACAGAGCCCCGCATACCAACCCTCTCGGGACATCACTAGTTGCATGTATCATTTTGGAAGTCATCGGACCCATCCTGGCAGATACTTTTTGGAAATACTGTACATCAGAAGCATAAGGGAAATTATGGGGTATGGATGTTGCATTGTTTAGGTTGTGTGGTTTTAGAAGGATAAGCTGTATGCAAGATTGGATTTTATATAAACTTGGCACAAAGTTGAGACATTCTCTCCTCCATAAGTAGGTTATACGGTTTAGTGATATTATCTGTATGGCCATGTGGCACTAACACTCGTTATCTTGTTAACTATCTGTTCAGTAGGGGACTGTTACAGATGAATATTCTGATATGTAGAGTGATGGCACATAGAGATGATTGGTGGCTGGGTTTCGAAGGATATATCTGAATGATGGGCTTTTAGTTTAAATGGATTTTAAGGAAACTCTTGCTTATTAAGAAAATATTAAGATAGAATAAACAGATCATCTGAAGAATCATCAACCCACCCCATAATATAGATAATATTGCAAAATACACTCTACTAATACAAAATACTTTACTCAATATTCCAAAATACATGATGCATATTACAATGGGTATGTTAGGTTAGGTTAGGCCTGAAGATTAACCACAATGGAGAGCCTGACCCCACCTGAAGAATGGTCACCCCAGGTTGTCCCACCTTAAGAATTGTCACCCTGCCAAACTCTGGGTTGACGATTCTTCAGGTGATCCAAATAAACTATTATCATCTTGTACCACATTTGATAAATGCAGTGATATCCTGTTAGCCGGAACAATTGGTGCAGAGCACTTCCGGGGATGAAAGATTTCCGGCTAACCAGACGACTTTCTCAAGCCCAGAAAAATTCCTTATCTCCGGAATCTTTTCCGATTACTGGGAAAAGTTTCCGAGTGTCTAAACTAGATATCTTGCACAGACGGACACTAGCCAATTTCCTCAGAATGTTTCTGGGAACCTACCAATGACTGCCCTGCTGCCTATGGATTAACGTTGGTAGGTACTGTATAAGGCTACGGGAGTAAACCCTGAACGGAAAATCTTCGGTGGAGCCCCGCATCAGGCAAACATGCTTACAGAGCTCCAAAAAGACCCCAAGCGCAGTGTAGGCGAAAGAGGTGACCACCATGGGAACCCAGCAACTACACCGGCGGATGAAGGCAATGCATGATGGACAGACTACTTAGGTGAAACCCAACAAACTGGGCTATTGACAGTCCATTGCAACTCTCCCTCTCCCCAGTCATTGCAACATTTGCACCACTGGATCAGGAAAAGGGAGAGCCAAGATGTGTGGTTGCAGTCTGTGCTCCTGCCGCACCATATAAATCAAATTGCACGCAGCCATCATCCACCTCATCAAACTTCTCACCATCATCAAAACTTCTATACCCCAAAAGTCCTATGGTGACTGACGAGTGGCAATGGGGAAAGGCAGAGATGGCTGCCGGGAGTCTCTAGTCACAACTCTGCACATGGGCAGCATAAACAAGATGGTCGTTTATGCACTGGGATCTATGCAGCAGTGCAATCCGGTCTTGTCTGTGCGACTGAGCAGCCCTCTCGGGGAGCCACTCTGCTGACCTCACATGGAGAGGGGGCTAGAAAAGGTACCCTAAACATAGCCTGCCTAAAGAACCAACCTGACTAGGCAACCGCACCCAGTAAGGTCATCCTTATGTGGTCGTAAACAGTCATAATCACAGATTAAAACAAAAACAAACTATACAACCTCTTAAGGTCACTGCAGGGAATGTCAGGACCCTTTTGGATACTGGCACAAATGAGCATCCTGAAAGAAGAACCACTCTTGCGGTAAAATAGCTGGCTAGGCATAACATCAACGTAGCAGCCATTAGTGAGTCCTGGCTCCCAGATGAGGGTCAATTCACAGAACGGGAGTCTGGCTATACCCTCTTCTGGAAGGGTAGGCCTGCTGTGAAGAGAAACCGCATTTATGGAGCTGGCTATGCCATCCGCCAATGCATCCTGCGTAGACTAACTGAAATGCCTGTTGGGATCAACGAGCGCCCCATGATGCTCCAAGTCCCACTGAATCACTCACGTTATGCCTTATTCATCAGTACATATACCCCAATACTGGATGCAGAGGATGACATCAAGGAGGCCATTTACACCAACCTTGACAGTGTGCTAACCTCTATCCCTGGAGAAGATAAGGTTGTGCTCCCAGCTGACTTCAATGCCAGAGTTGGTAGAGATGCTGACATTTGGCAGGGAATCATAGGGAGAAATGGACTAGGCAAGTGTAATCCCAACGGCCTACTCCTCCTCGGCAAGTGTGCTGCATACAACTTATCACCAATACGTACCTTGTTTAGGCAGGCCGACAAGTTCAAGGTGTTCGTGACAACACCCACGATCCAAACACTGGCATCTCATTGACTACATCATTGTGAGAGAAAGAAATTGCCGAGATGTCCTCATCACCTGAGCCATGCATGGCTCAGACCACTGCGACACTGGTCATCGGCTCATCAGAACCAACCTCTCATCTCACGTCGCCGCCAAAACAGCAAAGGAGCAAGCCTCCAGAAGAGTTTTTAACACTTAGAGTCTGGCGGATCCGGCAGTAGCACATGCTTTCAGAGAGCAGCTCGAATATGGGCTGATAAATAACCCGGCAACAAACAACCCAAATCCCAGTGCCGAAGGGATATTCTTGACACTCATGACAAAAACCTGCAGAGAGACCCTCAGTCAGATCGAAAGAATACACCAGGACTGGTTTGATAAAAATGGCCCAGAAACCAATGCACTCGTCGATGATAAACGTGCTGGTTTAACTGACTGGCAGAACAACCCTCAGTCTCAGACCAAAGCTGATACCTTCCGCAAGAAGAAAGCGGCGGCTCAGCTCAAACTTCGCTTTTTAAAGAATGACTGGTTTAAAAATAAAGAATGTGAAATGCAAAAACTTGCAGATCAACACAAGATCTGCAAATTTTTCAGTTCCACCAAAACATTTTATGAACCACTCACTCATGGTGCAGCCCCCCTCCACTCATCTGACGGTAACTTCCTAATTAAATATGAAGAAGGCATCCTTCAGCGCTGGAAAGAGCACTACGATTCACTGCTCAACCGAAACACCGATGTGGATGTCCTGACTACCCAGCAGGTCCTTCAGCATAAAGAGCTGACCCACCTCAGCTATCCTCCATCCTTGGATGAGGTAGCTACTGCCATCAAACATACTGTATGAAAAATAACAAAGACTCAGAGCCTGATGGAATCCCAGCCGAGGTGTATAAAGCAGGAGGACCTCTATATTTTGTCGATATTTCTGCCTTGTTCTAGAATTTGAGTCCAAACATCCAGGACCTTGAGTAACTGTGTTAAGCAGGAGTGTCCTCCCAGTTTATTTATCACTACTTTATTATGTATCTCTTCAGTTTCTTTTATAATCATATACAAATTTTTCCTCCACATCAAAATACCTGTCCTTATTTCTCTGGTATATGATATTTTGAAAGTCTTTGAAATGTTTCCTCAGTATCTCCATGAATTTATTAAACATTAAGACCATCAAATTTTACATTGTGACCTTTTACTTTTTCTTCTGCAAAAAGACTTTGTTAAATCATTCATTGGCTTTGTATTTTCCATCAAAAGATGTGGGTCAGGGCGGGTGCACAAGATAGCTAGAGGCCTCCTTCAACAAGATCCATCATTAAATGACTCCAGGAATCTCCATCCTCCAACTAAAAGGGAAAATATTGTTCAGAGTAAGGTAGGATTCTTATATCAGAAGTTGTACATTGGTGTGCTCAATTAATTTTAGGTGAAGTTTATACAGGATTAGTACAGAATATCAAAATTAAAGAATTCCTCCTTTTGGCTTGCAGTACAGTACCTCTTCTGGAACTATCAGTCTGTCAGTGACATTGATATAATAAAATGCCTTAATAAAATTCAGAATGACTCTGCACTTATTTCTGCTGCACAATCTGGTGTCAACACAACATTGAAACAACACTCATAATACAGCTGTCCTTTACCTTTGTGATATTTGGCATTGATAGTAGACAGTGATATTTGTCTTTCTCCCTCAGCTTCCAGAGGTTGATGTGATCATCCTGCAGGAAGTGCTTGAGAGATCTCGTGCCAAGCAACTGATAAAATACTTTGAAAGTAAATACCCGTACTGCATTTATGATGTTAGCGTCCACAGCATGACAACCAACCTATGTGCTGTTGGTAAGTCTTGTACCTTCCTTTTGTAGCACTGGATCCAAGAAGAAAACTCAGGCTATGTTTGTCAGTTTATTTGTGTGGCGAGGAGAACTGTGCTTAAGCAGGGAGCGAGAGTGAGTGACTGTTCCGAGGCAACCCACCAGTTTACTGTACTGTATATACCTGCTGACTGATCGAAGCTGTCTTGGCTCAAGTCTCGAACCAAGTTCAGCCACATCAGCCAGTCGACTCAGCAACAATTACATGATCAGAATGGCTAGTTACAACAGTTATAGGCATTTGTTAACTATATTACATTACATTACATAATTACATTATATTATATTATTCTTCAGCCGCGACATCAGCCCCCTCCCGACGATCGCTTGTAAGGAAAGTGACGCGTCGAAACCGAAGCGGCGGCCGTACCACACGGCCGGACCTCGTACGCAAACATGAGCGTAGTGGTGGCATAGTCACAGGTTCTGCGTTGCTTGCGGGGGCAGCGTTGGTCTGCCTGTTTATGCTGGGGCTGGGTCCTCCTCGATGTGAGCCGGCTTCAGTCGGTCGAGGGAGACTGTGTGCCGAGCCTCATGGAAGTCGATCGTAAAAAACTTAGACGACCGGCGGAGTACCCTGAAAGGACCGTCGTAGGGACGTTGCAGTGGCGTTCCAGGTGTCATTCGGCATACGAAAACATGTGTTGCCTCGTCCAGTGCCTTGTCGATGAAAACCTGCTTCCGAGAGCTCTGCCTTGGTGGTGTAAGACGCAGGGACCAGATACAGTCGCGGAGTGTCTCCACTTACGAACCAGTCTGCGATGATGAAGTAGATGTGGAGGCTAGAAATTCTCCGGGAAGGCACAAGGCAGAGCCGTAGACGAGCTCAGCCACTCATCAGCCCAAATCGGTCTTAAGGGCTGACCGGATCCCTAGGAGAACGAGCGGCAGATGCCCGGTCCAATTGCTTGGTATCGACTGGGCCATGATGGCTGCTTTCAACTGGCGATGAAACCTCTCAACTAACCCGTTGCTTGCTGGGTGGTAAGCGGTGGTGCGGATGCGGGAAGAGCCAAGCAGTTTCATCAGTTGATCCCAAAGCCCAGATTCGAATTGCCAGCCTCTATTGGTTGTCACGCGACGGTTGAGGGCACCCCGAAGCGAGCAACCCAACCAGAGATGAAGGCCCTGGCGACTGCTTGTGCGGTGATCTCGGTGATGGGTACCACTTCTGGCCAAAGAGTAAAGTGGTCGACAATTGTTAGAAGGGATCGGAAACCTTCTGTGGGCGGTAGTGATCCAACAATGTCAAAGTGAGCTGATGGTGGTAGAAACGTACCAACAGGTGACTTAGTGTGCCGTTGGATTTTAGAGCTTTGGCAGACCATGCACGCCTTGGTCCAGCGTCGCACATCACTGTTGCTGGAGGGCCAGACATAGCGCTGTGTGACGAGTCTCTGCGTTGCACGTATGCCAGGATGCGAGAACGAGTGCAGCAACTGAAACAACTGTTGGTGCATATCCAGAGGAACTAGTAGACGGAGCTGGTTGGTCAACGTATCACTGATCAACGTCTTGAGGTTGGGGAGAGGAACATCTCTAAGCTGGAGCCCCGTATCCACGGTCCGTAGCTGTTGCATGTCGATGTTGCGTTGTTGAGCGTCATCAAGCAGCGTGAAATCCAGTTTGGAGGCATTAGAGTCATCAGCCGAGAGTGTGAAAACGCGCAAGAAGGCGTTGACGACATTGTTTTCACCCTTGATGTGACGAATGTTAGCCGTAAACTTGAGGATGAAATCCAGGTGCCATTGCTCCCTTGGTAGGTGCCGACCTGAGGAGTAAATGGCAGCCAACACGAGGGGCTTGTGGTCGGTGTAGAGGCAGAAATCGTGCCCCTCCAGTAGGCAGTGGAAGTGCTTTACAGCCAGGTAGGCAGCTCACGGCCAAGTGTAGAGTAGCGCGTTTCCTGTGGTTGCAGGCTTTTTGAGTAGAAGGCCAGTGGTTCGGCGCGGCCGTAAATGTGCTGGTGAAGTACGGCGCCGACGCCGGTATCAGAGGCGTCAACTATTAGTCTGAGAAGTGCACCAGGGTGAGGGTGACTCAGTAGTGTGGCGTTGGCCAAGGCTTTCTTCACCTCCTCGAAAGCTTGTGTTTCCTCTGTCGTCCAGAACACGGCTCTCATTACTGTCTTGTCTTTCTTCTGTACAAGAGCGTAGAGCGGGCGAAGTAAGGCAGCTCAGCGAGGAACAAAACGGTGGTAATATGCCATGAGTCCCAAGAATCGCCTGAGCTTCTGCTTTTGAGGCAGTGGGAAAGTAGTGATGGCTTCGACCTTATCGTGCAGGGGTTTTGTTCCGTGCTGTGAGATGTGATATCCCAGGAACGAGAGCTCGGGGATGCCAAACTGGCACTTTTCCTTGTTGATGATGATCCTGTACAGGCAGAAGCGGTCGAAGATCTGGCGAAGATGTTGCAAATGCTCTTCCTCAGAACGGCTGGCCACGAGGCAGTCATCGACGTAAGAGAAGAAGAATGGCAGTTCTCTCAGCACGTTATCGATAAAACGCTGGAATGTCTGGCTGGCGTTCTTCCGGCCGAACGGAAGCCTGACGAACTCGTACAGGTTGAAAGGAGTAGTTACAGCAGTTTTACAAACGTCAGCTGGGTTGACGGGTATCTGGTTGTACGCCCTCATGAAGTCTATCTTCGAGAACCTGGTAGCTCCAGCGAGATTGGCGGCAAAGTTGTGGATGCACGGCAATGGATAGCGGTCGGGAACTATCACCGCATTGAGAGCGTGGTAATCGACACAGGGGCGCCAGCTTCCAAGCTGCTTTTTTGGGTACCATGTGCAGCGCCGACGACCAGGTGCTGTTTGATGGGTGGATTATGCCCAGGCTGAGCATCTGATGGAACTCCCTCTTAGCGATGTGGAGTCTGTCGGGTCCTCGGAACCAAAAGTGGGAGAAGACTGGCAGGCCTTTGGTCTCATTATGGTGGACCACTTCTTGTTTGAGCGGCAGAGGGCTGTCACTGTAATGCGTCAGAGATGGAAACTCCCTCAAGAGCTTGATATAAGGAGATATTTCTGGGTAGTCGGCTGTGAGTCACAGAGATACAATGGTGATTGGCCCCCCGCTGACTCAGCCCTGGGTGATTGGGTACATGGTGCTGCATGTCGATTGAGAAGCAGTAATGGTTCAGGAAATCCATGCCTATGACGGAGAAACCGACATCAGCTACTAAGAACTTCCACGTGTATCGTTGGCCAAGGTTGAGATCCAGCGTGACCGACTTGGAGCCGTAGGTGTTGGTGCCGTTTGCCGCCAATAGCTTGTTGGTTGATGTGGGTGTTGCTTGGCAGCTGGACTTCGGCAGGACGCTGAACTGTGCGCCATTGTCAATCAGGAAGTGCATACCTGTACAGTGATCCGTGAGGTGGAAGAGGCGGTCAGGTTCCGGCTCCCATGCAGTTGCCGCGCTCACGACCAGAAGCATGGCATCTGGCAAAGGAGGGCCCGGTCACCGAAGCGGTGATGGTAGAAGCACAGGTTGTTGGACTGTCCTGACGATCTGCTGCCTGCAGGCTAGGGCAATCGGCTTTGCTGCTGGTAACGCTGTGGCTGTGTAGGTGGTGTTGACATTCACAGGGAGGCCGTGACGCTATCTGGACAGAATTAAGGGCACCGATGAGAGCGTCCAGCCGATAGGCTGGCACTATGACCGACTGCCGGTTTTCCTTGGGCTGCGGAGACAGCACTGAATGGTCTGGTGCCAAGGCAGGAGAGGTTTGTGGTGCTGGTGTCACGGATGAGGTGCTGGCAGTCATAGAACTAGACGCTTTCATGAAGTGGTCAGCAGGCTCCTCCATGCCGTCCAATGAGGTGTTCTCAGGAAATATGGAGAGCGCTGCCCAAACATTGGCCGGCAAACACTGTAGGAACAGCGGACGGAGAATGAGGTCTTCCGACGTGGTGCCGGTGGTGGAGAGTAAGTGGCGGAGGCTTTGCAGGAGCTGGGAAGGCTTGCGGGCGCCGAGGGATTCGTCCCTCAACAACTGCTGCATATGCTGTTGAGACGATGCGCCCAGCCACGCCCATAACGCCAAGCACAATTTCTCAGAAGGCTCCTCTGCCAGGGGCGCCTTGAGGATGTTGCGTTTTTCCATGGTGACAGTAGGTGGTAGCATCGACATGGCATGGCGGTACTTCGTGGCACATACAGCTATTCGTCATGTCGTGAAGTAGCTGTTGAGCTGCAGTAGCCAAAGCTCCGGGTCAGAGCCAATGAAGGCCTGAGCAGCAGGATGGACTACGGGAGACAGCTGGAGCAGCACCGGTTGGGACTGGTGGAGACATGGTAACAAGATCGTCGTCTTTTCGGTCACTCCGGGGTCACCAATGTAGCACTGAATCCAAGAAGAACACTCAGACTATGTTTGTCAGTTTATTTGTGTGGCGAGGAGAAGTGTGCTTTAGCACGGAGCGAGAGTGAGTGACTGTTCCAAGGCCACCCACCAGTTTACTGTACTGTACAGTATATACCTGCTGACTCATCGAAGCTGTCTTGGCTCAAGTCTCGAACCAAGTTCAGCCACATCAGCCAGCCGACTCAAAAACAGTTACAAGAGCAAAACAACTAGTTACAATAAGTTTTAGGCATCTGTTAAGATACTTGTATATTACATTACATTACAGTGGTCTCTCGGTTAATGAACACAATTCGTTCCAGAAGGTCGTTCATTAATCGAAAATTTCATTAACCGAAACCATTGTTTCAATGGGATTTTGGGTAATTGGTTCCAGCTCATCGAAGATTACATACAAAGTAAAAATAAATGCAGTTAAGTACACTTACTTTGAGGTGTGTATGTAGAAGGCTCCTGGTTGATGATGATGGGAATTAGAAGTGGGGGTGGAGGAGAAGGGGGAAGAGAAGGAAGTGGGGGTGGAAGAGAAATCACCCCAGGCTTCATGCCGTCATTTCACCCAAAAAATTTTAATCTCACTAGGTGTAATTCAAGATTATTTTCTTTAAATCAACACTGCACTGCACTATATATTGTCAATATGTAAAATAAATTTCAGAGTGACCAATAATTGTACTGTAAAAACGTAAAAATAGTTCATGTTCAAGAAAGTCACAAGGAAGATGTTACCTCCACTGACCAGAGATACAAACTGACGCCTTGGTGGGTGAGTCAAGTGGCTGAATGGCGCACCAAAAACTAGTTTCCTGTACTGCAATTATGTTAAATAAGTGTTTAAATGACTAAAAAATTTAATATAAAACTTGGAAAATTATTGAATAGTACAACCTTCTTGATATTTACTCAAATGGGAACGAATTTAAGCCCTAGAACCGATTACTGTATTGGCGGACTAATATTCCTGCTGGTGAGCAAGCGAAAACATGTTGACATGATTTCGTAAGAATTTCGTTAACCGAATTGAAGATTCTTATGGAAGGTAATTCGTTAACCGAAATTTCGTTAACCAAGGTGTTCGTTAACCGAGGGATCACTGTACTTTATAATACTGTAGTTTAAATACAATTAGAGAACAATGTATAGTTATTCTTGAGTCGTTACACTCTTATTTTTTTTATCCCCTACTGCTCCTGTGGAGAAGGTTGTAGAAATGATAACTTGAATAACAAAAGGTTTTATCCAGTTCAGTGTTTAGATATATTACAAGGTCTTTGACAAGTATTTTTCATCATTATTATAGAGGTGTGACCCTGCAGACTTAGGATTCAGTGACAAGCAATTTTATGTTAAAAGTGAGTTCCCCTTCATCTCTTATTTTACTTTTAATGAACAGAGTAAATGATCATTTTTTTCCAAGATATTTGTCATTGATTTATATTAAAAGTATATATAGCAGTGTACAATGTTCACTGTCAGAGGGACAATTTAAGTGAAGAATGAGAGTTGACAGTTAAGAAGTGAGTAAGGGGTGGTTTGAGGAGGTGCACAGCTCAGAAAATGATTAAAAATAAAAGAATGTATGTAGTATAGTACAGTATTTATGGATCCATTAAAAACAAGTAGGTCAGAATGATGTACTGTAATGGATATGTAGTAACTTTGTCTCCATGATACACCACTTAGCATGAGCCATAGCATGAAATTCAACCATTCAACCTGTGCAATTGTGAATTCTTGGTCAAAATTAAGCATGCAATTGTGAAACTGTACAAAGAGAGACTTAAAATATTACTTTTATTACTGTTATTCTTATAAACTTGGTGTTATATTAACTTTTATATAATGTTGTCCTCAGGAAGCGGCCTCTTCCTAGCGTCTCGATACCCAGTTTTAGAAGCAACTTTCCATCCCTTCACTTATAAAACCCATTATGGTATATTTGTGTGTTATGGAATTTTGTTGACAAAGGTAAGGTTTTATGTAGTTTTGCAATTTTCATAATTAAACAAAATACAGTTGTCCCTCGCCAACTGCAGGGGTTAGGTTCCTGAAAAACCCTGTGGTTGGCAAATCTGTAGTTGGTAAGATTAAAGGCTTATGGAAAATAGGGGGTTAGGTTCCATGGCCGTGGATAACATTCGTCAAAGCATAAGTTGCCTGTTCCTTCACTAAACAATATCTGTACAGCATTGTACATTTAATTAAATTTGTGTCAAATACATATAAACTATCTTAATAAAATTGAATAACATAAATTTTACAGTACAGTACAGGGCGTCCTCGCTTAACGTCGGGGTTACGTTCCTCAAAATGCGACATTATGCGAAACAACGTTAAGCGGATCAATTTACCCCATAAGAAATAGATAAAATATGGGAGTTACGTTCCTGAGCCTCCCTTTGCCCTATGAAAAAAGTTACATATCCAGAAAATTATTGCCATTTCTATAGAAAATAGTATATAGAACTACAGTACTAAGTTTGTATTGGTACTCACCGATGGGCGGAGGTGGTAGAGCGAGTGTGTGGTGGGTAGTGGAGCGAAGGAAGAGGATGGCGGGAGCTGAGGAGGAGGGTGAATCACTGAGACTCTGCGGCTGCCTCCTCCTCCTCCTCCTGCTGTGACTGGGGTTCCTCCGTCGCTGTTTGCTCCTCCTCGGCTGCCGGCTGTTTTGAAGAAGCTGCTTCTGCCGTTCCGTGACGAAAAAATGAATCCAGTGTTGACTGCTTGATGCTACTCATCTTCTCCTTATAAATCTCGGTGTAACAACCAAGACTGTCCTCAATGCTGCGTTGAACCTTTGAGCTACGTTCTCTGTTTGGGTCGTCATCTAGAAGCATTTGCATTGCTTGCTGGAACGTGTTCAATGATTCTGCCAACCTCCTTGAAGTTAGCGTTCTTTGAGGTTCTTTGTCGTCGTCGTCATCGTCTTCAATGGGACTGTTCTGTTAATTGTTGCAGATCTTCGTTGGTGAGCTCCTCTGTTTGGGATGCCAGGACGTCCTCAATATCCTCTGATTCCAGCTCATCAAAGCCTGCCTGTCTAGCCAAGCTGAGGATATCCCTATTCACTGCTGGGACTAAGTCCGTAAATCCCGTAAAACTGTTGATGCACTCGGGCCACAATGTACGCCACACACCATTCAGGCAACTTTCTAAACCTCTTCCCATGCCTTGCCAATGTTGTGAATTGCATGAAGAATGTTGAAGCCGCGCCAATATTCTAGGATCGTTGGTTTATTTTCTCCGTCTGTAGCCTTGAGCAACTGTACCATGGTATGGCGTAAATAATACGCCTTGAATGCGGCGATGACGCCTTGGTCCATAGGCAGCATCAGTGCTGTAGTGTTGGGAGGCAGGAATACAATTTTTACACTGTCATGCAAGTCGTCGAGATTGGGAGGATGAGCTGGAGCATTGTCAAGGATCAGAAGAATTTTGAAGTTAAGGTTCTCCTTGGCACAGTATTCCTTCAGTGCAGGGACGGCGCACACATTTACCCACTGGCTCAATATGGTGCCGGTTATCCATGCCTTTTTGTTTGCCTTGTAAATGACAGGAAGGTGATCCTTAAGAGTAACCTTTCAGGGCCCGTGGGTTGGCAGCGCGAGAAATCAGCATAGGATTCAACTTGAAGTCACTGGCAGAGTTTGCACCAAGCAGCAGCATCAAGCGGTCTTTTGCCTCTTTAAAACCTGGCGTTCTTTTCTCCTCCTTGGAGATATAGGTCCTCTCAGGCATCCTCTTCCAAGAGAGACCAGTCTCATCCACATTGAAGACTTGCTTCGGTGAGTAGCTTCCTTGCTGTATAATCCGTTTTAATTCTGGCGGGAATGTCTCTGCAGCAACCGTATCTGAACTGGCAGCTTCACCAGTCATCTTTATGTTGTGGAAGTTATAAAGATGCTTAAATCATTGAAACCATCCTAGGCTGGCCGTAAAGGTCTCTTCCTTCGATCCTTCACCCTCTTTTGCCTTTAAGTCGTCAAACAAAGATCTGGCCTTATGCTGGATAACCATAAAGCTCACAGGGGCATTGCGTTGATTCTGATCCTCCATCCACATTGCCAGCATCTTTTCCACCTTCTCTTTCACAGTGCTTCTAGAACAAGTCGTCTTAGTAGCACTCAGAGAAGAACCACTTCCAGCACTAACCTTAATCTTGCCAGCGTTGGTCCAGATAGTACGCACCGTTGTGGGGGTTAAACCAAGCACAGCGGCTACGTCCACAGCACGTTCCCTTTTTCAAATCGGGTTAATACTTCCATTTTCGTAGCAAGGGTAATGGTCTTACATTAACATCAGTAGCACTTGATGGGTGCTTGGAAGCCATTTTGAATGGTTAGAGTACAGTATTAAGAGCAAAAACACTTAAGCACACACGAATAATGTGAAATCGTAACAGAGACTGGCTTGGCGTCGCTTGGGGACACTGTGACGTTCCGCGAGTGAGGGCAGCTCGCCGAGCCGAGAGAGCGTAGCGCGGCCAGACAAGAGCGGGTGATGTGCCGTAGAAAGTAGTCCATGACGACGCAAAACGACATAGTACAGTATCGGATCACCGGGGCGTTCAACGAATTTTTTGTCTAAAAAATTCATGGACGTAGTACTGAAACAACGTTAAGCGAGGACTTACTGTACATCTCTGTGGAGTTGGCATGTTGCTATAAGATAAGAAAAATGAAAAGCATGAGTGTGTATGTGTGTGTGTGTGTGTGGACTTGGCAGGTCGCCAAGTTAGACTGTCTCTGTAGCTACATTCCCCTACCACTCTCCCTACCAGGCTGAGGTGGGAGTTATGCTATGGTTATTTCTTAACTCATAATTTCAGGCATATAAACATAACTTTCTGTATTTTTTTCATTCATTTACATCCACTCACAATCCTACATTCAGAATGTCCACCCAAAAAAATTATCATAAGGTCAAAAACATAAATGGAATAAAAATTTCTTACAACCGCAGTACGTATTCGTGGGAAGGCAGGTGGGTGCAGTGTTGCCTATGTTGGTATCTGAGCCTTTCAAGCTGTGAGTTGACCTGCTGTTATTTTTCAACTTGTTTTTTGGGGTAGATATACATAATTTATTTATTTTTATTTATTTATTTATTTAGTTTTTTTTATGCACACACTCTTTATATAGAATGTGCCCCAAAAAATTATCATAAGGTCAAAGACAAAGGGATATGTATGGGAGCTATCACACAAGAGTGAGGGAGGGAGCAGCTTCCATCACGGCTCGTGCTAGTGACAAGATGGCTAAATGGCAACGCAGCATTTTTTCTTTTATTTATTATTACTATACTGTATTTTTATTTATTCCTCACATTTACTGGTACAGTAATATCCCATTTAGCACTCAGGATACATTCCTAGGTGAGCGCTATCCAAAACAGCGTTCTAAGAGGTCGTTATACCATTGTATGTATAGAGATACATTCCTGATGAAGTTCTTTTTTGCCCACGAGTTATATACAGTACAGTATATTGTTTGTCAAGGGTACAGATATTAATAAACACAGATTATTACATTAACATATCTTTACTAATTAATGAAAAACAAAAAGCAATATTGTATCAAGAATGACAGTCGTTTGATGAATCGTAGTGACGATTGTGGTAGAATGAGAGTGAGAGGTGGCATGTCAGTGGGACAGTGCCTGGGTGAGTGGCTGAAGCTAATCCATCTTTGCATCACTGAAATTATGATTTAGGTGGTAATGGGGGTGGGGTGGTGGTAAGTGGTGAGGAGGTGATGTGCCTATTGGTTTCTTTGGTAACATTGCACCTGCAGTACTGTCAGACACTATTGAACAGCCGATATCTACCCACAAAATTAAGTGTAAGTATAAGTGAGCAACATCATATCTCTTCAACATTACGTTTCATAACGCTTTAAAATATGGAGTGAGAAAGCAGAAAGGTGTGGGTGATTAGAGAGATGGAGTGGAAAGGAGTGGTAACATTCATTGGGTGTGTTGCCAAGTGCTCCTCAACAACTGATCTTTAACCCGGCACCATGCACTTGTGCTTCACTTAACAACACAGAACTTTATATCATACAATAAGACCTAAATGCACTAAGTCAGCAACACATCACAAGAGCAGTGTTGTCTCTGGCTCTCTGTACCAGAGTTGTCACCCTCACTCTGGATGTGTTGCTCTGTTAATTCTTGTGTTGTGGGTATCTGGAGGGGGTGTGTGTGGGTGATGTTGGAAGGTGTGGGTGGTGTTGGGGTGTGTGGGTGATGGGGGGTGTGGGTGGTGTTGGGGCTCTGTTGGTGGTGTTCGGGGTAAAGAGAGAGCGCTTGGCACTGATTGACCGAGTGAGTAAAAACAAAAGAGAGCTGCTCTTGGTGTGTTCGGACTCGTGACAATTTTGAATATAATTTTTTTTATTTCCTAGAGCTCCTAGATGCAAGCAAAGGTGCTGTAATGAAACAGCGCTCTACAGGGTAGCGCTAACTAGGGTGTTACTGTACAGTATACAGTATATTATTTCATGTATAAAGAATAAGTTTTAACACGCACAAACCATCCTTTGGGCGATGTGACACATTCAATTGCTTAGCCTGACAATCACCAAGGACGGGCAGAACCTCCCACACATCCCGTGCGTGGGTAGCACGTGTTACACCCTCCCTTAAGATAATGTGCCAAAGTTAAACAGTATTTTATATTTTCTTCATGTGTTAAGTAGTAAAGTGGAGTACTGTAGTTGTGTACTGTTTATCACTACTCAGGTAGTTGTTGTTCTTGTTTGTGAACCAATTTTGTGTTTTTGGGGGTTTGATATTTAGGTATTTTTGTCACTGGGAACCAAATCCTATATTTTCCACGTTCTTCTATTCAAGATACAAAAATTCACTTGATTAATTTTTTTTAATTCTGTTACATGCACACAAACATTAATACAGAATGTTAGCCCACGATCCTTAGTGAAACAATTGCCAAATGGCAATGCACTATTTTTTCTTTGGTTTTTATAGCATTTTTATTCATTCCCCACATTTGTGGAGAAATTCATTGGACTTCCGAGGGATAAAGACGCCACACTAATCCGCAGATACTCAGTTGGCGAGGGTCTACTATATACCATTTTTGCTGTCTGCATTTATTTTTGAACAGTGACATGTTCGTATACATTATCTTGATAAAAACTACATCATCACATCAAATGGAGGTGACTGACTTACTCATGGCAATTGTTGTCCTTGATAAGTTTTTGAGAACCTTTGCATTTGGCTTCACTACTGGCCATTACTTTTGGCAATCAATGTGCAAGTCAGATGTCTTAGATGAATTGTGCTGTTGTTTTTTTGCAAATGAATCACTAACAAGACTATAATAAATCACATCATTGTGTAGTGGTTTCCTGACAAACAAGTATTTAGGGAGATGCAGTATAATGGGATATCCATAATTAGAAATTAATTGGAGTTAATATGTGAAAGAAAAACAGATAATTGTCATTTTAAAAAATGCATTTACTTTTTCAGTTGTGTTAGCTGAAAAACATTTAGAAAAATTCATAGTGTTGATCATTGTTAGTATTTGGTCCATCAAGAATTACAGTACAGTACCTGCATTATAAACTTTTTTCCTTAATTGTAAAGGTCCTGCTTCATATTAACAAATTTCAACCTTTTACCTCACAGTTTTAAAAATCTGAGCCTACCTGTTTGTTATTTGCAGCTTGACTTGGGCATACTAACAGAAAATAGTGAGGCAGTACGTGGTGTTGGTTATGTTACCAACATACACACGCAGGTGAGTTTTGATTTAAAGTATAATTTAAAATGGACTCTTTGTATGTATTTTGTTTTAATCTCATATGGTATGCAAAGTCAAAAAGAACCTCAATTTTTTTATTCTGTCATGATCATATTTTCAGAAATTGTTACCTTATTTAGTTATAATTTCCAGTGAAGCATTTTGTTTACCAAATTCTGCCTATGAAAACATTATACTGTATATGAATACTGTAGTAAGTATGTGTGAGGGCAAATGAGGGACAATGTAAGAGTTTTGAGGTAGGAGTGAGAGTGAGGCAAGGTTGTGTGATGTCCCCATGGCTGTTTAATGTAGTTGTATACTGTCAGGAGTATTGATGGAGTTTCTCAACCAGGATCCCAGGATCCTGGAGGGTGAACCATTATATTATTTCCCAGGACAAATGCCAAAAATCCTGGAATTTTCCAGTTTTTGCAGAGCATTGAAAATACACTATAACAAAATTCTGAACTTATAATAGAAATACAAAACAGTACCTGTACTATATTTTGGGACAAGGGTCAAATGTTTACTATTTCACATCTGTAAGCTCTTACTGTGCATAATCAAGAAAAATACATACATTACAAGTATTCACATTGCGTCTATTAGTAAATCGTGTAGCCCGTGTTTCAGTGCAGTGTGCCATTTCACACCTTTTTCTTCTGTTATGTGGATTAATTTGTCACAGGAAACACAGAGTGATGAGCTGTGGTCAGCGGTCCAAAGTAGTATGCAGAGTAGATACTCCACATGTTTTGGCTTGTACAGTATTAGTCATTATTCTATTATGAAGTGATACATAATACTTTATTATGAAGTGATACATAATACTTTATTATGAAGTGATACATAATACTTTATTATGAAGTGATACATAATACTTTATTATGAAGTGATACATAATACTTTATTATGAAGTGATACATAATACTTTATTATGAAGTGATACATAATACTTTATTATGAAGTGATACATAATACTTTATTATGAAGTGATACATAATACTTTATTATGAAGTGATACATAATACTTTATTATGAAGTGATACATAATACTTTATTATGAAGTGATACATAATACTTTATTATGAAGTGATACATAATACTTTATTATGAAGTGATACATAATACTTTATTATGAAGTGATGCATAATACTTTATTATGAAGTGATACATAATACTTTATTATGAAGTGATACATAATACTTTATTATGAAGTGATACATAATACTTTATTATGAAGTGATGCATAATACTTTATTATGAAGTGATGCATAATACTTTATTATGAAGTGATACATAATACTTTATTATGAAGTGATACATAATACTTTATTATGAAGTGATGATACATAATACTTTATTATGAAGTGATGCATAATACTTTATTATGAAGTGATACATAATACTTTATTATGAAGTGATGCATAATACTTTATTATGAAGTGATACATAATACTTTATTATGTGTGAGTGATGCATAATACTTTATTATGAAGTGATACATAATACTTTATTATGAAGTGATACATAATACTTTATTATGAAGTGATACATAATACTTTATTATAGTGATGCATAATGTCTTTATTATGATGATGCATAATACATAATACTTTATTATGAAGTGATACATAATACTTTATTATGAAGTGATGCATAATACTTTATTATGAAGTGATGCATAATACTTTATTATGAAGTGATGCATAATACTTTATTATGAAGTGATGCATAATACTTTATTATGAAGTGATACATAATACTTTATTATGAAGTGATACATAATACTTTATTATGAAGTGATACATAATACTTTATTATGAAGTGATACATAATACTTTATTATGAAGTGATGCATAATACTTTATTATGAAGTGATACATAATACTTTATTATGAAGTGATACATAATACTTTATTATGAAGTGATACATAATACTTTATTATGAAGTGATGCATAATACTTTATTATGAAGTGATACATAATACTTTATTATGAAGTGATGCATAATACTTTATTATGAAGTGATACATAATACTTTATTATGAAGTGATGCATAATACTTTATTATGAAGTGATACATAATACTTTATTATGAAGTGATACATAATACTTTATTATGAAGTGATACATAATACTTTATTATGAAGTGATGCATAATACTTTATTATGAAGTGATGCATAATACTTTATTATGAAGTGATACATAATACTTTATTATGAAGTGATGCATAATACTTTATTATGAAGTGATGCATAATACTTTATTATGAAGTGATGCATAATACGTTATTATGAAGTGATGCATAATACTTTATTATGAAGTGATGCATAATACTTTATTATGAAGTGATACATAATACTTTATTATGAAGTGATGCATAATACTTTATTATGAAGTGATGCATAATACTTTATTATGAAGTGATGCATAATACTTTATTATGAAGTGATACATAATACTTTATTATGAAGTGATACATAATACTTTATTATGAAGTGATACATAATACTAATACTTTATTTTGAAGTGATGCATAATACTTTATTATGAAGTGATACATAATACTTTATTATGAAGTGATACATAATACTTTATTATGAAGTGATACATAATACTTTATTATGAAGTGATACATAATACTTTATTATGAAGTGATACATAATACTTTATTATGAAGTGATACATAATACTTTATTATGAAGTGATACATAATACTTTATTATGAAGTGATACATAAATACTTTATTATAGTATTATAATACTTTATTATAAAGTGATATAATACTTTATTATGAAGTGATGCATAATGCTTTATTATGAGTAGTACAACTTTATTATGAAGTGATGCATAATACTTTGTTATGAGAGTGTACTTTATTATGAGTGATGCACTAATACTTTATTATAGTGATGCATAATGCTTTATTATAGTGATACATAATACTTTATTATGAAGTGATATATAATACTTTATTATGAAGTGATACATAATACTTTATTATGAAGTGATACATAATACTTTATTATGAAGTGATACATAATACTTTATTATGAAGTGATACATAATACTTTATTATGAAGTGATACATAATACTTTATTATGAAGTGATACATAATACTTTATTATGAAGTGATACATAATACTTTATTATGAAGTGATACATAATACTTTATTATGAAGTGATACATAATACTTTATTATGAAGTGATACATAATACTTTATTATGAAGTGATACATAATACTTTATTATGAAGTGATGCATAATACTTTATTATGAAGTGATGCATAATACTTTATTATGAAGTGATACATAATACTTTATTATGAAGTGATACATAATACTTTATTATGAAGTGATGCATAATACGTTATTATGAAGTGATGCATAATACGTTATTATGAAGTGATGCATAATACTTTATTATGAAGTGATGCATAATACAGTACTTTATTATGAAGTGATGCATAATACTTTATTATGAAGTGATGCATAATACTTTATTATGAAGTGATGCATAATACTTTATTATGAAGTGATACATAATACTTTATTATGAAGTGATGCATAATACTTTTATTATGAAGTGATTTTACAATACTTTATTATGAAGTATGTATTACTTTTATTATGAAGTGATACATAATACTTTATTATGAAGAGGATGCGCTAATACTTTATTATGAAGTGATGCATAACATTTATTATATGATGCATAATACTTATTATGAAGTGATACATACTACTTTACAGGAAGTGATACATAATACTTCAGTATTATAGAAGTGATATACACTTTTATTATGAAGTGATACATAATACTTATTAAGGAAGTGATGCATAATACTTATTATGAAGTGCTTACAATACTTATTATGAAGTGATGCATAATACTTTATTATGAAGTGATGCATAATACTTTATTATGAAGTGATGCATAATACGTTATTATGAAGTGATGCATAATACTTTATTATGAAGTGATGCATAATACTTTATTATGAAGTGATGCATAATACTTTATTATGAAGTGATGCATAATACGTTATTATGAAGTGATACATAATACTTTATTATGAAGTGATGCATAATACTTTATTATGAAGTGATGCATAATACTTTATTATGAAGTGATGCATAATACTTTATTATGAAGTGATGCATAATACTTTATTGTGAAGTGATACATAATACTTTATTGTGAAGTGATACATAATACTTTATTATGAAGTGATACATAATACTTTATTATGAAGTGATACATAATACTTTATTATGAAGTGATACATAATACTTTATTATGAAGTGATGCATAATACTTTATTATGAAGTGATACATAATACTTTATTATGAAGTGATGCATAATACTTTATTATGAAGTGATACATAATACTTTATTATGAAGTGATGCATAATACTTTATTATGAAGTGATACATAATACTTTATTATGAAGTGATACATAATACTTTATTATGAAGTGATGCATAATACTTTATTATGAAGTGATATATAATACTTTATTATGAAGTGATGCATAATACTTTATTATGAAGTGATGATAACATTTATTATGAAGTGATACATAATACTTTTATTATGAAGTGATATAATATTTTAGTTAAGAAGTGATACATAATATTTATTATGAAGTGATACATAATACTTTATTATGAAGTGATACATAATACTTTATTATGAAGTGATGCATAATACTTTATTATGAAGTGATACATAATACTTTATTATGAAGTGATACATAATACTTTATTATGAAGTGATACATAATACTTTATTATGAAGTGATACATAATACTTATTATTGAAGTGATGCATAATACTTTATTATGAAGTGATACATAATACTTTATTATGAAGTGATACATAATACTTTATTATGAAGTGATACATAATACTTTATTATGAAGTGATACATAATACTTTATCATGAAGTGATGCATAATACTTTATTATGAAGTGATGCATAATACTTTATTATGAAGTGATACATTATACTTTATTATGAAGTGATGCATAATACTTTATTATGAAGTGATACATAATACTTTATTATGAAGTGATACATAATACTTTATTATGAAGTGATACATAATACTTTATTATGAAGTGATACATAATACTCTACTGTATTTAGATTGACATTATTTGGAGGCATATTTATATATTAACAGTGCAATAGCATCAATTGCATAAGTATATTTGAATGTACAGTAATGCTTCAGTGAAGTACAGGTTGACAACCCTTTACCCGAAAACCGACAAGCTCTAAAAACCGAAAGTTTTTTGTGGGGCTTTTTTTACCAGGGATTATTAGCCCAGCCAGGCACAGGTCACTGACCCACATCGGGGCCTGGGGGCGAAAATGTAATAGTAATAATAATTATATTAATAATAATTATTCATAGTAAATAAAAATTTTAATAAAAATACACCAAAATGAAATAATAATTATTACAATAATAATAATAATAATAATAATTATAAAATATAATAATAAAATTAATAATAATAATAATAACAATAATACTGATAATAAAATAATAATACAGTAAAGAAATACAAGAATGAAAAAAAGATCAAAAGTGAGAAACACGACCTAGACCTATGAATTATTATTATTATTATTATTATTATTTTTATTATATTTTAGACCCCCAGGCCCCAATATGGGTCAGTGATCTATACCCGGGTGGGCTAATACACATAAAAAAAAAAATCTAACCATTCTGAAAACCGAAAAATTCCGAAAACCGAAATGCCTCTGGCCCCAAGGATTTCGGATAAAGGATTGTCAACCTGTACTAGTCTAATACAATCTGGGTTGACTCAGAGATAATAGTACAGTACAGTACAGTGCAGTACTGTACTGTGTTTTCAGTCATTATATTATTTCTTGAGAAGGATAAGCAAAAATATGCTACTGAATGTATTGGGGTAATTATGAAATAAATAGGTTATTTTACCAATGCAGGTACAGTACAGGTACTTTTAGCTCGCTCCAAGTCCACAAAGCACAATAATATTTTGTGCTCAGTTTTTTTGAGAAATAATTTTTTTCTTCTAATAATATGATTATAACACTGAATGCATAAATATTATGCAGTACTATACTATGTAAATATATTTTTTCAATAAAACTATGGAGCTGAATTGTGGGATATTGTCATTGGCTATACAGCGTGTCTCTACTTGGATGATGTGTTGTACCCCGTAGAGGTACAGCACCATGCTTCAAGTGGCAGGATTACCGTACACTGCAACGAGATCAGTGACCTCCCAGGGTGCATCCTGTGCGGTACCCCTTGCATCACTAATACAAAGCTCCCTTTCTATCTTTCATTAGCTTCTCCCTTTAGCTTCTGTTACAGGATATACAGTACAGGCATCCCCTGTGTTTACTGAACCTCAGTTTATGGAAATTCTCGGTGATAAATTATAAATTGGTGAATTAATTACAATCTGTGGAATGTAAAGTTTACTACTACTATGGAAATTTGTATTTCAAAATTAGAAAATTGCTGAGAGAGAGGATTCAAATTGTACTGTACTGTACTGTACTGTACTGTACTGTACTGTACTGTCTGTGGTTTGTCCTAACACACATTCATACTGTGAAGGGCTATTTGCCTTAGCATTTCATGCAATAATTCATTACACTGAATTACAGTAATATTAATGTTTTCACCAGATTATTTAAATGTGGAATAGCAAAATTGTCAAATGCTTACTTCAGTAGGCAGTTGAATAAAATCGTTTGGTATTGGCCAGAATAAAATACCTAAGGAATATTGTACTTTGCTCTCTAAATGGTTAAACTTGTATGTACTATAAATGTACAGTCCCCTTCACTAGTGCGTTTACAGGGGCTCATCATATAAACATTCCACAAATCATTACATTGAGATATTTGTTTTTAATATTGTTTTACTTTGATTCCATAATATGTTTACTATTGTGAGTTTCCTTCTGTCGTGTGTAAACAAACACAGTGCTACCACACTGCACAAAGCCTGATGAGTCCCTGTAAATGCACTAGTGAAGGGGACTGTACATGTTCACAACTCTTTTACTGTACAGGCATATCAAGGCAAAGAACAAGTTCTGAAGCATCAGCTGGAGGAGGTGCGACAACGGGTGAAGAGTTACATCAGTAACACCCACAATCCCCAGAATGAAGTTGTGGTGTTCTCTGTTATAGGTGGAGACTTTAACTGTGACAACATGTCCCCAGGTGAGGTGATTTCAATACTAGATGTAAGTAAGTGACTAGATAAAGTAGATTTTATATTAATTTCTTTTCCTATCTTCAATAAAGTTCACATCATAGTGTTGTAATATTTTTGAACTGACAATGAATCTAATATTATTTGATGGCAATCTCTTTGAGCATCATTAAGAGGAACATCACTAAAGTTTGTTGTCATGATGTATTGTATGAACCTAGCATGTAAACATTTATTTTTTGTCAGTATTATAGACTTTCTTTTATTTTAATGTCATCCATTTACACCTGCTGCTGTAACACCTCTATAAAATACTTGACTTGTGGCTCACTAGAACATGACATATGTGCCAAGTGTTTGTATTGTACTTTGTTCCAGTCACCCAGGAATGTAGTGGGATAATTCTTGCAAGACTAAAGAGTAAAACTATACTAGACATTAAAAAGGATCAACCAGGCTACATAAGAGAAAAATGTCTCTATTACTGGTATATAGTTGTTTGTTATTTAGGTATCTTGACTCACCAAACTTTTTCAGTACTATAATCTTTGTTAATATGATTTTAGTGGACTCGAACAAAATACACTTCACTCTGGATATAATACTTGGCCAGTGGTGTGTCTTCATGTGCTGGACAATAGAGATATTAAAGTACAGTGGTCCCTCGGTTAACGAACGGTTCAATTAACGAAATTTTGGTTGACGAATTAGCTCCAATAAGGATCTTCAAATCGGTTTACGAACAAAACTTCAATTAACGAAATCCTTACGACAAACACGTTTTGTTGTGAGCATCAGCTGATTGGCTAGTCCGCCAATACAGTAATCTGTTCTGTTTTTACATTCGTTTCCAGTGGATTAAATATCAAGAAGGTTGTGTTCTTGAATATTGTTGTATTTTTTATATTAGAATTATTGGTCATTCTAAAATTTAGCCATCCAAGCTCTGTCTACATAAAGTTTTTCAACTAATATTTTTGGCTCGATATATGTAACTTTATTCATTTATTGAAACTCATTTACATGCACACACTGTCCTAAGGGCAAAGCTGTACTGTACATGTAATCAAAATAATGTACAAAATGATTACTAAAATTTTTGTCTAGTGCAAACTATAGCGTGTTTATATTCAAATTAATCACTATCTTATAAGAATTCCAGCAATGTAAATTATATTCTCCCCGGTCACCTCTATGACATTTTATAAGCACAAAACAAAAACTCAATCTAAAGGACATAAATAAACAAATAAATACTTCACTAGACCTTCGGCGCCAACTGTCAAACATGTCACTGTCACCTCCCCTCCCTCCCTCCCTCCCTCCCGGCCAGGGTTTGGTGGTTATACAGTAGGCTTTAAGTTTTTATCTTATATAATATCACAGACTAAAGTTAGGAGAATATAATTTGCATTTCTGGAATCCCTGCTAGACACTGAATAATTGGAATATAAACGTCATATATTTTGCACAAGAGATAAAAATTCATCACCTATATCACATTACAGTAGTGATTTAAGAGTTCTAATATATATATATATATATATATATATATATATATATATATATATATATATATATATATATATATATATATATATATATATATATATATATATATATATATATATATATATATATATATATATATATATATATATATATATATATATATATATATATATATATATATATATATATATATATATATATATATATATATATATATATATATATATATATATATATATATATATATATATATATATATCTTGATAAAATCACACGGGTAAATGGAAACAACGGAGTACCTTAGCTTTCGTCTTTATTCAAGACATCTTCAGAGGCAACTAGATTACATGGACAGAGAGAGGCTTAAATATACAGGGTGACCTAAAAACATGAGGTCAGGTCATAATGATGACATCCACTAATCCCCACACCAACACAACCATAGAGGAGCTTAAGAGAAGGGTGGTGACGTGACTAGACAGGTCAGGTCAGAAAAAAGGGACCCACAAAATAACTGTCATACATCAAGATCAAAGGTTTTCAAAGCATTTTTAACCTTGGGCCACTGACAAATAAATTTATGTAACATATTATCAGTTTTGAACTGACCATCACTAAGGTTTATTGATTTTAATTCCTTAATCAAACTAGCTTCAACCAGAAGTCTTTCTGTGACACAAGATGATTTGAATACTTCTAAGCTTCTTTCCTAAGCAATGGGGTGATTATTATTCCTAACATGAACGAACAAGGCACTGCTTTCAGATGCAGTTCTGATATTATACTTATGTTGTTTGATTCTGAGCTGCAGTGTTTTTCCTGTCTGACCTACATAATTACAATTACATTGGCTACATGGAATACAATAAACACTTCCATTTACATTCAAACTTGGGCTATTCCTTATTAACATATTGGTAATGGCTGAGTCATACTTGAAAACAACATTAATATTTAGAAGCTTGAGGGACCGAACTAAAGGGACAAATTCATCACGATAGGGCAGAGTCAAAATATTCTTAAGTGTAGGAACTTGTCTGGTTACAGAGGAATGAAGGGATTTTTTAGCCCTTTTAAAGCAACGATCAACAAACACAGAAGGGTACCCAAGTTTCTGTGCAATAGAACGAATGTGTTTAAATTCGTCGTCAATAAATTCAGAGTCACAAATACGCAGACATCTTAGGAACATAGCAGAAAAAACTGACATTTTGGTAGACTCAAGGTGATTGGATAAAAAGTGAATGAAACTGTCTACCTGTGTGGGCTTTCTATATACCTTAAATTTATAGTTTTGGCCATTTCTCATGATAAGCATATCAAGAAATGGAAGGGATTCATTTATTTCTCTTTCAATTTTGAATGTGATACTAGGGACAATATTATTAAGCTTGTCTAAAAATTCCAAAGGGTCACTGTTTTTAGGCCAAAGACAAAGAACATCATCTACATATCTATACCAAGGAGGAATACAGTCCACTACATTGGGGAGTAATCTAGACTCAAAGAACTCCATATAAATACAGGCTAGAGGAGCAGAAAGACAATTACCCATGCTCATGCCAAATACTTGCTTGTAGAACTTCCCATTTGCACTAAACACATTGTCAGTTACGCATAACTCTATCAATTTCAGGAAAGTATCATGTTCAATAGTTAAATCTAGCAGTTGTAATTTATCTTTAAGAAATGAAAGTAAGTCTTTCACAGGTACTCTAGTGAACAGTGAATTTACATCAAAACTTATTAATTCACAAGGTTCGTTGTGTTTCTTGAGTTTATCAATTAAATCACTGCTATTGCGTATATGTGAATTAGATATTTGGCCTGTAAGAGGGGATATCATCTTTACCAGCCACTTGGATAATTTGTAAGTAACAGAACCCACAGAACTCACGATAGGACGTAATGGATTATTAAGCTTGTGTGTTTTGATCAATCCATACATATAAGGTAAAGTGGGATTGATTTGAGAGAGCTGTTTAGTGAGATCGGGGTTCTTTTTCAATAACATCTTCATTTTGGAATTAGATAACTTATTAATATTTTCCAGGGGATCTTTCGTAAGCTCACAATACGTGCTTTCATCACTAAGTAATGAATTCATCTTATCATTGTAGTCACTTTTATCCAAGATAACAATAGCATTAGACTTATCAGCCTTGGTAATATGGATATTCTTATTTCTTTTCAAGTTTATCAAGGCTGTTTCAAATCTTTTTGGAATGTTTGAAGCAAATTTCTTATTTAAAACACTATGTATACAACCTTTAGCTATGGAAATATCTTCATTTGTAACATCAGACGACTTCATCTTTTCCAGGTTGATTAAACCTTTAGCAATAGTAAGCGGATTAACGCACCGTTGAGTGATAGAAAACTTCCTACCAAAACCAAGAACAAGTTTCTCATTTGTCTGTAGATCATAAGATGATAAGTTTATGAACAAATTTGGATCACTCAATATGGTCCAGTAACTCTCGTCAAACAGAGCATTTAACCTTCTTTTTTGGGCTTTGTCAGTTTCACTAAGAAGTTGATATACAAAATCACGAACGGTGTGCCACTTATCAACACAAACACTGTTTTGCATAAGTATTTTACACTGAGCACTGTGCTTGAAGGCTAATTTCACACTATCACTTGAACTCTTGATAAGGGAATCTAGCAACACCTTATCCAACTCAGAGAATGCTTGATTGTCCAGATTTCTTAGTCTACTTGGAAGACAGGACTTGGGAACAATTTTATCATCTCTGCAATCTTTCAAAAACTTCAACTTGTTTTTGAGACTATGAGCCTTCAGCAAACTCTTCTTGTAGTTGCGGTAGATGGGGCGAAGATGAGGATGTTGTTGACAGATTAAGGACACAGCGTAAGAGAGACGTGTAAGTTCCATATTTCATGTAAATCCACAATGAAAACGTGGATAAGATAAATCTTGATAAAATCACACGGGAAAATGGAAACAACGGAGTACCTTAGCTTTCGTCTTTATTCAAGACATCTTCAGAGGCAACTGATTACATGGACAGAGAGAGGCTTAAATATACAGGGTGACCTAAAAACATGAGGTCATGTCATAATGATGACATCCACTAATCCCCACACCAACACAACCGTAGAGGAGCTTAAGAGAAGGGTGGTGACGTGACTAGACAGGTCAGGTCAGAAAAAAGGGACCCACAAAATAACTGTCATACATCAAGATCAAAGGTTTTCAAAGCAGTTTTAACCTTGGGCCACTGACAAATAAATTTATGTAACATATTATCAGTTTTGAACTGACCATCACTAAGGTTTATTGATTTTAATTCCTTAATCAAACTAGCTTCAACCAGAAGTCTTTCTGTGACACAAGATGATTTGAATACTTCTAAGCTTTTTTCCAAGCAATGGGGTGATTATTATTCCTAACATGAACGAACAAGGCACTGCTTTCAGATGCAGTTCTGATATTATACTTATGTTGTTTGATTCTGAGCTGCAGTGTTTTTCCTGTCTGACCTACATAATTACAATTACATTGGCTACATGGAATACAATAAACACTTCCATTTACATTCAAACTTGGGCTATTCCTTATTAACATATTGGTAATGGTTGAGTCATACTTGAAAACAACATTAATATTTAGAAGCTTGAGGGACCGAACTAAAGGGACAAATTCATCACGATAGGGCAGAGTCAAAATATTCTTAAGTGTAGGAACTTGTCTGGTTACAGAGGAATGAAAGGATTTTTTAGCCCTTTTAAAGCAACGATCAACAAACACAGAAGGGTACCCAAGTTTCTGTCCATGTAACTGAAGTTTGAAGATGTCTTGAATAAAGAGAAAGTTAAGGCACTGTTGTTTCCATTTTCCCGCAGATTTTATCAATATATATATATATATACACCCACACACACACACACACACCCACACACACACACACACACACACACACACACACACACACACACACACACACACACACACACACACACACACACACTCCACCCACCCACCCACCCCCACCCACTCCACCCACCCACTCCACCCACTCCACTCCACCCACCCACCCACCCACCCACACACACACACACACATATATATATCAGAATGACCAATAATTTTAAAATAAAAAATGCAAAAATATTCAAGAAGACAACTTTCTTGATATTTACTCAACTGGAAACGAATGTAAACATAGAACCAATTACTGTATTGGTGGACTAACCGATCAGCTGATGCGCACAACAAAGCGTGTTTCTCGTGAGGCTGTCTTTAATCAAAGTTTTGTTCGTCCATGGAACTGAAAATCCTTATGGGAGCTAATTCGTGAACCGAAATTTCGTTAATTGGACCGTTCGTTAATCGAGGGACCACTGTACTGTGTGTGAGAATCTTACTGTAAGTCGCCAATATACTACTTACCTTCGTATATGGAAGTTAGGAGCTTGATGAAGTGCACTGTACAGTAGGATGAAATCTTGTTACTGAAGCATAGAGAGATCATCAGGATCACTGTTGGAAGAGGGTGATGTAGTGTTGGTTAGTGGAGAGGCGGGTGGTGGAGAGGTGCGTGGTGGAGAGGTGCGTGGCGGAGAGGTGCGTGGCGGAGAGGTGCGTGGCGGAGAGGTGCGGGGAGGTGGGTGGTGGAGTGGCGGCAGCAGCTGACCGAGTAGATGAGGGAGACAAATCAGCTGTGAGCGGCTGGTTCTTTCTTGAAAAACATCGTGATTGGTAGTTGTTTCTTCTTAGCTTTGAGGTCTCTAACCATTTCCTGGTAGGGAACCAATGTCTGGTTGTTTCTCGGACGATTTTTAGGTTCCTTTCCATGGAAGAGTCGTATGGGTGACTCGTGCTGCGGGAGAGACTCGTAAGCTAGCCACCATCTGCTTACCGTGAATATTCCAAACTGTGAATCGCAAACCCACGAATAACGAGGGTTTACTGTACTGTACTATATGAAAGATTGTGTGTGCATGTAATAAAGTAAAAACAAAAACGAAAATAGTGTATGTCAACCCAAAATTACTTGTAGTGACAGCTGGGGGATTCTAACTTACTACTGTACATATACATATCATGTAAGGTAAATGAAAAATCTTTATTTGTATAAATTTATTGCTTTTGTGTTTATTTTATAAAACATTATTGATTTTATGTATTTATTAATTATTTCAGTTAAATAGAATCATTATAGCAGCAGGATATAAAACTTGCTTGGGCTCTTCGTGGGCTCTGGAACTGAACCTCTTTTTCCCTTTAAGTTATTAGCATCGATATACAATCGATGGTTTTTTAGGTCCCTAACCCCATTGTATAACAGTCATTGTCTGTATCTTAACATAATATAACCTGGTCAGGCCTCATTTAAATTCTAACTTGACCTAAATTTTTGTATCAGGAGATGCTGGGACTCAAGACCTACCTCTGTGGGATGAGTACAAGGACCCTTGCCGGGAGTGTGCGGGAACAGACAAGCCTTGGACGGTTGGCACAGAACACCGCCAGCGTCGTCTTCATGACCCAGTCCTAGAGAAGCCAGAAATATTCAGAGATATTCTGCTTGATGACGTTCAACGTAGAATATTCATGCTTGATGCCAACATCAAGGTTAATATGATTCTTTACTACTGTCTGTCATTTATGATAATTCAAGTTAGAGATTAAAGTTCTTGATATATCTTAGAAACTCAACACTATGATGATATAAAAAGTCTTTATTGTTTATGTTTTTCATACTTATGACCCAGATCTTATTCTTCACCCGTGCATTTTTTCTCTCGCTCTTATAACTTTTCTAGCTATACACCTTTGGCATGTCTGGGAACTGGGATCAGTAACAAACACCAAATCCCTCTTTATTCACTGATATGCAACCTTTCTTTCTGCTGCAACATCCCAATCAACCATTCATCACCTGGCTCTCTTGTCAACACACACACTGCTACTTCTGGATGCCCTTCATTCTTCACTCTATCCTTCCATCGGCCTTTTAATTAACAATAGACTCTTCTAACATATGGCTTAGTTTCTTAAAAATGGCAGGTTGGACAAATTTGCATTTGGCAAAGTAAATATAATATTAGAAAAAATTGTGTCACAGGAAACAGTTGTACCTTTACTTGTCTGAAAATCATTTGTACTGCTGTACTCCTGACTACTGACTACCGGTAACTGTAATGTTTGCATAAAGATGTAATCCCTTGTCTTATGGCAGCAGCATCTACAACTGTCTCTTTCTTGTTCACTTGGTCATTGATCTACACATATAAAAGCTCTTCAACTCTTTACAAGGTTAGGATTTTTCCAGAGAACTTGCAATGCCTTACCACTTACAGGAGTAGAAGCTTTTAATATACAGCTCCTCCCCGACTTACGACCACCCGCACTTACGACCTGCCTCAGTTGTAATTTTGTCAAATTACGTATTTTCAAGTCCCAACGTCGGTACACAGACAAAATTTTTGTTTGTAATTCACTTTAAAATGGCTGGCAAGCTTAAAAGTGAGAGTTTTGTGGTGCTGTGAAGAAAAAAAGACACCCATTTTCGATTTTTTATGTATTATTTAAGCATTTTCGACTTACGACCTGGATTTGGGTCCCTAACCCCGTCGTAGGTCGGGAGGAGCTGTACTCTATCATGACTAGCCAAAAGCTGCCGTACTCATCGTGCCACTTACCTAGTCTAAAATCACTATCTTCTCAGTTAGTGTCTTAACCTTCTGTGCTCTCTCCTTCACATAACAATCTGGAGAGTCTAACAATGCAATCCAGGTGGGCAGATGGACATACACTTAACATGCAGCTGTGTGACCAGACTGGAGTAAACAGAGCAGGTGGCAGTGATTAACGGGAAACACCACACAGGGCAAAGAGTCAGATATAGGGTAATTTTAGTCTTAGACCCTCTCAAAATAAAATTTTTCCACCATAACACCAGAAGCCTGGTGGTTATAGTGACGAGTTTAACCTGGCTACAATGCCACCGGCGATGTTATCAGATTTAAATATGAAAAGAGAAAGTTATATGTAAATCTTCATTTGTATCAGGTATTTGTAAATTTAAAAATAAATGTTGCAGGTATGGCATTGTAAGAGTTCAGAAATGGTTACTGCTCAGTTACCTCTGAAGAGTTGGGTGTCTACCGTATGGACGTTAATTGATTCTGGATATCATCATCAGTACAGTAGTTATAAGTGGAGCTCTTATATTTACAATAATTTTTGTATTAATAAAAAATAATAATAATGTGTTTTAGTAAGCAATAACATATTTTTAATTCTGGAGTTGGGTTAGGTAGAATTTAGCCTACTGGAGACAGCAACTGGGGGATTCATTAGCTTACTGGAGACCTCGGCTTCACATATAGGATGCGGGCTGATTACTTTTAGCCATTTTTCAGGCAAACAAGTGTGTCTTATATGCCATAAAATATGGAAAGTAATGTCTACTGAAGTTTGATAGGTTACTATATTAATAATATTATTATTACCCTGGGTATACCTCTTGCAATGGTAAAGTTCTGACTTGTTGCTATATTAATAATAATATTATTAACTTGGGTATACCTCTTGCAATGGTAAAGTTCTGACTTGTTGAAATAACCTAAACTGTATATCCCTGTGAATTGGTTGTTTGACCATTCATGTTTGTGACGTCAGCGAGATTTGGCACAGTGACTCGCTGTCAAGTGAGAATGGAACGGTCCGCTCGCCCTATGGCCCAACTATATCACAAATTCCTGACCCTGACTGTACAATAATAATAATTCTCTTCATAAACATTTCTCCCACAGGAATGTTTTCTGGTTTTACATTTTCCCATCTTAACAAAATTGAGAGAAAGAATGACCTATAAAATATTGTTAACACACACTTTGATCTGTTTCACTTACATAATAAAACAAATTCTCAATGAGACTTCTGACAACAAAGTTTCTCCCCACCCTTTGATACATATAAAGTGAACAGTCTGAATAACAATACCTGTATTTCAATTACCGCTCAGCTAAGTGGCTCTTCCACCAAGCGCACTACCTCCCCATAACGTTATGTGAATATGTGGTGTTCACACTTGATTCTACTCTTTATAAAATGGTCATTATTATCTGTTGCTTTAAACTGTATGTTTGGTGTCATTTGTCTTGATGTACATAATAATTAGTGAAAAGAGAAGAGGTAGTGATGAATGTGTTCTCTGAAAGTGTGAATTTGTTTGTGACTTCAACGGTAAATATTCTCTATTTAAAACGTTTATTTAACTCATAACTTGAAACTTAATGTTTTCAAGCAAATTTATCTTTACAGACATTAAATTCACCATTAAAGTGAACCAGACTATAGAGACAGGTCAATTGATCCAAGTGTTTATGAATATGCTTTGTAGTATCAAAAGTTGTTATTGATTACTGTACAGTATTATGTTTAGAATTACTGTATAGGATTTTTTTTTTTTTTTTGGTGTGTGTGTGCGTGTGCTTGCTTGCTTGCTTGCTTGTGGGATATTCATATATAGAGCATGCTAATGAATGAAAGTTGTATCTTCAACAGGAACAGACCTTGGAGTTGATGTGGGTTAACCCCAAGCCAGGTCCATCAGGAATGGTGGAAGCCATAAAAGAAGGTGGTCGACGGAGAATAGATCACCTGATACTGAGAAATGGTGACATGGTCAAGCCCACTGCCTTTTGGTTTAGCACTGTCATTGGTGGACTGTCAGACCATATGCCTGTGGCTCTAACTGTTGAAAGGAAGTTGTAGAGATGTTTTAAACTAAGCTATTCTGTGATATCAGATGAGCTCCATGTAAGGCCGTAACCAATTTATTTATATATTTATTTTATTATTTTTTTTTTTTTTTACTGTGGTGTTGGGGGGGCTAATGTTGATATTGTCTTTTCCTTTCTTGCACACACATATCTTTTATTTATTGAGTGACTTTGGCTCAGGATCTTGGCTTATGGTTACACACCTAAATGAATTGATGACACTGGCTCTTATAGCACTGAAAAATAACTGATTTGGAGTGCAGCCCTACCCTTATAAAATTGGATTTTCTGTTATTGACCTTTCTACTTTTTATTTACCAGCCCGAGAAATATAGTACAGTATATGTCATTGCACCCTGTGGATTTTGTCTGTGCATTCACAAATGTATTTACAAGAGTGTATTAGGGCATATACGAGTATGTACAATTGTAGGCCTGCCTACCTCTGGCTCATCTGGGAGTCGCATCGGTACTTACCATAGTCATGTATATATCAATAGACTATACTAACTACAACGACCTTAGCCCGCCATAACCGTAATATTTAATATATTTCAATAGTACAGTATTACAAAATAAATTAATAAAAGACAATATAATTAAAGTACAGTACTCTATTTCCAGTTTGAGCATAAGAATAGTACACTAAATTTTACTTTGTGTGATCCGTAAATAGTACTGGAGGTATCAAGCGACTACCTCTAACTATGTAGTACTGACGCCAGATATCACCATGGGCTCCGACTCCGAGGTCTGAGAAAGTTAGTTAAAATAGATTTTATTTTATGCAGCAATGGAAGCAGGCAATGAGGTGAGGTCGGATGGAATCAAGGTTGTGAATGCGTGTCAGCAGTGTTATGCGACACATTCTCGTAAATTAATGGGAAGGGGGGGGAGTCTATAGTTCACAACATGATCATCTTTAGTTTTAATGTTTTTATTTAATCTCAAGAAATAAATAATGTGAGGACAAAAACATATATGATTCAGTAGATATTTATAAGCACCTCAGATAACATTACTCAGTTGAGTGTCCATTTCGGAAGCTAGTGGATGCCCACCTCATGGGATGTCACAGCCTCAGGTTAAAGAAATTTTAGTTACAGAAAACTGTCTGAGTGAACTTTTTTTAGAGTAAGAGTTGTAAATTCTTGTAATAACCAGCCAGAGAGTTTTGTGATATGACCAAGTGTAAGTTCATTTTTTACCTGACTTGGTCAACACTGGCTCGGCACTTACTAACAGTTTGTACAGAGACAATTTTTTCCATGAATGAAACAAAAGCCATCCTGGATGTAAACAAGAATGCATATGTTCAGGATGGAAATAATTTAGTCCTACCCAGTTTGGGGGCTTTTCACGGGGTAAGAAAGCATTTTTTATCGTATATTGTACAGAAAAATTTACTCAAGTTGTGCAAACAATCACCCGTAATTGCGGATTTGGCATACAACCAACTTGGTTCCTGACCCTTTAAGTACAGGCAGTCCCCGGGTTATGAACTAGTTTGTTCCTGGGCACGTTCTTAAGTCAAAAATATACTTAAGTCAAAGCACATGCTATTGTGCATACCTTACTTACAGAACAATGTTAAAATCCCACTACTGTATATCATAGCCTAAGTCCTTATATACATCTAAAGTCACTTAATTTAAGAGAAAAGAAGAAATAGAATGACAAAATACAGTAAATTAAAGTAACAAATAAGTCATCAGGTAAATAGAATACTGTAAATTTAAAGTTTAATCTCATTCATATCTTCTGATGTTCGTAAGTCAGACGTTCGTAACCCGAGACTACCTGTGTACTGCATAGAGAAATGGTAGTAATTTAGGATAGCTGTGTAATAGTAAATAAATCATGAAGTAACCCAAGACTACTGTATCATGTAAACTCAAACAAAGAGAGATAAACTTCAACCAAGCTTAGGGTTTTGGAACTTGTTTAAATATAATAGTATTCATACAAAGTAAAAATATGACCTTTATTGAGGTAGCACATGGACTACTAATTATGCATTTTGTGTCAGGAACTCTTCTACCACATGAACCATTTCTTATGAGAATTGTGTCAAGAAGATGCTACAAAAACCATGTTGTGTATTTAATTAATCTTTTGCATTCTGCTTGGTGGTGTACAAAATATTTCCCCCACATAACACTGTTTTTTTTTTTTTTTTTTTTTAAGGGTTTCAGTCATTATCTTGTATTTTCTGTTATTTTTCTGAAATATTCTGTATTGTATTTTTTTTAAGTATTTTGTTTATAAAAATGTAATACTTTCTATAAATGATGTAAAAAATAAAAATTAACATTTATTTATCCATATCAGACCTATCTGGGTATGTTTTATCTTCAACTCATGATTATATAAAGAGATACAGCATGCCCTTCAAATTCGCAGGGGTTAGATTCTCAAGATGGCCACAAATAGCAAAATCCGCAAATAACATTTGCTGACCGGGGGTTATCTTTTTACTTGTGTCCAAAGAAATGTTTAATCCCTTTATGTGTTTGCCCTAAGGACAATTATTTCTTTTACCTGCATTGTATATGTGTGTGTGTGTGTTTAGACACATGCTATAAGAACAGCCCAGCCCCAACCATTATAAAAATTATCAACAACTCGTAATCAACCAGTGTATGTATTCACTCCCAGCCAATCTTACCTTTTTCACTGTCACTATGTAGAAATGTCCTGTAGTATTTCCTTCTCTTTCTTCTTAATGTAACGGACAGTTGATTTGTTGATGCCACAATCCCAGCCAAACGCGGCAAAGTTTTGGCCACTCCTAAGTTTGTCCAGCAGTTGTTTCTTCTCCATGAAGGTCATGACCTTCTTTTCTCTCTTCAATTGTTTGGACACCTTCCTGCAGCTGGATGACGGTGGTTGAGGGTGTTTGGGAGCCATCACAAGCAGAAGAAGCACAGTTGTTAAGAGAGCAGAGTAACACACACGCGAGATGGACAAGTGTTGAACCTGAACTGAGGCGCATGGGCCAGCCTCCCAAGACATGAGAGACACCTTGCGGGACGTCACAAAACTCGCGCGCTCCCTGTCCCAGCCGCAAAAATGCCGCCAACTTTAAAACTACCCACAGACATTCTTGGGTACATCCAGGGTGTCATCCACAAATAATAGAGGACTGCAAAATCAAAATCTGTGAATTATCCGGGCATGCTGTACTGTATTTTGTTTTCATTCTTATTTATTGGAAAAAAATAGTTAGATAAGTGTTTGAAGACTTCCCAGATGAAAAATTATAGTCTTGATTCAATAAGGAAATTTTCTATGGCCAAAAGTATTGAAAAAAAAATATATATATGGCTCACTGTCAGTGGTGATCCAGTAGGTGGTGGCTTACTGATGGCTGGAAGTCAAAAACATTGGACAGTATTAAGAGAAATTTGACCTTATATTTGCTACTGAAGCACAGTCGCCCACATTTGTTCGATTACACCTTAAAGGTTACTACCTGTATACCCTATTTGATCTGGTAACACTGTTCAACTGCATGTCCAGACATACGATATCCAGTAAACCCTCAATAACTCGGAATATCACATAACTCGGCATGAATATGGTCTCGGAATGTATTAATATAACTCGGGAATGCCGAGATATGTAAAATTACAGTATCTGGGAAAATTAAGGCATATCTAGCCACCTGCATCACCTACCATACCTTTCTGTCACCTACCGTACCTCTATATCACCTACCATGCATCTGTGTCGCCTACTATGATGCTTCATTCTTCACCTGCAGTACTATTAAGTGTTACTTTTTTGCATTTAGTAATTAAAGTACATGTAAACATATATACATTGATAATTTTTTATTGTATTTTTGTATGAGGAGGGAAGTGCCTTGATAAGTCTGAATTTGGGATAACTCGGCAAGGCCAGAGCCCCATATATGCTGAGTTATCAAGGGTTTACCGTACTGTACAGTAGTTCAACTGTACCCCCCATCCCTTCACATTCCTTCCACCCCCCTCTCTCCTAACTCATGGCTTGGTGTTGTATTTCCATCACCCCCTGTCTGTTTTGGCTGCATTGATCAGTTGACAGCCAGCAAATTAAAGCACAAATGCAATATCCATATATCTTACTGTACCATGAATACTCAATACTGTATTATAATATTCACTTATTATTAATACTGTACTCATTAATCATAAATACTCATGAATCAGGACTGATTAACAAATACTTTTGATTCATAAGTAAATTCATGAATCAAATAAATTCACTGGCACTACTGCACCAGTACCAGATAGCTGAGGCTAGAAGTGAGGTGCTAAAAATTAACCTTTGAACCAATAAACCTTAGATATATTGAACCTTTAATTCATAGAACCTTCGTACTGTACAGTCAGGGTAAAATAATTGTTTGAATTTAGTGAAACTGGAACGAGTCTCCAAACTTACATACCCTGACTGTTGTCTGGTACTTTTTCTGTCAACTTTCCCAGCTTCTGTTGTTTTTCCCACGAAATGTCAATTTTTACAGCCTGTTTTGCTCAGATGAAATGTATTGTTTCAACCTGATTGGCTTGTGCCAATGTATGTGGTCAAGTCAGGATTTATACTCGACAATGAGGATATTTATATTGTGGGGTATGAGTTGTTTGGTTCACACTCAGGATGGGATGGAGAAAGGAAACTCACAATGTGCTCTCTATATACATGTTGTATTGGATGTACAATGCAGCTTGGTGCTGGGAAGGCAGCATGGTTACAAGCGTGATGTAGAGAGAGCTGGTTGGTGAGGACGCTCAGAGAAGGACAGCTTGTGGGTCGCCATGCTCGCCAGCGGGAGAGAGGACCGCCAGGCAGGAGGAGGAGGAGCGAGGGCCGCCAGGCAGCGGCGGAGGATGAGGTGTTGCTGGCTGCGGCTGTAGGTAGAAAGAGGGAGATCACCACGAGGTCAGGTCTTAAATAGCGGGGGTAGGCGTGGCTTAGCAGTTGACCCCCGCTCCGTGGTGTATGGCGGCGCTGGTTGACCTAGACCACGAGGCATACACTGGGGAATTGGTGGGGTCGACTACTCAGCGACAAACAGCGTTTGTAGGGGAGAATTCCACTACAATATAAACTACAGGGTAATTATCATCCTACGTTAAATAATTAAATTTTATTTTAAAAGTATTCAGTATCAAATTTTTAATAATTTTAATGAATTACTTGTGTAATTTTTCTATTGATGTTGATATTCATAAATACTGTACATCTGATATGATTGTTTGCATTTGAGCCACGTGTTGAGCTTCTTCACGGCCTCTCCATCTATTCCTGTGTGAACACGCCTGTCCAAAGAATACATGATAGACAATATTAGATCACATTGTTGCCTGTACAACTGCCAAGTTCAAAGGTAGGCTTATGTTATTTTAGCTACACTGTAAAAATAGGAGTGTTATAATATAGCCTACCCCAAAACAATTTAGAATAGCTTTTATATACTTCAAAGAATCCGCAAAATACTTTACATACACAACTTCATTTGAAAGTGTCAGTTTTATTTTCTTCATTCGCGAGTTTTTAAGTGACCGTTATCGTTAGATAAGAACACTTTGTAATTGAATATTGGAGGGAGATGTAAGATGCCGCACGGGAAAGCAATAAATATTTATTAACTGCAAACATTATATTATCATGTTTGTAGTCATAGTTCTGCTGTGCCTTTTTCCCTATCAATTGTTTATCAATAGTCAGACAGGTCTCATTTCCAGAGGATGAAGTTTTCAAGTGTATCAAGAACGGTGGCCTCCAGACACTGTAAGTCTATATAGTAATAATAATGCCATCTGTGTAAATTTATAAATATTGAGGATTATAAAATGAAACGCCATGTAGAAGGTAAACTATTATTTGTTTACAATTCGGTACACAACACTACCAGGCCACAACGGCACTAGCAGCACTTATTACTAAACTCCCCTGACTAGCATCCCCTCTAACTAACTCGTTGACTAAACTAGCTAACGCCACTCCTTGTTGGTAATTTTCAATCTATACACTATACCACTGGTGGGTAATTACGTCATTAACTACACTCTTGGGAAAACTGCTACTACTCTATTTTATTCCAGTAGATAATACCTCATATTATGAACCAAACCTAACGTTGTCTAACTCAAACTAATCTGACCTTACTAAAACCAGCCTATAATCTTTATCTTGGGTTTGGTTAAAAAATTTTGATTAGTTTTTAGGTTGATATTGGGTGATTTTGATTTTTGTTAGTTCGTTTAGTCAGAAATATAAATAATGTTGGCGGTGGTATTCAACCTCCATGATCATGATAGTCTTCCAACAGATGATATTTTGTCAGGCCTTAGTAAACAGAAGCATTGTTTCCATATTATTTTACTACAGTATAGTCTTTTTCACAAGCTTTTGGCTGTAAACAATTATCATGAGTTATTACTATCATACGTTAACAAAAATATAATAAAAATTTAGATATTCTGTACCATATTATTGTTAATTAAAATGGTGTTAACCGTACACTTTATTAGAAAATTTTTGTGAAATATTGATGTATCACTCCATCAAAATTATAAAATTTACCTAAATTGAGCAAAAAAAAATTATAAAAATATATTTTGAGACTTATGGAACACCATAATCAAGATATTAGTGCTGAATACGTATCTAAAATTTACCTCATTTGAACAAATATTAATATTTATAAATGTGACCCCGGGAATATGCAGGGTGGCGGTGTTGATAAACGTCAACCAGAGGGCATCACTTAGTGGAGTGCCCAGACCTGGAGGTGGGGGACGCCCGCCTCACAAGGGGTTACAGCTCAAAGTTGAAGACGCCGCAAGTCCAAAAAACTGTAATGACAAACATTTTCGGAGTGAAAATTGTGAACTCTTGGAACAATCTGTCAGACAGTGTTGTGACGTCACCGAGTGTGAGCTCTTTCAAGACCCAGACTTTACTAACACTGGCGCAGGTACATATATTAATGTACATTCAAGAACCAGTGCTGCCCCGTAGGCCTACTTGCCAACAATGACCGACCGCCCAAGCAAGCCGATCAGTGGCGAAGAGGATAAAAGTAAAAGTACCAGGTATATAAAATCTCGGTAAAGCGACTTATGCGTCACCCTGTATTTTCAGCATATGACTATTTTTTACACTTACTTTTTACATCGGATGATGAGAATATTACGTTATTACAGATGGATAATTTTAAACCATAATGTAGCACTAAAGTGTTGATGAAGTTAACACCATGTGAATAACAGCCAGTAACATGTATAAGTGTGATAGCAAGAAATATCCAATTAGGAAGTACCGTATACCTCTTCCTTAAAATCATTACTGGGTATATTTAATGAATTGTCACATTCAGACCGTGACGTCACTGGATGGCAGAGCGACCAAGTTTCCGAAGAAAACGTTTATAAAAATGAGGGCAAACTATTACTGTTTATTGAGCTACATATTTTGAACTTCATGGAAAACGTGCTCATGGACATCATAGGAACAGTACAGTAGAAAGTAATTTACTTGGATTCAGTTAACTGTATAAATCTTTACTAAAGAAGATATTGATAGGTGCTTTATGAAACTTTCAATTATAAGTAATGGACATTAAATGGAAATATTAAATAGTTTACATTTTATTCCTTGATGCTAAAAATGAAGTACAATACATTCAGAGCATAAATCACAATTTTTCTTATAAATATTAGGAAAAAACAGGGGTCACAATCTAAGCTTAAAGAACTCAGGACAAACTTGTGCTATGAACTTAAAGGACGATCTGCCAAGAGAGCGTTGTGACGGCACCGAGTGTGAGCTCATTCAAGACAGACTTTAACAACACTGGCGCAGGTATAGTTACTTTCTGAAGCCAGAACATACCCAGTACTTGCCAACAGTGCGTAACAGAGACGTGACTGACTCGCCCAAGCGGTGGATACGGAAAATATTTGTCTGCATGTTAAGTAAAGAGATGACAAATATGATGAGTATGAATGTTACGTCTATTCATATTTTTTTATTCAGCGTAACACAATTAATGCATGGCTATTCACTTTGACGTCCTATTTAAAAAACTTAAATTAATCCTGAACTTTCCTGAGCGATAATGTGTAATCATTTCGATTAAAAATACAGTATACTAAAATTTCAAGTACACGGTTTGTTCTTAAAATTTTCTCATTAAACTCTTTAAGCATTTATAAATTGATTTGTGTTACTATTTCTCAAAATTACGTCCCCTTTCGAAAAATAAAAGCGAAATTATTATTATAAAGATTCCAAGATGTAAATAAAGCAGATGACAGCTGATGGTAGTGGCGCCACCCTACGCCAGAGCGAGTAACTAGAATTGACTTAATTAGCATCACACAATTCTTTGGGAGTTATAATATTTCTTCGTTCGATATTCCTTGGTTGATAGTGTGGTGCTTAGCTGACCTTCACAGTGACGTCATGGCCACCTATGGTAACCTGGTATCTCAACACACCCTGTAGCCAGGAAGGTCACAGCTCCATTATACAACAGCATAGTGTGTGACCAGACGGAGTTTGTGGCTGTGAACTACACGACAACCTTTACACACACACACACACACTAAAGACGACATATATCGTATTTACTTTTAAGCACCCTAATGTAAAAATCACCAAAAGAAAATGATATACAGGAATAATGTCCATTTGCACACCATAACCTTTGTATTAATAAAGCTTAGTATTTACGTTACGTGTTTTAAGGATAACTGGACCGATTATGTCTTTTTGGGTTGGGCTGATTTTTTCTTTTTAGATTTAGTCGATTAAATCATTAGGACGCCGTGGAATGTCTGCAAAATTGGGTTGACATTCCGTTTTCATTATTTTAATTCCATATATATATATATATATATATATATATATATATATATATATATATATATATATATATATATATATATATATATATATATATATATATATATATATATCTTCTATAGTGGCCTTTGTTGTTAACATTATTACATTTTTAAGATTTGCGGTAAATTGGTTAGGTTGCGCTATAGGTTAAGTGGTTTTGTAAAAAAAATCAGGTCAGGTTAGGTTAGGTTTGTTACTGATACTACTCATTTAACAATATTAAATTTACCATCAAATCATTTATATACATAAATCAGTTTAAAATATCGTACAAATCAGAAATATATTAGAAACATCGGCTACCATCCCCACAACACCTCGCCCATGCCATGATGACCTTCCTTGGCTGAATACATGTTCATAATCAAGTAATTTTAACATTTAGAAAGTTGTTTAGGTGTTATTAGTTAATTAAGTTTATTAAGTTAATACCTGTGATAAACTTAGTGGAACTTGATGAGTTTGTGAATAGATAATTAAATATGGGATTTGTTAGTGAATAGGAAAACAAGAATGAATAAATTGAACGTAGATATTATTTTGCACAGAAAGAGAGATTTTCCAGGCAGGTTTAGTAGATTATTGGTACCGCCTTTTTTCTTTAAAAGATTTTACAATTGAGAATAATATATTATTATTTACAAGTGAGTATAGTTTATCATTGTTGGTTTTATTACGATAATTATTATACAAAGTGAACACTTCCGTCCTGGTGTAAGCTGTTGACATACCAGAATACTTTGCACTTGTGTCTATGAAAACCTTAAGATATAATTCATTTAGCATTCATTTTACATTTAATTCATTCCACTAAGTTCAACACAAATTATTTTTCTTGTATATATAAACTAAGGGTTAGTGTACAGTAAATGTTTCTGAATGTATATGAAATATCTAAATACTTAACTATTTTATATTTTACACACAAATATTAAGTCGCTCGAGCACACATACATATACACAGTAGTACAAATAACACTCAGGTTATATACAGGGTATTTGGGACATGTTAGCCAGGCTTATATTGACCATTTGGTGAGGAAAGTTCAGTTCTTAGAGTAAAGTGTGGGGGGTTGAGGGGTGTGGGGGAGGAGGAAGGAGATGAAAGGAAGAAGAAGGGGAGGAGGAGAGAGGTCAGGAGTCAGACTGGGGTCACAAGTGGCAGGAGGGGGTGTAGGAGAGAGGTCAGGGGTCAGGCTGGGGTCACAAGTGGCAGGAGGGGGTGTAGGGCAGGCGAGTAAACAGTCCAGCAGTGGTGATGAAACAGGAACGATCTACGGGAGGCAAGAAGTACGGGGGGCAACACGTAGGGGCCACCACACCCAGATGGTCGGTGGGGGAGCTGGCATCGCCCCCAGACCCCCCTAGTAACTCCTTGTCCACCCCGACACCTGCACTCTGACGCAGCTGTTCTAAGCGCATCTGATTCTGGCGTTTCCACTTGGTCCTGCAATACACATGTCACTATTACTATTGTTACTGAAAAACGGGTTCCACATGTGTGACGAACCATAAGGGGCAGTCTGACTACAACACACTACAGTACATATACTAAACCCTTCGATACACACGGAAGAAGTCAGGCTGTCGCTGCACTCAACCGCCTTCGCTTTCTCAACATAAAGTAGGTACCCATATTCAGCTGGGTAGACTGGGGGTGCCCAGGCAGCGAGCTATAGGACTGGAGGCGAAAACTATGTACTCGGCCACAGCTCTCCCACTACTATTACAAATATTACATACATTACTGCTACTATACTATGGTACTAATGATAATAACAGTAATGTAACACCATAACTAACAAGGACTGTAATAAACCAAACAATTAATAGGTTCATAAGGTCATTAACTGAAATTTATCTTCGTAACATTTAAAATTAAGCCTTAATGTTTAATTTACAAACACTACTGACAACCTATGGTCATTTTCTGAAACACTAGAATATAATCATCTAGGTGCAAATAAATCCGATGTCTGGATGTGATCCGTCCGTAATACGCCCCCCCCCCCAGCTCCAGATAAGACAACAGTAAGTGTTAGACTACAGGATCTTAGAAACCCGTGCATAACTATAACCTTCTCTTACCTGCGGTTTTGATACCAAGTTTTCACCTGGGTCTCTGACAGGTTGAGAGCTTCGGCCACGTCGGATCTGTCGGCCACACTGAGGTACTTCTGAACACGGAACTTCCTCTCCAGGTAAGCGAGCTGGGCGTGGGTGAAGGCTGTCCTCCGGCGACGAGGCTTCTTCTTCTCCTCCTCCCTCTTGTTGGTTCCGTCACCCACCTCACACACCTGCGTCCAGGATGTTGATGTTTAACTGCGCTTCAATAACTAAGGTCTTAAATGTTATAATGTATTACTACGCATCAGTAACTAAGGTTATGTTAGGTATGGTTATGATAGGTTAGATTAAGATTAGACCAGGTTAGGTTAGGTTAGGCTATAGGTTAATGTAATGTTACGATACTGAGTTGTTTTGTTTTTTTACAAAATTACTGGTCTTACAGAAACGTTATTAAAGAAAAAGAAAACAGCTTGAAAAAATCTAGTGAGGTAATCCAAATATATTGTGTAAAGAAGCTTGGAGACACACACACACACACACACACACCACACACTATAAAAAGTGGGCATTTATCTCACCAGGTCTCCCATAGCATCGTCAGGTGGGTCCTCGCCCCCGGGTGACGGACTCCTCGAGGTGTCCAGCATGGGCGGGCTGGTGGGCGTGCCGGACGGGAGTTTGGTGAGGGTGGGCGTGGTCAGTATAGTTGCCGTTGGCGCCCTCACCACTGCTGGCGTGGAGGCTGCGAGTAGTGATTCGGTGAGGGTGGTGAGCGTTGAGGCGTGTGAGGTGAGCGTTGAGGTGTGTGTGGTGAGCGTGGAGGCGTGTGAGGTGAGTGTGTGAGAGGGTATGGTGGTGGAGGTGGTAATGCTGCTTGGTGAGGGCGGTGATGGGTGGGCATGACAGTCTTGCGAGACGTCACCATTATCATCTGCCGAGAAAAATATTTATTAATCTATTTAGTATAATCTTGTACATTATCATCAGTGTTTATAAATTGATTCGTAAAATATACAACTTCTGTGTGAGTTATTATCCAGAGTTAAAATACGATACTGTAGGTGATAGATGTTACTTCTCTGTAATCCTGTATGTGGTGTACCTTCCTTAAGTCACCCTGTAGTATTGATAATAGGAGATATATCCAGTCGTTTAAGGATGATGTAATTAATTATGGAATATATTGACTATCGAGACACGCAGTAATACTTTACCTGAAGTACAATTATTATAGTCAGTACACAGTTCGGAAATTTACTGCAACACACATATACATATTAACTGCAACTGTTGTAGCTTCGTCTGTAGAACGAAACTATGGTGTACAGTAGATAATTAATATCTTTTAGACGCTGGTTTAAGAAGTAACCCTTAATGAACGATGATTAAATTTCTAACGGTCTAACTCTTTGAGGGCGATGGTTCAATCTATGACCCTTTGAGGGCGATGGTTCAATCTATGACCCTTTGAGGGCGATGGTTCAATCTATGACCCTTTGAGGGCGATGGTTCAATCTATGACCCTTTGAGGGCGATGGTTCAATCTATGACCCTTTGAGGACGATGGTTCAATCTATGACCCTTTGAGGGCGCGATGGTTCGAAAATCTATGACCCTTTGAGGGCCTGGTTCAATCTACTTGACCGCTGAGGCGATGGTTCAATCTGCGGCCCTTTGAGGGCGATGGTTCAATCTATGACCGGGCCGATCTGACCCTTTGAGGGCGATGGTTCAATCTATGACCTTTGAGGGGCGATGGTTCAATCTATGACCCTTTGAGGGCGATGGTTCAATCTATGACCCTTTGAGGGCGATGGTTCAATCTATATGACACGAGGGCGATGGATTTCAATCTACTGACCCTTTGAGGGCGATGGTTCAATCACTATGACCCTTTGAGGGTGATAGTTCAATCTATGACCCGCTTTGGGGCGATGGTTTAATCTACTATGACCCGCTGAGGGCGATGGTTCAATCTATATGACCCTTTGAGGGCGATGGTTCAAATCTGACCCTTTGGGGCCGATGGTTCAATCTATGACCCGCTTTGGGGGCGATGGTTCAATCTATGAACCTTTGAGGGCGATGGTTCAATCTATGACCCTTTGAGGCGATGGTTTCAATCTATGACGCTGGGGCGATGAGTTTAATCTACTGACCCTTTGAGGCGATGGTTCAATCTGCATGACCCTTTGAGGGCGTGGTTCAATCTATGACCCTTTGAGGGGCGATGGTTCAATCTATATGACCCTTTGAGGGCGATGGTTCAATCTATGACCCTTTGAGGGCGATGGTTCAATCTATGACCCTTTGAGGGCGATGGTTCAATCTATGACCCTTTGAGGGCGATGGTTCAATCTATGACCCTTTGAGGGCGATGGTTCAATCTATGACCCTTTGAGGACGATGGTTCAATCTATGACCCTTTGAGGGCGATGGTTCAATCTATGACCCTTTGAGGACGATGGTTCAATCTATGACCCTTTGAGGACGATGGTTCAATCTATGACCCTTTGAGGACGATGGTTCAATCTATGACCCTTTGAGGACGATGGTTCAACGGTGACCCTTTGAGGGCGATGGTTCACCCATGACCCTTTTGAGGGCGATGGTTCAATCTATGACCCTCTTTTTGAGGGCGAGATGGTTCAATCTATGACCCTTTTGAGGCGATGGTTCAATTCCATGACCCTTTGAGGGCGATGGTTCAATCTATGACCCCTTTGGAGGGTGATGCTATTAGCCCATGACCCTTTGAGGCGATGTTCACCTATGACCTTTGAGGGCGATTCAATCTATGAATCTATACCTTTGAGGGCGATGGTTCAATCCATGACCCTTTGAGGCGATGGTTCACCTATGACCCTTTGAGGCGATGGTCGCCCATTTGAGGCGATGGTTCAATTTATGACCTTGAGGGCGATGGTTCAATCTATGACCCTTTGAGGGCGATGGTTCAATCTATGACCCTTTGAGGGCGATGGTTCAATCTATGACCCTTTGAGGGCGATGGTTCAATCTATGACCCTTTGAGGACGATGGTTTATCCTATAAAGACCTAAACCCTTTGGGGACGAAGGATAATTATTTTGGGTTTAGTTAGGTTAGGTTTTAATATTAAGTAAGTCAAAGTTAGGTTAAGTTAGGCAGATAGGTAAAAGGATGAATTAGGTTAAATTGAATTAGTAAAACTATGTTAAGGTTAATTTAGGCAGGATCTCCCACATTAACCTATAACTGACTACCGCTGTGTACTGTATGTTATATGCGGCGGCTTAGTTCATACAGTGCTCGCCTTTTGTCCTACGGGTCCATGGTTCGAACTCAGGGCATCCCTATTTCACCCAAATCTTGGATGGGTAGCTTACTTTACTATTAGGGACTTTAGGGCGGTACAGTATTCAGTTATTGTATTTACGTGTACCGTAGTTTGTAATTTACTGTGACTAAGCTGTGTGTAGGGAGGTGAGGGCATCGTTTTCTACTGCTCACAAAGTTTGTCTTGTGGAAGGCCATTCGGGGTAGCGTAGTAAGTATATTATTGATTATTATTCGTAGCACCTTATCGTTCAATTAATTATACATATCTTTTAGTGTATTGTATTTATTTATTCTATACAGTATTGTACACGGATATATTTTGTTTCATTTTGCAAGATTCTAAGAGTTTAAACACACACACACACACACACTATATTGCTACTACTACTTTGCTGTCACTCGGAATCGAGTATGACGATCATCCAGCTATGATAAAATAATATGAATTATTAAAGATGTCACCTTCATTGGTGAGTTTTGAGGTGACTAAAGAGGCCGATACGGGACCGGCAGAGTTGTTCAAAGATGTTGTACATGTGGAGGGCTACATCGACTGCGGGAGGGGCGGCGGCAGCGTCTTTCCGGCGTTGGCGCTTGTCTGCCTCGGTATATAGTTGGGCTAACTCGAAAGTATTGAGACCTTCTCGTGTGGTGCTCCTCCAAGCGTTGGTGTGGAGTAATCGTCTCCCAGGTGAGGGGGTCGATTTGGCACTTTTTCAGGTTTGTCTTAAGACTATCCTTATACCTTTTCAGTTGCCCGCCGGCGTTACGTTTACTATTCGTTAGATAACTGTAAAGTAGCTGCTTTGGCAGTCTACTGTCGTCCATGCGGGTAACATGGCCAGTACAGCGTAGTTGTTCATGGATAATGGTAGCCTCGATGCTCCTACAGTTGGCATCAGCATGGATGCTGGCATTTGTTCTCTTGTCTTCCCAGTGAACTCGGAGGATGGAACGTACAGTAGACTATGTTGGTGAAAGTTGTCAAGTGCCTTGATGTGCCTCCTGTATGTGACCCATGTCTCGCTGCCATATAGCAGGGTGGGGAGGACCCACTACTCGATATACGTGTAACTTTGTAGACAATATCAGCTCCCTACAGCTGAAGACACGGGTACGGAGTCTGCCAAAGGCTTGAGATGCACATCTGATCCATTGCTGAATCTCTACACACACACACACACACACACACACACACACACACACACACACAGGGCATAAAGCTAACAGGCACATAATTCCCACGAGTTGTGAGCCACTCATAATGTTCCTTTGTGAGACGTACATAAACGTGCTACCTTTTGTGAACACGTCAACACCCACTGACTGTAATAGGTAAATATATAATTAGATAGATTGAAATCGTAATACTAGTTAACATTGATTCAACGAGTACATAAACAGTTCAGGTATACAAGCAATGGTTAACTACGTCGATTAAATTAAGTTTCGTCCCCAAAATAATATATAGGGCCTACTATCTGTCGGCCACACTGAGGTACTTCTGAACACGGAACTTCCTCTCCAGGTAAGCAGACCTTAAGCATTACATTAATATTCCCTAAATATAGCATGTATATTCACAAATAAAGCACAATGTTATCTAAAAGAGAAGTAAAATAAATTGGATTCTTTCTCTGTCTGACGTAAATAAATCGAATTCTTGGCTTGACCAGTGGATTGGGGCTGACGGGAACCAACAATTATCCCTAACATATCCAGGATTACGTCCCAATCAATGACAAACACGATATACACATCCAGAAAAAGTGAATAGCCATAAGCGAAAAGAACCAACTCCCAGGTCGTTAGTGAAGTCGACAATACAAGGTTGGGACAATGGCCGCCAGGGGGACTACAAAGGCCTCGCTCACCAGCAATTCTTAAAACATTTAAAAGTCCGTTACGGGGAACTGCTACCGCCTGCTGCCCGGCTCTGTTATTGTTAAACTGTCAGATTTTTCCTCTCGTGACTACGACGTTTTCACGCTTATTTAGATACAGAGATAAATAGACATTTTAGAATTAAAACTTGAAAGATTTATAAATACGCGCTTAAATACTTTAAATATGCGCGTAGAGACCTTAAATACGCGCGTAGAGACCTTAAATACACTTAAAGACCATAAATACGCACTTAGAGACTTTAAATACGCACTTAAAGACCTTAAATACGCACGTCAAGACCTTAAATACGCACGTCAAGACCTTAAATAGGCGCTTAAAGACCTTAAGTACTCGCGTAGAGACCTTAAATATGTGCGTATAGACCTTAAATATGTGAGTACAGACCTTAAATACGCGTGTAGAGACCTCAAGTACCCGC